TTAAATTAAGCAAAGGATCTGCTAAACAAAAAATTAAATTGAGAGAAAAACAAGACGTACAGTAAACCCTGGATAACTCGGCATCTGATAACTCGGCATGGATATGGTCTCGGAATGTATTAGTATAACTAGGGAAATGCCGAGATATATAAAATAATCTGGGAAAATTTCGGCATATCTAGCCACCTGCATCACCTACCATGCCTTTGTGTCACCTACCATGCCTCTGTGTCACCTACCATGCCCCTGTGTCACCTACCATACCTCTGTGTCTTCTACTATGATGCTTCATTCTTTGCCTGCAGTGCTGGTAAGTGTTACTTTTTTACATTTAGTAATTACTTGTACATGTACACATATATATGGGTCGGTAATTTTTTATTGCTGTATTTTTGTAGGAGGGGGGTTGAAGTGCCTTGATAAGTCGGAATTTGGGATAACTTGGCAAGGCCCAATTATAATTTACAAACATTGTAGAGGTGCAAGATTGTTATCAACTTCGCCCCATCCCCAAGATGTGAGTACACACTATCAGTTATCAGTGTTAAGATGATGAGCATAATGTTTGTCTCTCATATATGACCCATTAACTTGGGAAGATATCTTAAAAAACTCTTTTCCTTAAATGCAAGTAATATAAGCTATCATAAAAAAATATGGCCATATGTATTTTTTCAAAGCTTAGTGAAAAAAAAATAGTTTCATAGAAATTCATGACAAAACAGAGATAATTTTTTTTCTTCTAATAATACAGAACACTGTAACATCTAGGTGATTCAGTGTTGGTTAAACAGCTTAAGATATTACAGGGTGACTGGAGTAAGTAACAAATAAATGAGGCCTAAATGTATGCAAAACATTTATAAATGGCAGCAAAAATTGTGTCTTAAATTGTGTAAACAGTAGAGCACTGAGTTTTATTATAAGACTAATTTATGTAAGATGAGTTGATGGCCTTCTCTGTATCTCAGTTGTTTCATTATAGGAAGGAAACAGTTCCCTATTATTTCTTCAACACTTCCTTTGTTCTTCAGCATCTTAAGTCATGTGATGATTTTTGTGTGTGCAAAATATCACAATAGTGTAGCCTGTATTGACAATAACAATAAGAAGCCCCACATTAACTATTCCTTTCTAGTAAAAATATTTTCAAAGTATTTTACCACATCACTTGACCCTATAAAAAAAGATAAAAAGATAAACAATATATCTAAACTCCTTTGACTGAAGCTTTCATATCCAGTATAAGCCTTAATATTAGCTCTCAGTGCTAACTTAGTATTCCAACTAAAAATAAACGGTCACTTTCTAACACCAAAAGCCTAAGTGGAATAATACTGTACAGTAATTGAAAAAATTAGGAACAAATATTCTTTTATCAACTTTAGACAGAGATCATTTCTATTTTGGGTAAAAAGCGAATGAACCATCAGAAGAATATTTACCTAATAAGAACTGTCCTGATGTCCAATCTATATCCACATTTTTAATATATGAGAGCAGACTCCTATTGCAGTGAATCAAGTTTGTCATCATTGCTCTGTTCACCAAATGATGCATTGTAGGTGTATTTAATAAATAGTAAATAACAAGATTTAGAATGCAGGTCCATGATCTTCACTGTCAACAAGCCAGGTTTTAGTGTTCTAAAGGATTTCACCATACATTAGGTGCAGAAAAAAAAAACAAGTTACAACGGTCAAAGAATGCACTTGTAAACTTCATAAAGCAGACTGGAACTGTACTGGTCTACCAAGTAGTCATTCCTTGGCTGACACTGTAGGTCTTCTGTTCCATGGGCATTATTATGTCATTAACCACTCTTACCAAAATATAAGCTTTGACAATAATACTACAGTCGACCCTCGTTAAAACGGACTAATAGGGGGGAAGGGTGTCCGTTTTAGCCGATTGTCCGAATTAACCGATTTAGGGGTTAATATTACATTATACAGCTATGTGTATGTTTATTTGAGTGCCCCGTCATAGGAGTCCGTTTTATTTTACTTCAGCACTCCTGACTCGTCCGTTTTCTCTAAATCTAAGAGTGAACCAGAGACTGTTATATCTTAGTAGTGACACAGAATTTGATATTGCAACTGGGGTTGCAATTGTTGAGGCAACTTAGGTATGTCTGATTACAGTTGGAATATTCAAGATCCATTGTGAGTGATGTTTAAAGCTTCAACTGTCTTTATGGTTAGTAAAACTTGTCAAGTCTGTCAGTCTGAATGGCATGTGTGAGGCCTTGTGTTTGTACAACCGCTAAATATATAAATATATAATGTTATGATAATTATTAGAAACACATAGGCATAACGAGGTTTATTACAAAGTGATGAAAAGGATACTGTACAGTGGCTAGTCCACAAAACATGTAGCCATGTCTGTTTATTTGAGTGCCCCGTCATAAAAGTCCGTTTTCTCTCACTTCAGCACTCCTGAGTCGTCCGTATTCTCTTAATCTTAGAGTGCACCAGAGACTGTTATATCTTAGTAGTGACACAGAATTTGATATTGCAACCCCAATTGCAACTGGGACAATCCCAGAACCAGAAATTTGATATGGACAGTTCAGATTTCGTCCAATTTATCCGAAATCCGGATTAAAGGGGTCCGAATTGACGAGGGTCGACTGTTACTATATTACCACAATATTCAAAAGCTAGGTGGCACTCTCCATAAGCAGCCTATGTTTGGAGGTTGGTAATGCAAACTAAAAGCAGGGAAGTATTGTTTCCTGGAAGAGGGAACTGAAAGAATGAGTTGTCAATGTAATCAACTGAAAATAAGGGAATTAGTAATGAAATCTTTAAATACACTGGTTCACTTATATTTGTAAATAACAATTATCTCTAAAATAAAAAAATTATGACATCAGAACATCATGTTCAGATTATTTTTATAATACTATTAACATGGTGTAATGAGCAATTTTCTCAAATTTTCATGATATGAATAAGTATACAGGAAAACACATATAAATGCACACTAGTTTTGGATTTATGTGGAATAAGGATTATCTATATTGACTATGGGGACATATATACTGAGGGACACCAAAACCTGGGGTTTAAATTAGTACATAGAGCATTCCTGACAGCTAAGGGTTTCAAAGTGGTACACTGGAAGCATTCCTGAAAAAGTAAATTCATCATAATCCTAGCCTGGGTTATGCCTAGTTATGCTCATAATGAATATGGACATGATGATATATTAGAGGCAACTTTAAGAACAACACTGTAGTATCAAATACATTCTTTTCTCTTGTTAATAAAATTATCTCTTCTTGACCAATGCCGTTAGTAAATTCCCAAGATATGGAAGGGTGAGTTATCCCGAAACAAATAGAATGCATATCAATTAAAAAGTAATTTTGTGACGAAGCCAGCCCAGACACCTTCTAAGACACCCAACTCACCACCAGTCTCAGCTGTGTGTGTGTGTGTGTGTGTGTGTGTGTGTGTGTGTGTGTGTGTGCCATGATGTTACATGGAAGGGAAGGAGGCAGGTGAGTCAACCATGCAGTTCAGTTCACTGCCTTCACATATGTTCACCTCCCACACACACACACACACATATGCTCTTCATATTTTCTTTATTTCTAAGCTACATTAGAGTATTTAAATTTTTACTCTTTTGCTCTGTAATAAAGATAACGGTTTTACTAGGGTGGACCATAATATCCTGAGGAATAGAAGTTAAGTGTTTAATTATTTACTCAGACTTGAATTATACATTGAAATTTTTTTTTTATTCTTTATTTTGTAAAAGTGACCAAATTGCAGTACACTAGTATACATAAGTGCTGCACTGTTTACGTAGCATTTCTCCTGCATCACCTGCATCACCTACCATTCCCCTGCGTCACCCATCATGTCTCTGTGTCACCTACCATGAGTCTGTGTTACCTACTAAAATGCTTCATTGTTTGCCTGCAGTGCTGGTAAGTGTTACTTTTTGAAAATTAGTAATTACCTGTACATGTACACATACATGGACTGATAATTTTTTATTGTTGTATTTTTGTGTGTGTGTCCGGGGGGGGGGGGATATGCGTCGAAAAGTCAGAATTTGAGATAATTCAGCCGAATTATCAATGGTTTACTGTAGCTGCCAACCTCAAGGCTTGTATCATTGGAACTAAGATGGTTGACCTTTCTTTGTTCTTCTGCAGCTAAGCTAAACAAAACCAGCTAAAGAAGTGACTGTTACATGTATCAGCCTTTTTACCTCTAGGTAGAAAATATACCAAATGCTTCCTTTCAAAAAATCGGGTATGGTTAGGACTGATTAACTAATTTTTCAAATTTTACAATTTCTAGGTCAGTAGCCACAAGTCTTGGCTCCCTGAGAGCCTACCCTGTTTTCACTCCATAAACCTGCCGATTAAAATAACCACTTAAGACCATAAAGAGGTTAGAAAGGACAATCTGCAGTGATTGAGAAATTAATACTGTGACTATATCTGCTACAACCAGATTCTTTCACATCTTTTTCCTGAGTTTGAACTATCAAGCATTAAGAAGAAAAGTAACTTCTTTTTTATGAAGTTTTTCTTAACAACACAGTGATGAGTTTGGCACAAACTGATGAATGCACCACCTCTGAATGCTATGACAGGATTTATGAATATATTCTATGCTTACACTAGACCCCAGGCTTAGGTTCTTACAGAGTTTACACTTAAAAAGAACAGTTTGTACTATATAAATTCAAACAACAGGCAGCTTTAAGAGAGAGAAAGAGGTTAAGGCAGAATGCATATCATCTCTATTAAAAATAAGATGCCAGTGAAATACACCTTGCAGTATTGTGAATTTCAGTGCACCTTCTTCAGAGGTATTGTATACTATAAAAATAACAAACTGATTCTGCAAAAATTGAAGTTGTTGCTCATCTAATAAAATAGTGGGAAGTTAAGATCATTCAAGCATTTGCAGCAAAGCAGAAAAATGGTGTGAGGATATGAAGAGGAAAGAATAAATCTGTTAACTAACCAGTGTTGCGTCTCACAGAAGTTGATCGAGTAACGCTGCGGCGGTGCGTTGCTGGGGAGTCATGGTGGCTGCTAGACCTACTGCCTCGCCCACTCGAAGACTCACTAAAAGAGGATGATATCTGTTTAGCTAAGTAATTGTATACAGTAAATCAAAACTAAAACACAAGCAAGAATAATGATACTGTACAACACAATTAATAATATTCTAATAAACTAGGTAGTGCAAGGCAAAAGATACTGTACCACTTATTGTTAAATGGTGGCCAATATGAATGTAATGTAGATAATTATATGCCAGGCAAGTGAAGTCTGTTTGTATTTATATCTTATTCTAGCGTAGGTAGCAGGCAGCTACCAAACAGGGAAGTACTACTGCCTGGGAAGATATTGGAAGCATAATGGTAGACCCTGCTGCCATAGGGCATCACAATAATTGTGACCAAGTCCCAGGTTGCTGATCTTACTTTCTGCCTCATTTACACACAATTGCAGGGTCTCAATTGTTTCTCTTACTTTGACAACACAACAAACATACTGTATATTGTTTCTTACAATTGATAGTTTTTTTTTATGGTCCATTATTATTATTATATATTTCATTTTACTTTTTTTTCATTAATTATTATTACTTATTATTATTAATATATTTTTACCCCCAGGCACTCATGTGGATCAATGACCTGAGCCCTGGTGGGCTAATTCCATAAAAAAAAAGGGGGGGTGGGAAATTGAAGGAGCATCCAGTCAAAAATCATTAGCTAATATTACTAGAACAAAATTAATGAGACAGGTTAGGTTAGGTAAAAAGTGATGATGATGATGAGGCAGATGCAATGACTTACCTCACATCCTGTCCATTAACAGAATGTCTGAGATCATGTTGATGCTGTTTGGCTAACTGGAGAATTTTGGCAAGTTTATCATCATCATCAGGGAGGTCAGCACCTCCCCAACCTCCGCCAGCCAGACATACCCCAGACAGGTACTGGACCAGTGCAGGGTGCTCACCTACCTGGAAGCCTCGTCCTTTACCCTGAGAGTACAGCCACTCTGCTTTTAAGCTGCCATAAGAAAAAGTCTGAGGTACAATATTGTCATCAGATAATTGTTGATATATAAAAGAATTGGTAAATTTTAAATAAGATGTATACATCAACGTTACTAATGTATGGTATTTATTAATACAGTACTGCATTTAATATTTGAAAATGCTGTAAACATGTTCCTGCCAAGGCGAGACTCTTGAAGTGAGTGGACAGATACTTATGTTTGTAAAATTACCCAGTTCATGATAGATGGGTTCCTAACATGACATAGCCCAACCCAATCAAATCAAACCTAGTTTAGGTTTGCAGTAAATCCATAAACAAGGCAAAATGGCCTGACTTAACCTAGTTAAAGCATTCCCAGTTTAACATAAGCCACAACATGTTAGGAGTCACCACATCACTCTGCGTCTAATCATCTAATGGTACACTGTTTCAGTCTGCCTTTGACTTTCTTCTGGGTCACACACATATGGTAGTGACTGACTATTCTCTGCTGTTTCTTGGTTTGTTATTTGTTCTTATTTACCCTTACAGTTAGGGGGCATACCTTGTAAATCCTAGAACACCAAGCAGTGCAATTACAAAGACATTATTATCACTATATTGTATATTACAACAGTCACTTCCACGCATGAACATACTGTAGTCATGCCACCACCATAGTTACTCCCTATACAACCTCAGTGCTCACAGAGTCAAGACGTGTCCTTGGCACCTCCTGCAAAGCTCTATTTATTAATGTACTGAGTTTTATTATTATTTTTGTGATGGCTCATTCCACTAATTATACCAGACAAAAAGACATCCGTTATTGGGAATATCTGGTACCTGTACTGAGAACTTCATTATTGAGAGGGTTTACCGTGTTTGCAGTTTTGGGGGTACTGCTTTATTTTAAGATGGAATATGTTCTTAAATTCCAATGCTCATGACACTGAAGAGGCTCTATTTGACACTAGTATGTTTTAAAGAATTGGTCTCTACTTTTCCTTCAATATCTCCATCAAAAGGGGAAGTAATATGTTACTAGTACAGGTATAACAGTATTCACTTACTGAAAATTCACATACATGAATTACTGTACTTCCAGCTGAGAGGCAACAAGAACCACCGACTCCTCTCTTTATATCATTCATTACCACAATTTACATAAACCTTTTATACATTCATTACATGTTCATCGTTTTTATGGTGGCAGCTAGCAGACATTAACCAGCTAATGCAGGACTGTGACATGGAGAGCATGCAAATGCCTCTCAAATGTATTCTATATGTATTTCATATGCTAATTTCACCCACCTCTCTTTTGGCGTGACCTTATAACCATCGAGAACCTTGAGATTAAGGCACCAGTTGATGACGTAAGGTCTGTAGTCAAAGGCCAGTGGGGGCCCTAGAGGGGCTCCAGACTCATCTGTAATATAAAACATGATATGCTAAAAAAAATAACAATGAAGGATCAATTCTGATAATCCCATATTATAACTGAATTCGGAAAAGAACTTTTGTATTCTACAAAATCTATCATGTCTATACACAGTAACCCCAGGTGACCCAACACTGATGGCTGGCACTATTCAAACACTCCATATGTAACTCACTTTACAACTCAATGGTGAAAATCAACAATCAAGGTTGAGAGATAAACAAGAACCATGCAAAACTATACCAAAAACTTCTACCAATGACCTGACTAAGACACACTTATATGAAGCTAAAGCATCAAAAGACACAAACACTTCAAATAAGAAAACCCACCACCAACAAACTACAGTAATTGAATTTGAGCTTGGATATCCCTCGTATAACACGACTGTTGTTACGGTGCTTGTTTCTCTAGAATAATCTGCCAAGGAACAGCAAGAGACATCACAAATCCAAGGAATAAAAAAGGGCCATCTAAACCCAATGCAGAAGAGGAAATACTGTACTGTTCTGACAACCAACAGAATGGCTATTCAATAAGAATTCTTCCTGAAATCTTTCACACCCCAGAAACTTCCGATCAACTGGGGGAAACATCTGCAGTCTATAACTCTAAAATAGGTTTAACCTTAACAAAACATCCAGATTTACACTGAGAGTACTCACAAAAGGATGCTTATGATGGAGCATAAATTAAGTTCTCAAGGAAAAAAAAAATCACTGTGAACCTGTGCTTATAAAGAGCAACATCCACCTTCTCTGCAAAATGACTGAAGATCTGTAAGGGAATGCACTACTCTGAGATTTATTTCCAGATTTCTTTTGAACTAAGGAAGAGGAAGACCAATTCAAGGCCTTGTGAGTGCATTATCCACTGGTCATTTACCCTGAACCCCTTTTATATGAATGTTCCTGATAAAACAGATGGAGGAGATTAACAAATCCAAGGATGAACAACTATGAGTTAATATTCATTTTAGGACCATCCACAAACATTTAGTTCAACTTCAGTTATCTTCAGAACTGACTGACCCTATGCAAAGTCTGCAAGCACTTTCTATGAATCATGGAAGTGGCATATCAGGAAGAATCCATGCTTGTCTGAAGGCATGATTCATTCCATAGGAATAGCCTCTTCACTGGTGTTCTTCTACAGCCTAAAAACCAAGCAATCTACCAATCAAAGGTGAGTTCATCTTTTCACAAGGTCCTAATAACTCAGGTGGAAACTTAATCTTTTTATCTCCTACTTCTTGACTCAATAAAGGATCAACATTACAGCACTTTTGGGCCAAGGTACAGACACACAGTCACTTAGGAACAATGCTGTTCTCCTCTGAACATATAACAGAGGCAGCCCAGTCTGCTCTGTTAAGCCTAACAATACTTAAGTTCACAGCAGGAAAATACAGGTACATAATAAATACCATAAACAAGACATCAAACATGATTGTCTTCAACCTGGAGACACCCATTTCTTTCCTGAGTTATGCATAAAATTTCCTGAGAGAGAAGGTGGTGGTGTTGGGGGAGGTATACCATGTATGAAATGGGTTGAGTTGGTAACAGAGTCTTTGTCTATTGCTAAATTATCAAAGAACTTCCTATCAGTTATAAATAGAAAGGTCAGGGCTATCCCATTTTAATCCTATTCTGACTTTTAATGTTTAAACAATGGATTGATACTAAAAAGTTTCTAAAAATTCTGCACTTACCTGTAGGCTGGATGGGGTCAAGGCAGGGGTTATTGAGAATGGTGACCTGCTCCAGGTGATTTAAGTGCGAGAGATTTGATAAGTCATTGAGATCAACAAGAGCATTATCAGATAATGTGAGGATGATGAGACCGGAAGGTAAATACTTGTTGCAGCGGTAGAGGGTAGTGACTCGGTTCCGATGGATAAACAACTCCTGCAGAAATCATACAAACATTAGCCACATCATTTATGTATACAGGGTACAATAAAAAATTTGATAAATCATGAGGTTTGCAGAGAACTAATTTCAAAGGGGACTTTAACTTTTACTCTTAGCACAGATGAATGCAATCAAGGATCCTTCAGACAATGATCAGAAGCCACCAGGGCATGTCTGGATATGACAGTCTGTTTACAAGCTAAACAAAAACACCTGTTATTGATTTAAGTGCTCTGGTCAACCCAGTTGTGCATTACCTTGTGCTAAAACATTAGAATGAGTGGATCAAAAGGATACTTTAAGATCAGTTATATCTTGGTACATTATGATGTAAGCAACTCAGACATTGATGTACCCAGTATAAATGCTGTGTTAACTACATGTAAGCCTACTTTATTCAGGTAAAGTGATTTCTTGTTTCTGAGTAATAATCAATCCTACATGTGATATTTGTATGAGAATCTAACTAAGCATGATTTTGCAATCTCCCTCTGAGAAATGCATTGCAACATAAAATGTTTGTACAGAGTATAACACATGGTAGCCAGGAAAGGTGGTATCCTGGTGAATTCACTGGGTGAATACCCATAGCTAAAGGTTAACAACTTTGTGCCCTGCATAACTTATATAATATCACTCCTGTTTGAAAGTTGGTAATGCTAAATATACAAGATAAAAAAAAACATTTACAACTCACAGAGCAGTCTCAAGCCTGGCAAATGCTCTTTAACATTATGAAATGCAAGACCCTACATGTAGGATACTACAACCCTAATCACAACTTTTCTGTTTATAGCACTTTCATGGATACTGTCGATAAGGAGAAAGATTTAAGCAGCATGATATATAATACACCAAAGGTGGTGCAACAAGTAGGAGCAGCAGTGAGAAAAGCTAACCAAGATTTGGGAATTATAAAGCCTACTTTCAAATACAAAAACAGGAAAATGCTCCTTCAACCATACAAACATTGTGTACATCCCAGTGTATACAGACATGGAAACCCTACCTCCAGAAAGATCTAACATCCCTAGAAAAGGTGCAACACAGAGCAACTAAGATAATTTTAGAACTATCTCATCTCAATTATCCAAGTAGAATGAGGGCCTTAGGACTAACAACCCTTCAAATAAGACACACTAGGGCAGATCTCATTGAAACATACAAATCTGGAAAACGTGAACTCGGGGCATTTCTTTGTGATGTCACACACCACTAAAGTGAAGGGGACACAACTAAAAGCTAACTGAGTTATCATGTACAACAAACAAAAGGAAATATTTCTTCAAACAGAGGGTGGTAGACCTGTGGAAGGGTCTACCAGCCCAAGCTGTGGAATCACATACAAACAGACTGGCTTCAAAATAGTCCTTGACAAAATTATAATGAACAAAGGAGGGATACTACACAAGCTACGGACTCCTCCCTCGGCATGGCCATTACGTAAATAAGAGAAAAAATCTCAAAATAACCCATGTGACTTGCTTTACATGACAGATATCTTCCTATGGGGAAAGGACCTTCCAATCACCTTTTCAGATGTTTAAGGTTTCAAAAGTTTAAAATATCTCATACCATTAACCACATCACAACCTAGACAATATCTCATTAATTCATTTACTATGATGTGTCAAATTTGTATACAGTATAAAGTACAAAGAAATCCATAACATTATGGGGCATAAAGTTAAGTGTAGCTTAAGCTAATGTACCACTAATTATCAACCTTCCATTTGCCAGATAAGAGAGGGTTAACCTTTATTTTAACTGTTCTATGCTCATAAGAGAGGGCCTCCATGATGTGTCATAATATGTTGACAACTTCACCTAGTCAGACCTGCTAGTTTGCTGGCAAGATTCATAGAACTTTCAACCTATTGCTCCTTCACTATGGCAATACCACTTTTAATATTTTATTTGGTTTATGCCAGATGATTTTATTCAACACAGAGAGACCCCCGTACACAAAGGATTAGTGGTTCTCTAGGAATTTTTTTTACTTGTTATCATGTCTCACAAACTGAAAAGCTTTTGAGTGATGCCACCTCTTATTACATCAGTCTGGACGAGATATAGCAACATAAACACCATGTAATATGTAGACTTATATTCAAGATGTGGAATGGTAATGCCTACGCTTAGTAAGTGATAAAGAAGAGTCCGGCATGGAATAGAGGGATTCTGTGTCACTATTGGGTTCTTTTTCAACTAGATCAAAGATTCTTTGCAACTGTGTCGCCTGATTCTGAATATGGAGAAAAATTATCTTCATGAATTTTATTAGTTTTTGGCAGCATCACATCTAACTTTGTACAAGTCATTAAAGACCTTTCCAGTTAAAACACATAACACATTAAAAACTGTCAATTATATCTGTCATGGAACTTACAGCAAGCACTACATCAGCAGTATACAGAAGTACACAATGAGTGTATTTTCTTATGCTCAAGGACGTGAAAGTCATGGAGCCGCCTATCATGTAGCTACAGTACATGTACCATGATTTAAGGGGAATACCTCCAACAACTGGCTAGATTAGAGTGAGTTAATTGTCCCAACTAAATATGTATTACATTGCCCAACTCAGCCTATGTGAGCTAGTTACAGGCCCCCTTAAGGATTCATGACTGATGATACTGTACTAGGAAAATCAAATGGAAGCAGGCAAATCCCCCATGAAAATGAATTGGATTTTACCTGCAGATCTGCATCCTAACCAAGCCTGGTTATCCAACAAGCCCTCAAATCAGCTGCCCACTCATGGTCATTCTGCATGCATAACCCGGCTCATGTCAGGGTCGACCATCATTGGGACGTGGCTTAGTTCCTCACATGGCTAAAAATCATACATCATGAGAACTGAGGTACTGTTCAAGGTTTTGAGGTATGGGTCACAGCACCGGGATGAAGATGACCCATCCCACCGCAAATGCTTATCAGGACTTGCAAAGGTTGCTAAGAAATGAAAACAAACTCTTTGGATCAATAAACATACGACCAAATATCAATCTTAGTTGCATAATAACACAACAAACTGCAGTAGTTCCTGCCAACTACCCTTGATATGCCACAAAAGGGTTCAGCAATGAGTTTAAATAAGCTGCCATGGGAGAGCCAGTTGGATACATCCACTCTCGATGGCAGCCCACTAGGAACTAAATTCCAAAAGTGCAGATAGATCTTGAAATCAAAGATGTTGGACAGTAGCCTTGGCATCAGGAGTGCTGATTGGACAGACATCAATCTTATAAGACCTGCTGCCTTATGAGGGCAACCATTACACACCATCTCCCTCATTTGCTGGTAATGGATGTAATGGGGTAGAAAAGGAAATTGGTAAACTCAAAATGGGTTAAGCAATCAACCCTGGCTCGTATTATGGGGGTGGTGAGGAGTCCCTTATCCTGAGTAAGCAAGTAACAATAAAAGTACTGCCTGTCTTAAGGGCACATGCAAGAAAAATGGGAAAGTAAGCATAAAGCACAACTAAAACTGCGAGTTGCGAACAATTCATTAGCTATTTGTTTCAGAAGATAACTTTGAAAAATATTTAATGAACATTATATGCAGCATATTTTACCTAAATGATTGAAGAAACATGTCCACTGCCTCAGGGAGACAGATAAATTAAATCTCAATAATAACAACACTAAATTAATTAAATTACACTTTAATGACTTACACTGGTATAAAGACTCCATTAAATGAGAATGAACTAACCTTGAGATTCTTCAACATTGAGAGATCATTGACATGAGATATATAATTTCCTGACAGGTTCAGGTGCTCTAGTGTTTTGTTGTAACTTAGCCCTTCAATCATCTGTATGGACAAGAGAAAAAATATATACAGTACAAGTGTTAGATGGGTGCAGCTTGGACATTATTCATATCAATAAATACCAGTATGTTACAATGCAATATACATACTTGATAATAAAGGAGGAGAATTCTGAATTTTATAATAAGTGTACAATACCTCTCACATCAGTTACCTTATCTAATGAAATAAGAGTGATTTTAAGTTATAATTTATTTTAAATTTAATATACTGTACTGTAATACCAAAATAAAAGGTAGAGTAGAGAACAGTACAGTACTCACCTTTAGCTTGTTACCAGCCAGATTGAGATGAACCAGATGGATGAGTTCTCTCATCCCTTCAACCTGGACAATGTTATTATTTGGTAGGTTAAGTACTCGCAGGGAGTACATGCGAGCAAACCAGTACATCCGCACAACCTGGTTGTTTGCAATAGATAACTGTTGAGAGAAAAACACCATATTTCAGAAAATTACCAAGAAAACTTGGAGGTTCAAAGAGTAACGGTACCTACTTACCTTACAAACCCGAGTTTTTGCTGTTGTGTAAAACTCATGATATAATTTTTTTTAACAGACTGCAGGAAAACAGACAACAACAGTTTATTTCTCTTACATACAAAATGTTTAAAATTATATCCTGTCAAATGAATACAGGCATGAAACTGCCTTCTCTTGAAATCTGGCTTGAAGAACCTGGACATTACTCAATTACAGTACTGTACAGTATTCACATATCTTCTCGTGCTCAACCAAACTCCTTTGAGGATTCTGCTTTTCAACTATTAATTTGAAAAGTGGCCAATTCCTTCATTAAGTACTGTATGTACCAAGTCACCATATTTGTCATTTTGAGAGATATGCGGGTAAACTAAGCTATGGCATGAAAGGTTAACTATTAAATGAATAAAATGCTCGACCTCTTAGTGACAGAGAATACACATTTTTTTTCATTTCCCCCAAGCAAATATTGTAATGATATCCTAATAATTAATGACTTAATAACATCTTACTACAGTATACTGTATATCAAAAAGTAAACACAATATGTAAACTCACCATTTACAGTATTCACAATTTACAGTATTTTAGTCAACCCCTTTACTTCTTGATGGTTTTCTTCCATACACAGTATTTATGAAACAGCAATTCATCCTGAGGTTCCCAGCAATCCTCCTACAGTGTTGCACAAATACTGTACGTGTACTGTATATACATCGATATTTATTCACCATTAATGTAATACTTTTTACCTGAATGCTTAAAGTCATTCAAAATTTTATTTGTGGTATTACAGTGGTCCCTCGGTTAACGAACGGTTCGATTAACGAAATTTTGGTTAACATATTAGCTCCCACAAGGATTTTCAGTTCGATTAACGAAATCCTTACGACAAACACGTTTTGTTGTGCGCATCAGCTGATTGGCTAGTCTGCCAATACAGTAATCGGTTCTATGTTTACATTCGTTTCCAGTGGAGTAAATATCAAGAAGGTTGTGCTCTTTAATATTTTTGCATTTTTTATATTAAAATTATTAGTCATTTTAAAATTTAGTTAACATATTGATAATATATGCAGTACAGGGAACTAATTTTTTGTGTACCCATCAGCGGCTTGACTCACCCACCAAAGCGTCTCTGTTTAACTTTGTGTACAGTGGAGGAAACATCGTGTTTGTTGGTCTCTTGAATACAGAGTATTTTTATGTTTTTACATTAAAATTATTGGCCATTCTGAAATTTAGTTAACATATTGATAATATATAGTGCAGTGCAGTATTGATTTAAATAAAATAATCTTTAATTACAGCTAGTGAACTTAAAATTTAATGGTGAAATTACTGCATCAAGCATAGGTGAGAAAGATGATTCCCCTCAGTGTTCCTCTCCAAAAAGGAGAAAGGCTTTTCATGTTAGAGAATCTGTCAGCCCTGAGGTTCCTGACATTATTAAGGAAGGTGACTCGCCTTCCAAGAAGCATTAAAATGCTTCTCTTCTCCCTTCTCCTTCACCCCCCACTTCTAATTCCCATTATCATCATCAACCAGGAGCCTTCTACATACACACCTCAAAGTAAGTGTACAGTACAGTACTGTACTGTACTGCATTTTGTTTATACTTTGTATGTACTTTTCTGTGAGTTGGAACCAATTACCCAATATCCCATTGAAATAATAGATTCGGTTAGCGAATGACTCTGTGGAACGAATTGTGTTCGTTAACCGAGGGACCACTGTATTTGATAAACTTTTATTAGAGAATATTTTCTAGTCAGAACTACTGTACAAACTCATCCAATCTGAAGTTATTGCTCATTTTCAATTCCACTGGACCCTAGGGTCTAGATATATATTTTTTGGTGACTGTACATGTGCAATGCACCAAGGAAAATTCAACTAAAGATCCTATATATAAAATACCAAACAGCATTTGATATGAAGTAAAATAAGAAATTACTGTAATTTATACAAATTTATGCTTCTTACCCTTTCCAGTTCCCCATAGCTGTCAAGATTTGCAAGGTTTTGTAGAGAGTTGTTGTCTAATACAAGAGCAGTAGCATAGGCCTGGTTGGCTGGGGCTTTTTCCAATCTTTTCAGCCTTCTACCACAGAGGTCAAGTACAATTTCGGAGTCATTCACACCTATTGGGGAAAAAAAATTATATTAGCTCAAATGTTTGTTTCTAGTAATTAATTTCTTAAGCACAATGGAAAAAATCATGTGTAATATACTTTTTATAAACAAGATTTAAAGCAACGATTCTGAAATCCCATTTCATAACAAAGGTAGGAATAACAGCTAGGGACTAAACATTTGATTAATGACAAGTTTTATTCATACCTGGAAGGGTTTTTAGATACAGTTGCTGCCATAGAAGCAGAAGGCTAACACGTTAGCTCACCACATGAACAGTATGCACATCATCATGCCTTTGTCAGCTGTTACCTGGGATTTCAGCAACCATCACACCTTCATTGCCAGTCACTTTGCAACATATACATAAGAGGAAAGGTAACAGAATCATCTGTTCCTGCTGGCATTTTATGTCTGTAAAACTCCTACCTTCTCTAATTCCTCCCAGTTCCTCACTTATCCTGTACAGTATTATGTTTTCATTATAGCCAGCCTTTCTCAAGTGTCTCCTAATAATGTCATCATTGTTCAATCTAAGCTTTCCTTTCCTCTGAGTCCCTCCCTCCATACATGCATTCATTTTCAACACCAGTTTTCCCTCCCCCCAATTGCAGCAAATGCTCTGTCCACCTCAATCGACTCTATAATTGTCTTCTTGTCAAGTTCTCTCCACTTCTATCTTCCCTAGTTAGATATCCATTCTTTCCTTACCCCACCTCTTTACCTCAGTGATCCTCCTCACCCAGTAGGTCTCACAAAAGTGCAGGCCATGCTGATTTTATACCAACAAAGCCACTGTAATATTTCAATCTCTTTCCAATCTTCCTGTCCTCTGAAACTAGTGCTACCTTCCTCCATGCAACAACCCCAACTTCTTACCTCCACCTCTGAGCTCATCTTCTGGAACTGTTCTACCCATACATATATAAAAAGCAGTTCACATGTTTTAATATTTCTTTTGCCATAACAGTAAGTACTGTATTATGTTCACCAGTGTGCAGTAACTCATGTCTTCTCCAGCTAAAATCAAACTCTATGAACCATCAGTCAATCAGAGTACCGTCCTTATATCTGATGGTTGGTGACCACACTCTTCGACTCTAAATGTTCTCAGGCTGTTTTTACCAATCCTCTAAGGTTTTGTATCTCTCTGGGGACCCAATTTTTTATTTCACTCATCTATCCCAATCTCTGCCTTCCCCTCAACTTTTTCCATTAATATTTGTTATTATTCCTTCATCCCTAATTAAATGACCAAAGTATCTCATTTTTATTTTTCTGTACATTTCATGTATATCTCTTTAAATTTTTGCTAATCTTAGTACTGTGCTTCATTTGTCTTCCTGTCAGTGTTGCTTATTCAGGTTATTCTTAATATTCGCCTATAACACCACATATAGGCCTCAAACTTCTTTCTGGAGTCTGCTGAAAGTGTCCACACTTCTCATCCATGCATCAGTCCTTGCCATACAAGCCTTTCAGCAGCCCTTTTCTCAAACTGAAGTTATATCTCTTTCCATTTAGATTATTACTGTAAATGCTGTTTTTGCTTGCCCCATTCTTGTTTTGATTTCTTCCGTACATCTACCATCACAGCTAATGTTATTTCCCAAATGCACAAAAATTCCCACTTGTTTAAGTTCCCAGTTGACTACAATAATTTTTATTTTAGGATTTATTCCCAATCTGCAAACAACTATTACTTTAGAATTTTCAGGTAAATCCTCACCTGTGTCATCCTGTCCATCATCCTTTTCCTCTCCTGAAACAAAAAATAAGTTATCAACATCTTAATATATATTAATTCTTTATACATTATAGGTATCTATAACAAATTATGAAACCCAGATCACAAAAGTAATCATTAACATTATGACCATTGTACAGTTCCTGTATATCAAGACCTTGAAACACTGGGTCTTACTGTACCCTCACTAATTCACTATTCATAATTCATAATAATTCAATATACAGCCACTCCTCGACTTATGACGGGGATAGGGACCCAAATCCAGGTCGGAAGTCGAAAATGCGAAGATAATACTACATAGAAAATCTAAAATGGGTGTCTCTTTTTCTTCTCAGCACCACAAAACTCTCACCTTTAAGCAAGCCAGCCATTTTAAAGGGAATTACAAAAAAAAATTTTTGTTGGTACACAGTGCAATCACTAACGTCAGGACTCGAAATTACGTAATTTGAAAAATTTTTTGGTACAACTGGGTCGGCGTATGTCTGGGTGGTCGTTAGTCGAGTAGGTCGTAAGTCGAGGAGTAGCTGTATTTTGTCCATACAGTTGTCCTCAAACAATTTTGTTTTACTCTCAAATCTATGCCTCCCAAAATATTTTTATATATACCCTGTACTGTATAAATAAACACTTAAAATTAAAAAAACAAAAATAACATGAATTACTGTAATTCCCTCAGAGAGTTCTATTATCCTAAATGATATGCTTATGGAAATGTGGCAGTGTTGCAATGCTAAACCTATGAATGAATGGGTAGAAGTCTTGTAATGTTGGAGGTGATTAGTGGACAAGTTTGGGTGACCTGGTGGAAAAGTTGAGGTATCCTCCTCCAACTATGAATGCTGTTATATGTATCCCTATCTGGTTCAAGTTAACACTCAGATTACCAAATACTGTATAATGTTATTGCTCTATTGTGTGGTTTAAATTCATTCTTTTGATATCAACTTTGTAGTTAACCACTGACCATTGATGACCTGAAGGTGAGATCAAAACTTGACTCAGGCAGGAATTATCTAACAAGAATTAACTGTAAGGTAAAGGTAAAAGCACTTGAGAGCATTATAAGAGATGCCATGATGGAACATCCACAACAAAACAACCTTGTAAAGGATTGCCAACACGGTTTTATGCCGGGACGCTCCTGCCTAACACAATTACTCAAGTTACTGGATATTTGGACCCAAGTTCTAGAACAGGGTGGTAATATCAACAATACAGTAAACCGTGTTTTTCACGCTTTTTTTTATCGCAGTTTTGACCATTCGCGTTTTTTTGTACTAAAAAATTATATACTGTACTGTATATAATATCCTTTAATTTTTTTTTTTAATTTCGCGCCATTTTCGATATTCCCGTGCGGTGCGGCAAACAGACGCCACCCTTTCCTGCCTCAGACACCCACTGCTCCGAGAAGCCTCAGTCCACATGTGCCTACCGTACTGTAAACGCTACTATGATTGCCTCTTCTGTTTGTCCTTCCACGTGCATTCCACATTGCTCCAGGACGTAAGCCAGCCTCATCAAAGGCAAATATTACTAGCTAAGACTCTAAAGTAACCAAGAGATCAAGAATAGTGAGGACCTTAACGGAAAAAAACAGTTTTATTGGACAAGCTCAGAGGTGGTATGAGTTATGGCTCGAGATGTGGTGTCTTTTGTCAGAATACAAGTCTTCAAGTGGAGGAATGTGGGTGGAAGAGGACTGGCTGGCTGGCGTGCCTGCATGAGGGAGGGCAGACGCCGGGAAAGCAGGGAGAGGCTGACAATGAGGGTGTTGCTGACCTCAGCAAAATACAAAAATTTTTATTTACTTGTAAATAAATTTTTTTTGTATATAACTGTGTTTATGTTTTTCCATTATTATACTACAATATGATAAGTTTCAAATAATGATGTTAGTAAATGCCAGTACAGTGCATCAGTGATCAGTGTGACCACTGGGCCGTGAGTGGAGAGCATGGTGTGGTTAAGATTTTGTTAATTTTCTCCACAAATGTTCTTTGGATGAAATCAAATAAGTACTTTCTGTTTAATAAGGCAGAGGGTGTGAGGGTGGAGCTCCCTGCTAGGAAGTTAGGTAAGGTTAGGTAGGTTTCTTTGGTTGGTTAGGTCAGGTACTATTACGTTCTAGTAAATATCGCCTCTTTTGGTAAATATTTGTCCATTGGCTGTCCTCAGGTTTTGGTAAGAGAATAAGTTTTTTTTTCTATGTTTTACTCATATCTGACCTTCATTTCTTGTGCAAATTAGCAGTTTTGCAAACAAATTAACATTTTCATTTTTAACAGAAACAGCTAAGTTGCACAAAAATGGAGGGTTAACGTGTAGATTAATGCTGCCAACGATTCTAGCAAGAACACAATGCTTTTCCACCATAATTTTTGTTGTTAACTGCTAGTGACTGTGTTCTCTGTGTTTCTTTTTTTTTTATAATTTATACTATAACACAGCATTTAGTCATCGGCGAGCCATGGGAGGGGGAGTGCATAGTGCGCGGGTCGTTTGAATCGCATTACCATGCTATATAATACATGATCCAATTCTGAAAAAATAGCGTTTTCCCAAGGGGAATACGTTATGTTAGGTTAAATAAGGATAAGTTAAATACTGACAACATTATATAACCACTCGGAGGGGGGTCGAAGGGGGCCGCCAAAGGGTGAAGTCAGACTAATGTTTGATCAAGGTTGGAAAACATCATTTTTTTTGTTTTTCCCCCAGGAAAATACTATCTCCAATAAAAAAGCAACAAAATTCATGCAGGGAAAAAATATTCTGGCGAAATCGCTCGCAACACCTAAGTAAACGTTTACCAAATGGAGATCAAATTTGAGTAAAACAAACCAAAAATACACAAAAAACCTATTCTCATACCAGAGGTACCAACCTACCTTACCTAACCTAAACTACAAGGAGGAGGAGGTAAGGAGGAGATAACTGACTCTAGGAACATCAGGTAATCATGGCGGGAACCTGCGGACAGCCAATGCACGAATATTAACCCCTCTTTTAAAATACTAATTATTATGATAAGAACATCTGTGAAAAATTTAACCAAATCGAACAACCCCCTGTGATGGAAGTGCTGTTCTTAGACATTACCCAACCTCTTAACCTTCTTGTTTATTTTTTAAGTTGCCAATGGACATTGTATTATTTGGTTTACTATTACATCCTTCTCTTTGTTATACATGTTAATGAAGTACTATGTCGCCTCTTTCCTCGTCGTAGTCAGTTTTACCGGAGGTTGGGTTCTATGGGTCTAGGTAGAGGTCATAAATTTCTGTTTTTGTCTTAGATCTTAATTTTATATACAGTAGTCCCATATTACCTTGGGGTTTGTTTGTGCTCTTGTAGACAAATGTTTCTAATGTTACAGAAAAATCAGCAACAAATCCCATAATATATTAAACACATGAATTATAAAATATCTGTATACATTAATTGTTTGAAAATATAGAGATAAAGAGAGTGAGACACTACCACTGGTGTAGGATCTATCATACACTTGATCAATAATACTATACTGTACTGTCATATATGTCTCCCTGACACTCCCTAGTTTTCAGTGTGTCATACATATGTCACTAGTTATTATTCAGCGCACATTCTGAAGAATCAATCTACTTAGGCTTATAAACAACTGACATATTGATAAAAAATCAATAAAATGCAGACTTTAATATGTAATGACTGACGTGCTGGACAACAACGTTAATAATCTTTAACTACTTCATTTTTCCTACAAGAGAGCTTTTCATCGGCTATTTTATAAGTAAATTCAAGATTAATCATTACTGTTAATACATGGAGTTCTAACAATACAAAACATGAAGTAGAGGGGTCGTCATCTCCCCCAATTTCCATATCTGGGCTACAACAGCACATACCTGAGGAGGCCATATTTGAGCGCCAATGTTTTGATGAAGTTTCGTAAGAAATCGATGATATATTTTGATGGCATTAAATCACTTATTAGATAACATTTTTATATTTTATATATATATTTGTCAATCATAATAATTTAAATTACATATTTAAGTTAAAAATTTAATATATAATGTGTTTTACGTTATATGATTTTATACGAAAGTGGAAGATAATGTTGACCGTCATTTGTTTACGTCTGGTCCTTGTAGTGTTGTTGTTCGCCATGAAGTGAGTGTTCCCGCAAGATAACCTGAAACATCGTGTTATATCTGCGTCATCTGACCATTATGAAGTGTTTAGATAATATAATCCATATCGCTATGCTAGGGAATTCTTATGATGGTTTATTTTTCTTTCTTTCAGGCTTCAGCTTTGTAATTTCAGTGGATATAAAATCCAACCCGGCCATGGGAAAACCATGGTCCGGACTGATGGCAAGGTAAGACACTTAAATAGTTTTTATAATCCCATTAAATTTTGTATTCTTTAATGTGATTTGCCCTACACGCATTCTGTAATATGAAACCATTATAAATTGATTCGGGGATAAATACTCCGAGTAATGCAGTCTTAAGTATGACCATTTTTAGCACTACTATTTACAAGGATATATTTTTACCTCGTAAGTTTGTATGGAAACTTAACTGTCACGTCAGCTATCATGAGGTCTGTGCTTGATTTAGTGGTGAGAATGAGAATCAAGACGTTAAGGAAAATACTTACAGGTAGTAATTGAGTTTAGATTGATTTTAATTCCGTGTGACTTTGATTAGGTCGCCCCATGCCCGTCTGTAGTGTCTTGGAGGGCACTACTCGGTTGAATGTACGTATATCCCTGGAGCTGGCGGACCCCCACAAGGGGTCACAGCTCAAGGTTGAAGGAGCCACAAGTCCAGAAAATTGTCAGGGCAAGTTTTATCGGAGTGAGAGTTGTGAACTCTTGGAACAACCTGCCAGAGAGTGTTGTGACTGTACTGGAGCAGGCTCAGATACATTCAGGAGCCAGTATTTGCCAACAGTGTGTAACAGAGACGTGACCAACCGCCCAGCGGCTAACGAGCCGAGCAGTGGTGAAGAGGATAAAAGCTACCAAACGAAGCATTTGCACAAGAAATGATTATCACATCAGTACGGCAGTGGACAGTTTGGTGTGACTGGTAAAGTTCCTACTATTGCCATATTACCGTGAGTGTGCTCTGATCTGATGGGTTAGTCGTCCATTACCGGCGAACACCTTGAGAATATTTCAGTGCTGGACAGCTCGTACTCAAGCAAGTCATACCCATCAGAACATGTCGAGTCGTATCCAATTAAAAGATAATTCATGAGACAGTTTGTACCCATATACAGTATATATAAAGAGAAATCCACCATATGCAGGAAGGAAATAAATTAAATAAGATTAAAATTAGAATGCTGGCAACAACCTTTAAGGGAATAGTAAATTCAACAGGACTGAGATAAATGTGGAAAAGACTAAAACATTGATCACGGAAATAAACCAAAGGCAAAACCCACAACGTATCGGTAGAAGTGGAATGAATATTTAAAAAATTGAGTCCTTTAAATACCTTGGAACACGTATGACATGAGAATACAAGATTGAAGAAGAAATTAGCGGACCCCTCGTAAACTTGTTTACAAAATCATTAGACACTGGAGTTGTGCCAGACTTGTGGAAACAGGCAAATGTAGTACCCATATTCAAAAAGGGAGACAGAGCATCATCGTCAAATTACCGGCCGATCAGTTTGACGTCAGTAGTGGGGAAATTTCTTGAATCAATTATAGCAGATAACATCCGATCGCATTTAGAGAAAAGCAAATTAATCTACGACTCTCAACATGGGTTTACAAAGGGAAAATCTTGTCTAACAAATCTGCTGACTTTTTTAGGAAAATCTTCGAGGTAATAGATAATGACGAAAATTACGATGTTATTTACTTAGACTTTAGCAAAGCATTTGACAGATTACCGCATCAGAGGCTTCTGAGAAAATTTAAGGCTCATGGTATCGAGGGGAAAGTTTTAAATTGGATAAAATCATGGCTCACCGATAGAATGCAGAGGGTCAGCGTAGATGGTGTTAAATCTGAGTGGGGTCGTGTAACCAGTGGGGTTCCCCAGGGGTCAGTACTAGGCCCACTCTTGTTCATAATGTACATAAACGATCTAGATACTGGGATCAGCAGTGACATAAGCAAGTTTGCGGATGACACCAAAATAGGGCGGCAGATTAATTCAGGGCAGGATGCAAATGCATTACAGGAGGATCTAAATAAACTGCAGGGGTGGTCTGCAAAATGGCAAATGAAATTCAACACCAGCAAGTGCAGCGTACTTAATATTGGAAGAACAAATACTGTCACTGTATACAGCCTTAACAACATCAACCTAGAGAAGTCGACTTATAAGAACATAAGATTGGAGGAAACTGCAGCGGGCCTATTGGCCCATACTGGGCAGTCCCGTTTACACCCAACCCCTATTGCTCATATAAGCATCCAACCTATGTTTGAAGCTATTCAGCGTATTCGAGTTAATGATGATATTTGGTAACTTGTTCCATTCATCCAAACCAGTGTTTACCTATTTCACGCCTAAATCTAAATTTGTCTAATTTAAAACCATTGTTACAAGTTCGCTCCTGGTTGGATAGTTTGAGTACCTTTGTAATGTCCCCTTTGTTTAGCCCTGCCTTCCACTTATACACCTCTATCAGGTCGCCCCTCGTTCTACGTCTCTCGATGGAGTGCAAATTAAGATGCTTTAACCTGTCTCTATACTCAAGGTTCCTAATGCCCGGGATTAGTCTTGTCATTCTCCTCTGAATTCAATTGTGAAAGAGACCTATGGGTACTTGTAAGCCCGGACCTACAGCCTAGAAAACAGTGCGTTAATGTTCGAAATAAGGCGAACAGAATATTGGGTTTTATATCTAGAAGTGTAAGTAATAAAAGTGCAGAGGTCTCATTGCAACTATATCTTGCGCTAGACAGGCCGCACCTCGATTATGCGGTTCAGTTCTGGTGCCCTTATTATAGAATGGATATCAATTCACTAGAGTCGGTGCAGCGAAGAATGACGAAAATGATTCCGGGACTTAGAAACCTTCCATATCAGGATAGGTTAAAGAAACTAAACTTGCACTCCCTAGAAAGACGAAGAGTGCGGGGAGATATGATAGAAGTATTTAAGTGGGTGAAAGGAATCAATAAAGGGGATATAGATAAAGTTCTTATAATATCCGAGCAGGATAGGACTTGAAGCAACGGATTTAGGTTGGATAATTTTAGGTTTAGGAGGGTGATAGGAAGGAACTGGTTCACAAATAGGGTGGTGGACGAGTGGAACAAGCTTAGCAACTATGTAGTGGGTGCTGGAACGCTGGGAAGTTTCAAAATGAGACTGGATAGATTCATGGATGAGAGAGAGTGGTAGTAACTCTCGACAGGAGCTGCCATGCACAGGCCAACCGGCCTATTGCAGACTCCCTATGTTCTTATGAAAAACCAATGTCTTCTGGGCATACTAAACAAAGGTCATGTTAATGATGTTGTGCAGTATAAGGATAGATAATGTCATGGATGTCGTTTTAAAGACAGTGAACTTTATATGAACATGAGGTCTGAACCACGGACAGTTCAACTGCTTTTTGGAAGAAAATGAGTACACACGGACTGCCATATCACACTGATGTTCGCCAGTTAAGTCGAGGAGTTGTACTGAAGCTCTGAAATGAATTGCTTAGTGAAATACAGATGTTTATGGTACAAAAAGGAATTGAAAGATAATGATTGGGTTCAAGATCTAGCTTTCATGGTGGATATTACAGAGCACTTAAATTACCTGAACACACAGATGCAGGGATGTAATAAGTAACAGTTTTATGACTGCATTTGTGCCTTTGAGATGAAATTGCAGCTTTTTGAAAGGCAACTAGCAGAGAGTAGTCTTTCACACATTCTGACCTTAAGTCCCTACATGGCACACCTGAGCTTCATGTTGATACTAACACAGAAAAGTACTGCATCAAGATTGCCAAATTAAGGAATGAGTGCCAAGAAAGATTTGCTGAATTCAAACGCCTTGATAAAGATTTTTCCTTGTATTTCAGAACCCATTTTCTGTCAGTGTTAATGAGGTACAGTCTCACCCAAAAATTTTAACTCTACCAACCAGCTATTGCTGATCGTAGATAGAGGAAGGGGGAAAATGGAATGAAAATAAAAAGTTGTCATACCAGTCTCTAATTTATTACTTTTCATCCAAAGTATAACTGGTAAATATGAACGAAGTATTTAAACGCATTCTGGTGCTAATCATCTCCTTCACCTTTACTGAATTTCATTTCTAATGGTTTGAAATTATCAATAAAATAATACCTTATGTAAATTTTTCTGTGGCCAGAAGTACAGTACAGTACTTGGTTTTAATTTAGATACCAGTCAAATATTCCTTGCCTATATTTTATTTTGAATTGCTTTGCTTTAAAGGTAATATTTTTCTTTTCTTCAGGTATATGTATTCCTCAGTGCCAAGTGTGAGCGTGCCCACATGATGAGAAGAAATCCTCGAGAGATACGATGGACAATTCTCTATAGGTTTGTAGCAAAGGTTCTTTCAAGTCCTTCCTATAATGTGGATGATGATACTGTATTTTGAGAATCCCTGATTGTTCAGTAATTGCTACCAGTGGACGTTGAAGTTTGAACATAATTAAATGGTTATGGGATTAAAAATACTCTAGCTAGCTATGTATACCTGGCGGCATTGTTGGGATGCCAGTGCTGGCAAAGAAGCTCTGGTGGATTACAGTGGAGATATGTCCAAAATGCCACAGAAGTGGGAGATTACCCTGCCAGGCTTTGCATCGTCCACTCTAGGCATCACACATAACATAGCCACCTGATGGCCCAAGAGCCCCAATCAGTGTGCAATGAGTTCTTAGTCCCATTGATTATAAAAGGCTGGTCAAGTGAATTTTGAGACAGACCCCCTCAGTTCTGCTTCTTCCTCAAAAGCTGGATTTCAATGGGAGGAAGAGACTAGTAGTTTTCATCTCTTATGTTCCATTGTTCTGTATTAATACTTTCCAGAAGAGAACTGGAGAAAATATGATAATTTTGGTGCTGGGTTCTGCAGTGTGCCTATGTGGATTTTCTCAGAGTATTGTGTTTCTATGGCTCGTTCAGAACTTCATAGTCTTTTCCATGCTTGTGTGGGTTAATCATGGTTATCTTGTGGAGATTTCTGACTAATATAAAAGAGAAACAATTTCATACGTTATAAAAATGTGCGTTGGTTGAACCTTTATGGTAGATGAGTTGAGGCTGACCTTTGGTGGTTTTCCTTTTAACCTTGGCAAGTCAGTTTTCAAAACTACAGGCTGCATGGTATGAGTCTCGAAGGAATACCAAGAAAGAGCTGCCCAGGCAGTCTCTGGTTGTACAGTGTTATCTATTAGTTGATTAGGTTACAATGATGGTGAATGTGACATAGAACACTAGGTTTTTATCCTTATAAGTGCATCTTTTGAGGTGGAAATCTAATGGGAATGGCTAGAGATTGATGTTTGGAAACCATCATGGCTAATCCAAAGGGAAAGAAGAGTTCTATACTAACTGATATGTCAGACCATTTCTAAAGTTTACTAGAGGGGAAATCTTTACTTCTACTCTCTTTTTCAGAGTGATTGTTGCACTAAAGGTGTTAATTGATTGTAAGATCGGTCCCAGTCACCACCACAGGCTTAGTTTATATGCTCTTCCCTTTTTATATGAAATTTTTAATGGTACTGTATATTTGTTTCAGCCCTTTACTTTTTTGACACTCTTAACATGTTTTGTGAATAATGAGAATTGTAAATATTTATTAGTTGCATAATTTACTACAGTACAATATATTACAATGTGAATTTCTCTCCTCATTCATCTTACTCCTCAGAAGTATATTGCGGCCTATAAATCGACCTGGCATATAAGGCGACCTTAATTAATTCAACTGAAATTGTTGATATAGGCCTATACCTGGCAGTTAAGTCGACCCTCTAAGCTGCAATTTGAAAGCTACGTCCTTGGTGCCAGCTAAACTTTCCAACATTTACTTTTTAACCATTCACAAACAAGCTTTACCTAATTGGAGCATTTTCAAAACTTTAAAATACCTTTTGGTGTTAACCATGGTTTTCTTACACACAAACGTTATGAGGGCACACAAATGTGTTCATAAATTTTTTTAAGATACACAGTACCCTAGGTGAGTAATGACAGTTTGCCAGTGCTGATAGTTTATTGTTAAAGCTGTATATTGACAAGTAAAAAAAATCAAGCTTTATTATTATGGTACATGATAAGCAAAGTATATTATACATTATATTGACAGCTCAGTATATGGTAATACACTGTACTTGCAGTATATAGCAGCGAGCACACAGACTCTTGGTACATGATTAAAAAGGGTTATCATATTTTACTTAAAACAATAAAAAATAAAACATTAATTTAACAGTAGTACTTTATATTATTAATGGTAGTACACTGTGTTGTTAGTACTGTACTGTATGTGGCAACAAGCTATCGAAGTTTATGGTCTCTGGTCCTGGTAAATCATTAAAATGTTACTTTATTTATAACTAAAGCAATACAAAATATAATTTGTTAAAGGTTAAGTTAATATTTAATACCGATGTAAAAGATCCAAGGTTCAAATTCTTCAAATTCTGGTTCATCTTTATCAGAAAAAATCATCCATCGTTTGGGTCTGTTGACTATGCTTCCAAATCACTAGCAGCGATGGTAAGACTGGCCAGCCATCTGTCTCGGGCACCTGCATTGCTTACAACTTTACACTACATTCGTGTTAACATTTATAAAATCCAGGTGCATTACATGAATATACCGTAACTGCATTTTTAAACAATTTAACAACAAATACAGTATTACAAGTAACTGCCCTAGTAACGTTTGTTTGTAAGAAACCGTAGTTAACACTGAAAAATATTTTAATGTTTTCAAAGGTGTTGGTATGACTTGTGTAAACGCTGACCTTAGGCAGAGTTCAGTAACAGTTACCCTTCTGAAAAAATGCTACAGTTGGGCAAAACTTGCTTGCGAGTGCTGGAAATTAAGTGACTGAGACCTACCAGTAAGGTAAAGTGAAAATTTGATGCTAGTGGTGGAGTGTACCTAGACTCCTAGAGGTTGACATTTTATACCTTTGTATTAGACGACCCCTAGTTTTGAACATGAAATTGGAGCGTCAAAAGTCAACTTATAGGCTGCAATATACAGGAAGCTCAGAATTAGACAGTCCATTCCTGGTCAACAAGGGCTCATTTGATTATCCCGAGTGTGTTCCAAATAAATTTTTTTTTATTTTAACCCCATAATTAACTTTTCTGTATAAAGCATCAGTGCAACATTTAATTGACAGGCGTAAGCACAAGAAGGGCATGGAAGAAGAGACCACCAAGAAACGCACTCGCCGTACCCAGAAATACCATCGTGCCATTGTTGGAGCTTCTCTCACAGACATTATGGCCAAAAGGTGTGTGCAAAAGTTCTGCATTTTCATTGAGTGTAGAGTTGTAAGGATTTGTGTAAATTTTTTAAAATTTTATGTAGATGTAAATGGATGTATTGTGTTCATTTAATGTCTGGCATCTTCAATATAACTAAGTGTTCTGAAACATGTTTCTGTATCAAAATCTTCATTCTTTTATAGGAACATGAAGCCAGAAGTACGGAAAGCCCAACGGGAACAAGCTATCAGGTTAGTTTTTTTTTTTTCAGCTAAGGTTATAAGCTTAGTACAATATGTCAATGGGTGTGTGGTGCCTGTCTGTGTAACAGTGTGTGTTTGATGAATATAAGCACAGAGTTGAAGGATGTTTGTAGCATGTGAAAAGGAATACTTTAAGGTTACATGTGCTGCAAAAGCTTAATGATACAGTATGTAAATATAAGGTGTTCCTCAAGAAATTGTTTGTTGCGTGTGGAGCCCATTCAAATTTCTTTTGTGGATGGGAGTGAAGAAATGATTTGAAATTAGTTTTTCTGCTTTTAGGCTTTATAGAAGTAGCAGCAGGGGTACTTTTTATTTTTCCTCTCTCCAGGGAATAGCCAACCTGGGCACATGTCATTAACCCTCAATGGGGGGGGGGGAGAAAAGATCTATAAATCTTCACCACGAAGATGCTGGAAAACCAGCTTTTTGAAGCGAGGCAGATTGTATGAGTATGGAAACAGAGGTAGGCAGAGCATTCCGGTGTGGCTGTGTGTGGAAAGAAGGATGTACAATAATGGGTTATTCTGGTGTGACCGATATCCACACAGAAACGGTGAGCACCATGGGCAAGACGTGTTACGAGCCCACGGCCTTGCCGGCAGTACACATAACTCAAATCCACCAAACATTGCCCGTTAATGTACCTGTAAAAGAGAGTAAACAACTTTGTAACGAAGACAAAGGAAAGAGAGATTATCAGCTAAAGGAGGAGAGTTAATATGATTAGCCCACTAGGGCACCTGGAACCTTAAGAAATTGCATATTTGAAAAATTGGGGCTGATCAATTGGATTATCTTTAATTTGACTTAGCTGCAAATACAGACTTGACTTTTGCAATGAGTGCAATAATATGAATAATATGTTAATGATTTGAAATTGTTTTTAAGAGCTGCCAAGGAGAAGACTAAGGCAGCCAAGGCTAACAAGAAGGCTAATGCTCCAGCTGCTGGCAAAGTAAGTGATATTTCCTTTTTCACAATTTCTTACAGGCAGTCCCAAAGTTACGAACTGGTTATGTTCTTGTACCCTGTTTGTAAGTCAAAACAGTATGAACTCGCCCTTGGATTTAAGATGTTTCCAACCCCCAGGCACAAGTGTAGTAGGGGACTCTTGACCATCAGCAGATTTTTTATCAATTACTGTAGGCATTAATAATAATTGTAAATACTGTGGCAATAGCATAATAAAACAAGTGTCCTGTACTTCATACTGTTTACAAGTTAGTGTTGTTTACCCCACACATGCCATATCACATGCATTCATGACCCAACCCCTGTGATAAGTACTACTGTACATGTATTTCTTTACTGTTTACGTCATGCATGGCCAGTTTTATGATTGGAATTGGTTACTTGTTTTTTTAAATTTCCCAAATATACCCACGTCTAGATTAAGGAGAAAAAAAAACAATATTTCTCATCTCTGAGCAGCTAATGCTGTAATGTGTGCACAACCTGTGGCATTCAAAGGGTTGCACAGTACTGTACTAAGATATAGTATTTGATGACTGGTATATCTGTACTACAACCATCATTAATATGTGATGATAAAGATAAATGTAGAGTACATTTTTGGTAGATTAAGTCATTTGAGACTTAATTTAACTTTGAGGCTTGGAGAGAGTGGGAGTGAAATTTTATGGATTTTGTTCTTAAAGGAATTAATTTTGACCATATTTATGGTGATTACCACAAGTTATTTGTAATCAGGTTTCTGTTTTATGAAGAGGCTAATGATAGTACTGGTTTGTCTCCCAACAGACAAAGAAAACAACTCAGAAGGCGCCCAAGGTGCCTAGGGCTGGTCGTCCTGGTCATGGTGGACATGGTGGCCGTCGATAATTTAATGATCCATAAATAAAAAATTCCTTATGTGTTCACTTTTTATATCCTTAGAAGTGAACAAACATTGGTGTTAGGTCTAACTTGTATGAGATAACAGTAAAAGTAATGCTAACTTTGAGAATTGATAGACAGTATGTGAAGGGTATTGCATTAATACAATACACTGTATTGTCCACGTTTAGGTGCAATACATATACAGTATCTTGAAAGAACCCAGTTTTCTAGGTAGGTACTACATTAGCATTATTTTATTTAGTTTTATCTATATCAATTATTTTCAGAGTTTGACAAAATTACAATAACATTATTATTTATCCTATCTTTATAATGTTCTCTGGGATCTGTTGAAGAACTATCTGCTTCAGAATTGCTGCCGAGTTCACTTTCATGGGGTAGGAAAGGTAAAATGCACACGTTAAATTTTACTGAACGGTGTTGGGGGAACCTGTGACGAATATAAACTGTATCTTTTCCACTTTGCAAAGGAAATACACTAAATAAATGTAAGTAAATGAGGTATTTTGTCCTTGATTCTGGCCACCCTGCAGCATACAGTAGTAGGATATCTCTTATAAGATTCAGAAAAACCATCTTGTAGATATAAAAAAGGGCTCGTGTGAACAATTCTTTATTTTGTTGGTAAAATATAATACTATATTAATATGCTTTAATTTGGTCTAATTTGAAAAAAAAGGGAACCTGTTTTAAGTTCCGTACTTATCCTCCGAGTCCAATGGATCTCCTTAAAAGAAGACTTGAGTGGGTGAGGCATGGTTAGGTTATCTTGTTTATAGTTCTCATAACATTGAATTATATATGGCCAAGTTTAATCGGCTTATTAATGGACACTACATTTTTTTTGGGTGCAGAACTGTGTGTTCAGGACAAGGAGTAGCAGCCATAAATGGGATGGTAAATAATTTTAAACATTTTTCATAGCTATAATGAAGTAATGGAGATGTAATTTCTGATTGAAAAAGTTACATTATGAATCATGTTTTTGCTTTTTTAACTTCTTATATCTACAGTACAAAGGCCTGGTTATTGATAATGGGTTCGGTCATTTTACTCTTAGAATATTGGGTATCGGCAACATATCTTTAGATAAAATTAATCTAAACGTGGCAGATGCTGTAGTTTTAGGCCTCTGTTAAATGATTTCCTCTAAGTTGATAATAAGTTAAACAAAATCCATCTCTTAAATCTGTTAACCCATTGAGTGAGTTTGTTTATACAGTACAGGTTCTCTTATTTTTCTGTACCGCACTTGTGTCATGCTGAAGGAATTACCGGTTAAATATAATGAAACCACTTCATGGCTGTTTTTTGTCTGAATGAAATTTGTGGTGTTCTGTTACAGAATAAAAAATGCAGACATCTAACAACTTTTTCTTTGCAGGACAAACTGGAAGAAGAGGGCCAACAGCTTTGAGTGGAGTATTAGGTTAGTATTAAACTTTGACATAATATTTAATTGGTGCTTTATTTTAAGGTTGCAATAAAACAATTATTAAGCAAACCCTTCATTTAGCAAATATTTCACTTTAACAATTGTTTTTCAATCTATTGTTGATATTCACTAAAGAGGAACCATAAAGGTTAAAATCTGTTAGTGGGAGATATTTCCCCTTATCAAAATTAACTATGTTTTGTTTCCATTTCAATGTTTTAACTTCTGGTATCCAGTAGTGCACGGCTGCTGTAGTACAAAGATCCTTTGTAACGAGTATGATGTACAGTATATATCCTTACACAGTATTTGTTCTGCTTGTTAATGTAAGTTATGGTTATAGAGGTTGCAAATGCATTTGTCAACCAAAATTGTACGTTTTCTCTCAGTGGGTTAAATTTTAGTTTAACTAGGTTTTTTTTTTTTTTTTATAAACTAAACTTCCCATTAGCAACACCTTGCTGCACCAGATGTTGATGTATTTTCTTGTGTGCAATGGCACCTTGATTGCGTCAGTCTTTTATGAAATTATCATATACAGTATAACTGCTTTAACCCATAGTTGTATTTTACATTATGATGAATTTGGAATTACCGCTTGAACACAATGAAACCACATTCTTGGCTCTTTTTTGTCTGAATGAAATTTGTGGTATACTAATACAGAATGAACATGCAGGTACCTAACAAAACTTTATCTTTACAGGTCAAACTGTGGGAGACAGCCAGCAGCTTTGAATGGAGTTAGGTTAGTGTTTACACGACAGAAAGTTTTTATTCCACTTCTTTTTAAGTATGCATTTAATAATACATTAGCACACCTTCCATTTAACAGATAGTTGACCGCTGTACTCATATTCTTGTAAGAACAAGGGACTTGTACTTCCTTATGAGCGTCCACCTCACCTTTGCACACTTATGCCTTCAGTTAAGCAACTCACCCAGCACACATCCAGTCTCAACTGAATTTTTTCTTGAGGTAGCTAACTGGCAATTTATAGTCTCTTAAATATCCACTCACTAGTCATTCCTCAAAGTTTAGGCCTTTTTTGTAGTCTCACTGGTTACAAAACACTGGTGGGCTGTGCCTACCTTTGTGCTGTGAAGTAAATATGAAGCTGCTGTTAATAGGTATACTGGAAATATACAAAGCAGATATATGCATTTACAGCCATAGAAAGGATAAATGTAGTGGCAGCATTTTTTTGTGATAGCTTACATATGAATAACATCAATATTTTTCTTTATTTTACACTGATGATACCGGAATTACCGCTTGAATATAATGAAACCACTTCATGGCTGTTTTTTGTCTGAATGAAATTTGTGGTGTTCTGTTACAGAATAAAAAATGCAGACATCTAACAACTTTTTCTTTGCAGGACAAACTGGAAGAAGAGGGCCAACAGCTTTGAGTGGAGTATTAGGTTAGTATTAAACTTTGACATAATATTTAATTGGTGCTTTATTTTAAGGTTGCAATAAAACAATCATTAAGCAAATCCTTAATTTAGCAAATATTTCACTTTAACAGATGGTTTTCAATCTACTGTATTGTTGATATTCACTAAAGAGGAACCATAAAGGTTAAAATCTGTTAGTGGGAGATATTTCCCCTTATCAAAATTAACTATGTTTTGTTTCCATTTCAATGTTTTAACTTCTGGTATCCAGTAGTGCACGGCTGCTGTAGTACAAAGATCCTTTGTAACGAGTATGATGTACAGTATATATCCTTACACAGTATTTGTTCTGCTTGTTAATGTAAGTTATGGTTATAGAGGTTGCAAATGCATTTGTCAACCAAAATTGTACGTTTTCTCTCAGTGGGTTAAATTTTAGTTTAACTAGGTTTTTTTTTTTTTTATAAACTAAACTTCCCATTAGCAACACCTTGCTGCACCAGATGTTGATGTATTTTCTTGTGTGCAATGGCACCTTGATTGCGTCAGTCTTTTATGAAATTATCATATACAGTATAACTGCTTTAACCCATAGTTGTATTTTACATTATGATGAATTTGGAATTACCGCTTGAACACAATGAAACCACATTCTTGGCTCTTTTTTGTCTGAATGAAATTTGTGGTATACTAATACAGAATGAACATGCAGGTACCTAACAAAACTTTATCTTTACAGGTCAAACTGTGGGAGACGGCCAGCAGCTTTGAATGGAGTTAGGTTAGTGTTTACACGACAAAATTTTTATTCCACTTCTTTTTAAGTATGCATTTAATAATACATTAGCACACCTTCCATTTAACAGATAGTTGACCGCTGTACTCATATTCTTGTAAGAACAAGGGACTTGTACTTCCTTATGAGCGTCCACCTCACCTTTGCACACTTATGCCTTCAGTTAAGCAACTCACCCAGCACACATCCAGTCTCAACTGAATTTTTTCTTGAGGTAGCTAACTGGCAATTTATAGTCTCTTAAATATCCACTCACTAGTCATTCCTCAAAGTTTAGGCCTTTTTTGTAGTCTCACTGGTTACAAAACACTGGTGGGCTGTGCCTACCTTTGTGCTGTGAAGTAAATATGAAGCTGCTGTTAATAGGTATACTGGAAATATACAAAGCAGATATATGCGTTTTCAGCCGTAGAAAGGATAAATATAGTGGCAGCATTTTTTTGTGATAGCTTACATATGAATAACGTCAATATTTTTCTTTATTTTACACTGATGATACCGGAATTACCGCTTGAATATAATGAAACCACTTCATGGCTGTTTTTTGTCTGAATGAAATTTGTGGTGTTCTGTTACAGAATAAAAAATGCAGACATCTAACAACTTTTTCTTTGCAGGACAAACTGGAAGAAGAGGGCCAACAGCTTTGAGTGAAGTATTAGGTTAGTATTAAACTTTGACATAATATTTAATTGGTGCTTTATTTTAAGGTTGCAATAAAACAATCATTAAGCAAACCCTTAATTTAGCAAATATTTCACTTTAACAGATGGTTTTCAATCTACTGTATTGTTGATATTCACTAAAGAGGAACCATAAAGGTTAAAATCTGTTAGTGGGAGATATTTCCCCTTATCAAAATTAACTATGTTTTGTTTCCATTTCAATGTTTTAACTTCTGGTATCCAGTAGTGCACGGCTGCTGTAGTACAAAGATCCTTTATAACGAGTATGATGTACAGTATATATCCTTACACAGTATTTGTTCTGCTTGTTTATGTAAGTTATGGTTATAGAGGTTGCAAATGCATTTGTCAACCAAAATTGTACGTTTTCTCTCAGTGGGTTAAATTTTAGAGGTTTTTTTTTTTTTTTTTAAATTTTAGTATCCACACAGTATTTGTTCTGCTTGTTAATGTAAGTTATGGTTATAGAGGTTGCAAATGCATTGTCAAACTTAAAATTGTACGTTTTCTCTCTGAAGAAATAAATTTAGTTTAATCCAGTTTTTTTTTTTTTTTTTTATAAACTAAACTTCCCATTAGCAAATAATCTTCTTGCTGCACCAGATGTTGATGTATTTTCTCTTGTGTACTGGCACCTTGATTGCGTCAGTCTTTATGAAATTACTGGTATACAGTATAACTGCTTTTAACCCATAGTTGTATTCATTATGATGAATTCTGAATTACCGCTGACCAATAATGAAACCGACATTTCTGGCCTTCTTGTCTGAATGAAATTTGTGGTATACTAATACAGAATGAACATGCAGGTACCTAACAAAACTTTATCTTTACAGGTCAAACTGTGGGAGACGGCCAGCAGCTTTGAATGGAGTTAGGTTAGTGTTTACACGACAAAATTTGTATTCCACTTCTTTTTAAGTATGCATTTAATAATACATTAGCACACCTTCCATTTAACAGATAGTTGACCGCTGTACTCATATTCTTGTAAGAACAAGGGACTTGTACTTCCTTATGAGCGTCCACCTCACCTTTGCACACTTATGCCTTCAGTTAAGCAACTCACCCAGCACACATCCAGTCTCAACTGAATTTTTTCTTGACGTAGCTAACTGGCAATTTATAGTCTCTTAAATATCCACTCACTAGGCATTCCTCAAAGTTTAGGCCTTTTTTGTAGTCTCACTGGTTACAAAACACTGGTGGGCTGTGCCTACCTTTGTGCTGTGAAGTAAATATGAAGCTGCTGTTAATAGGTATACTGGAAATATACAAAGCAGATATATGCATTTACAGCCATAGAAAGGATAAATGTAGTGGCAGCATTTTTTTGTGATAGCTTACATATGAATAACATCAATATTTCCGCTTGAATATAATGAAACCACTTCATGGCTGTTTTTTGTCTGAATGAAATTTGTGGTGTTCTGTTGCAGAATAAAAAATGCAGACATCTAACAACTTTTTCTTTGCAGGACAAACTGGAAGAAGAGGGCCAACAGCTTTGAGTGGAGTATTAGGTTAGTATTAAACTTTGACATAATATTTAATTGGTGCTTTATTTTAAGGTTGCAATAAAACAATCATTAAGCAAACCCTTCATTTAGCAAATATTTCACTTTAACAGATGTTTTTCAATCTATTGTTGATATTCACTAAAGAGGAACCATAAAGGTTAAAATCTGTTAGTGGGAGATATTTTCCCTTTATCAAAATTAACTATGTTTGGTTTCTATTTCAAAGTTTTAACTTTGGTATACAGTAGTGCACGGCTGCTGTAGTACAAAGATCCTTTATAACGAGTATGATGTACAGTATATATCCTTACACAGTATTTGTTCTGCTTGTTAATGTAAGTTATGGTTATAGAGGTTGCAAATGCATTTGTCAACCAAATTGTACGTTTTCTCTCAGTGGGTTAAATTTTAGTTCAACTAGGTTTTTTTTTTTTTTTTTTTAACTAAACTTCCCGTAGCAACACCTTGCTGCTGAAGATATTGATATTTTTCTTATAACTTTATGCAATAACTTTTTCTTGATTAAATCAATGTTTTTATGAAATATCATATGCTGTATAACTTTACTTTAACCCATAGTTGTATTTACATTATGATGATGAATTTGGAGATGCAAACGAACTGGTAAACCACATTCTTGGCTCTTTTTTGTCTGAATGAAATTTGTGGTATACTAATACAGAATGAACATGCAGGTACCTAACAAAACTTTATCTTTACAGGTCAAACTGTGGGAGACGGCCAGCAGCTTTGAATGGAGTTAGGTTAGTGTTTACACGACAGAAAATTTTTATTCCACTTCTTTTTAAGTATGCATTTAATAATACATTAGCACACCTTCCATTTAACAGATAGTTGACCGCTGTACTCATATTCTTGTAAGAACAAGGGACTTGTACTTCCTTATGAGCGTCCACCTCACCTTTGCACACTTATGCCTTCAGTTAAGCAACTCACCCAGCACACATCCAGTCTCAACTGAATTTTTTCTTGAGGTAGCTAACTGGCAATTTATAGTCTCTTAAATATCCACTCACTAGTCATTCCTCAAAGTTTAGGCCTTTTTTGTAGTCTCACTGGTTACAAAACACTGGTGGGCTGTGCCTACCTTTGTGCTGTGAAGTAAATATGAAGCTGCTGTTAATAGGTATACTGGAAATATACAAAGCAGATATATGCGTTTACAGCCGTAGAAAGGATAAATATAGTGGCAGCATTTTTTTGTGATAGCTTACATATGAATAACATCAATATTTTTCTTTATTTTACACTGATGATACCGGAATTACCGCTTGAATATAATGAAACCACTTCATGGCTGTTTTTTGTCTGAATGAAATTTGTGGTGTTCTGTTACAGAATAAAAAATGCAGACATCTAACAACTTTTTCTTTGCAGGACAAACTGGAAGAAGAGGGCCAACAGCTTTGAGTGGAGTATTAGGTTAGTATTAAACTTTGACATAATATTTAATTGGTGCTTTATTTTAAGGTTGCAATAAAACAATCATTAAGCAAACCCTTCATTTAGCAAATATTTCACTTTAACAGATGGTTTTCAATCTATTGTTGATATTCACTAAAGAGGAACCATAAAGGTAAAAATCTGTTAGTGGGAGATATTTTCCCTTTATCAAAATTAATTATGTTTTGTTTCCATTTCAAAGTTTTAACTTCTGGTATACAGTAGTGCACGGCTGCTGTAGTACAAAGATCCTTTGTAACGAGTATGATGTACAGTATACTGTATATCCTTACACAGTATTTGCTCTGCTTGTTAATGTAAGTTATGGTTATAGAGGTTGCAAATGCATTTGTCAACCAAAATTGTACGTTTTCTCTCAGTGGGTTAAATTTTAGTTCAACTAGGTTTTTTTTTTTTTTTTTAACTAAACTTCCCATTAGCAACACCTTGCTGCACAAGATGTTGATGTATTTTCTTGTGTGCAATGGCACCTTGATTGCGTCAGTCTTTTATGAAATTATCATATACTGTATAACTGCTTTAACCCATAGTTGTATTTTACATTATGATGAATTTGGAATTACCGCTTGAACACAATGAAACCACATTCTTGGCTCTTTTTTGACTGAATGAAATTTGTGGTATACTAATACAGAATGAACATGCAGGTACCTAACAAAACTTTATCTTTACAGGTCAAACTGTGGGAGACGGCCAGCAGCTTTGAATGGAGTTAGGTTAGTGTTTACACGACAGAAAATTTTTATTCCACTTCTTTTTAAGTATGCATTTAATAATACATTAGCACACCTTCCATTTAACAGATAGTTGACCGCTGTACTCATATTCTTGTAAGAACAAGGGACTTGTACTTCCTTATGAGCGTCCACCTCACCTTTGCACACTTATGCCTTCAGTTAAGCAACTCACCCAGCACACATCCAGTCTCAACTGAATTTTTTCTTGAGGTAGCTAACTGGCAATTTATAGTCTCTTAAATATCCACTCACTAGTCATTCCTCAAAGTTTAGGCCTTTTTTGTAGTCTCACTGGTTACAAAACACTGGTGGGCTGTGCCTACCTTTGTGCTGTGAAGTAAATATGAAGCTGCTGTTAATAGGTATACTGGAAATATACAAAGCAGATATATGCGTTTACAGCCGTAGAAAGGATAAATATAGTGGCAGCATTTTTTTGTGATAGCTTACATATGAATAACATCAATATTTTTCTTTATTTTACACTGATGATACCGGAATTACCGCTTGAATATAATGAAACCACTTCATGGCTGTTTTTTGTCTGAATGAAATTTGTGGTGTTCTGTTGCAGAATAAAAAATGCAGACATCTAACAACTTTTTCTTTGCAGGACAAACTGGAAGAAGAGGGCCAACAGCTTTGAGTGGAGTATTAGGTTAGTATTAAACTTTGACATAATATTTAATTGGTGCTTTATTTTAAGGTTGCAATAAAACAATCATTAAGCAAACCCTTCATTTAGCAAATATTTCACTTTAACAGATGGTTTTCAATCTATTGTTGATATTCACTAAAGAGGAACCATAAAGGTTAAAATCTGTTAGTGGGAGATATTTTCCCTTTATCAAAATTAACTATGTTTTGTTTCCATTTCAAAGTTTTAACTTCTGGTATACAGTAGTGCACGGCTGCTGTAGTACAAAGATCCTTTATAACGAGTATGATGTACAGTATATATCCTTACACAGTATTTGTTCTGCTTGTTAATGTAAGTTATGGTTATAGAGGTTGCAAATGCATTTGTCAACCAAAATTGTACGTTTTCTCTCAGTGGGTTAAATTTTAGTTCAACTAGGTTTTTTTTTTTTTTTTAACTAAACTTCCCATTAGCAACACCTTGCTGCACCAGATGTTGATGTATTTTCTTGTGTGCAATGGCACCTTGATTGCGTCAGTCTTTTATGAAATTTTCATATACTGTATAACTGCTTTAACCCATAGTTGTATTTTACATTATGATGAATTTGGAATTACCGCTTGAACACAATGAAACCACATTCTTGGCTCTTTTTTGACTGAATGAAATTTGTGGTATACTAATACAGAATGAACATGCAGGTACCTAACAAAACTTTATCTTTACAGGTCAAACTGTGGGAGACGGCCAGCAGCTTTGAATGGAGTTAGGTTAGTGTTTACACGACAGAAAATTTTTATTCCACTTCTTTTTAAGTATGCATTTAATAATACATTAGCACACCTTCCATTTAACAGATAGTTGACCGCTGTACTCATATTCTTGTAAGAACAAGGGACTTGTACTTCCTTATGAGCGTCCACCTCACCTTTGCACACTTATGCCTTCAGTTAAGCAACTCACCCAGCACACATCCAGTCTCAACTGAATTTTTTCTTGAGGTAGCTAACTGGCAATTTATAGTCTCTTAAATATCCACTCACTAGTCATTCCTCAAAGTTTAGGCCTTTTTTGTAGTCTCACTGGTTACAAAACACTGGTGGGCTGTGCCTACCTTTGTGCTGTGAAGTAAATATGAAGCTGCTGTTAATAGGTATACTGGAAATATACAAAGCAGATATATGCGTTTACAGCCGTAGAAAGGATAAATATAGTGGCAGCATTTTTTTGTGATAGCTTACATATGAATAACATCAATATTTTTCTTTATTTTACACTGATGATACCGGAATTACCGCTTGAATATAATGAAACCACTTCATGGCTGTTTTTTGTCTGAATGAAATTTGTGGTGTTCTGTTACAGAATAAAAAATGCAGACATCTAACAACTTTTTCTTTGCAGGACAAACTGGAAGAAGAGGGCCAACAGCTTTGAGTGGAGTATTAGGTTAGTATTAAACTTTGACATAATATTTAATTGGTGCTTTATTTTAAGGTTGCAATAAAACAATCATTAAGCAAACCCTTCATTTAGCAAATATTTCACTTTAACAGATGGTTTTCAATCTATTGTTGATATTCACTAAAGAGGAACCATAAAGGTTAAAATCTGTTAGTGGGAGATATTTTCCCTTTATCAAAATTAACTATGTTTTGTTTCCATTTCAAAGTTTTAACTTCTGGTATACAGTAGTGCACGGCTGCTGTAGTACAAAGATCCTTTATAACGAGTATGATGTACAGTATACTGTATATCCTTACACAGTATTTGTTCTGCTTGTTAATGTAAGTTATGGTTATAGAGGTTGCAAATGCATTTGTCAACCAAAATTGTACGTTTTCTCTCAGTGGGTTAAATTTTAGTTCAACTAGGTTTTTTTTTTTTTAACTAAACTTCCCATTAGCAACACCTTGCTGCACCAGATGTTGATGTATTTTCTTGTGTGCAATGGCACCTTGATTGCGTCAGTCTTTTATGAAATTTTCATATACTGTATAACTGCTTTAACCCATAGTTGTATTTTACATTATGATGAATTTGGAATTACCGCTTGAACACAATGAAACCACATTCTTGGCTCTTTTTTGACTGAATGAAATTTGTGGTATACTAATACAGAATGAACATGCAGGTACCTAACAAAACTTTATCTTTACAGGTCAAACTGTGGGAGACGGCCAGCAGCTTTGAATGGAGTTAGGTTAGTGTTTACACGACAGAAAATTTTTATTCCACTTCTTTTTAAGTATGCATTTAATAATACATTAGCACACCTTCCATTTAACAGATAGTTGACCGCTGTACTCATATTCTTGTAAGAACAAGGGACTTGTACTTCCTTATGAGCGTCCACCTCACCTTTGCACACTTATGCCTTCAGTTAAGCAACTCACCCAGCACACATCCAGTCTCAACTGAATTTTTTCTTGAGGTAGCTAACTGGCAATTTATAGTCTCTTAAATATCCACTCACTAGTCATTCCTCAAAGTTTAGGCCTTTTTTGTAGTCTCACTGGTTACAAAACACTGGTGGGCTGTGCCTACCTTTGTGCTGTGAAGTAAATATGAAGCTGCTGTTAATAGGTATACTGGAAATATACAAAGCAGATATATGCGTTTACAGCCGTAGAAAGGATAAATATAGTGGCAGCATTTTTTTGTGATAGCTTACATATGAATAACATCAATATTTTTCTTTATTTTACACTGATGATACCGGAATTACCGCTTGAGTATAATGAAACCACTTCATGGCTGTTTTTTGTCTGAATGAAATTTGTGGTGTTCTGTTACAGAATAAAAAATGCAGACATCTAACAACTTTTTCTTTGCAGGACAAACTGGAAGAAGAGGGCCAACAGCTTTGAGTGGAGTATTAGGTTAGTATTAAACTTTGACATAATATTTAATTGGTGCTTTATTTTAAGGTTGCAATAAAACAATCATTACGCAAACCCTTCATTTAGCAAATATTTCACTTTAACAGATGGTTTTCAATCTATTGTTGATATTCACTCAAGAGGAACCATGAAGGTTAAAATCTGTTTATGGGAGATATTTTCCCTTATCAAAATTGTCTCTGTTTTGTTAAAAATTTTAAGTTTTATTTACTGGTATCCAAGAGTCATACAAAGATCCTTTATGTCGAGTATATACCCATACACTGTACAGTGGTCCCTCGGTTAACGAGATTTCGGTTAACGATTTACCTTCCATAAGATTCTTAACTTCGGTTAACGAGCAATCCCTCGATTAACGAGTTTCTTACGAGCCGACTTCAACATGTTTTCGCTTGCATTTGGCGGTCCACCAGCTGTAGTATTAGTCCGCCAATACAGTAATCGGTTTTAGGGCTAAAATTCCTTACTATTTTAGTAAATATCATGAAGTTTATACTATTCAATAATTTTAAAAGTTTAATATTAACTTTTTTAGTCATTTTAACAATTATTGAACATAATTGAAGGTAAAGACACTAGTTTCTGGCGTGCCATCCAGCCTGTTAACACACCAGACAGGCGTTAGTCTCTCTCTGTTTTCAGTGGAGGTAACATCTTGCTTGAGACTCTTTTCAACTAAACGCTTTTTTTCTGTGTTTCCAAGCAAATTATTGGTCATTTTGAAATATATTTTACATATTGACAATATATAATGCAGTGCAGTGTTGATTTAAAGAAAATAATCTTGAAATACACGAAGAGAACTAAAATTTTATGGGTGAAATGGTGCCATGGGGTGACTTCTCTTCCACCCCAATGCCTTCTCTTCTACCCCAATGCCTTCTCTTCTTCCTTCTCCTCCACCCCCATTCTAATTCCCATCATCATCATCCAGGAGCCTTCTACATGCACACCTCAAAGTAAGTGTACTTTTCTACCTTTTTTGTTGAATTTAGGCAATTTTCGGTGAGCTCGAACCGATTACCCAAAAACCCATTGAAACAATGGTTTCGGTTAACGAGCAACCTGCTGGAACGAATTGTGCTTGTTAACCGAGGGACCACTGTACAGTATTTTTATTGCTTGTTAGTGCAATTTATGGGCGGAATCCTACCGTATTCTGCTACGCCAGCCCTGGTGGCCTGTCCGAAAAATACCGAAATTGTTAATTAGGCCTTTTGGGGTCAAATGCAAAATAAAAATGATATAGAATAATACTGCAATAAGGGAAAGTATTGGAGTTTTCTGATGAAAAGGGGGGGGGGGTTCCTACCACTGGATCTGCCATGAGTTCAGTGCCTTTCATATGACATTCTCTGTAGAGCCTTTGTCAAAAGCATCAACTCTCCGTTATATATCGACTTTCGGCGAGCTTTTTACTCTTTGCTCTTTGTTGTTATTTTATCAGACATTTTAAAATTTTATATTTTATAATAGTTATCCATTGAACTCTTTTATCTCCTTTATTCGTTTTAATACTGTACTGCTCCACCTGATTTTAAAGTTGTTTAAAGAATCTACTGAGCAATATTTCATACTCTATATATATATATATATATATACTGTATATGCATAATAATAGTAAAAAGGAAATGAATTGTTACTGATATCCTATATATGTATCACATTTAACAACAAAAACGTTTTAATGATGTCATGGTCCCGTAGCCAGTCACAACGTGAGGAAGATAACCAATCAGAGCGTTCGGTAAAACACAGTCGGAATGACGGCAGCTCTGCTGGTCACTTTGCTTGACAAGTTACCTGGACCAGGGCTACCGTTTTCAGGAAATTCGTCTGCTAATGACGTTCACGGATTCTGTGACGTCAATCTTCCGGAGATACGGAAATTTTATATGTTTGGCTAATTTCTTGTCAGACAATGAATAAATATTTGTATAAATATGTTATAGTGTGTTTTTATTTATACCCATATCAAATATAATGTGAAATAAAACTTTATCAGTATTCAATAAGTCTTCATAATAAATAGAAAAGTTATCCATCAAATATATAAATATTTTCTTGTGAAATCCTGTAATGGAACTACCTCCACAGTATAAGTGAATATTCAGTATGAAATACTTTAAAACGAACGTTTTCCATACAGGAGATTTAGTGGTCCAGTCCTGCATTTTTGCTGTGTAATACATCCTTCGGACTTTCTCCCACTCAGATTTTTTTAATCTCCTTAATGGGATCCTCACCTTAAAGAAGTACCCCGCTTACATGGAGATATTCATATGCTAGATGATGAATGGCGGTCTTTGGACTGGTGCACGTTACCTGACGATATTGAATATACAAATTGCGATATTATAGAGTTTTACATGAAACTCACGAACATTGAGGTAAATGCTGGCAATAAAAATTTCCTGAACTTTTCACAATTTGCTCTGTAGGTTCATCTAATGCAGATGCCGAGAGATAACTCTCTTGAACTAAATTTGATGAAGTCGAATACCCACAATGGTCTAACAAGTAGTAGGCTCGCAGGTCGGGTCATGTTGCATCTCTAACAAAGCGTGTTCGGCGTTCGGGCCTTCGATGTTGAGCAGCAGAAATTGGGCAGTGATTACATAAGAACATCAAGATCATCTTAGTGATGTGAAAGTTTAAATCGATGTAGAATTTTTAATGCTGGACGCAATTGTATTTTTTAAAACTCTTTATCTCCACCAAGTTGGAGGTACAGCCCAGGTAAAGAGGCCTACAACCAGAAAATCATTGCCATATGACAAAACTTTTATTTTATTTTTTAAGGCCAACCAGGGAGTGTAATACTGTGCCCTTAGTTAAATCAGTTCATAGTGTTATCAGTGACTGCAGAAGAGGTTGTAAATAACTTAAAGTGAATGCAAATAGACAAGCAAGCTGGTAAGGCACCACTGCCAGCAAAAACCAAGTCGTGTTATAGGTGCCACAGAGACTTAATTTTATTTTGTTTGTGTGCTTTCTCAAGGACTGAAACTGTGCCTCAATACAGCATTCACAGGAGGTACAGTGATAGCACAAAGAGATATAGTCGTTGATGAGATCTGGAAAAGAAAGTATTAGGAAATAATAGTTAAAATAAAAAGAAATTAATAACAAAAATCAACAAGCTTGGCTATCCTAAAAGTCATTCTATTACCGCCCCAAAGAAATTTTTTATTCTGTGTTTCTAAAGGACTGGGTGGGCGTATAAAATCCGTTATTCATAACAAAATGCAGTGTACATAGAGATAGCACATATATACCGACAAATCGCCGAAGTGAACTGAAAAAAAAACTAAAGGCAACAGGGTAGGTTAAAACCAGCAGAGGGCAGCTAAGTAGTTTTTTCTCTTTATTTTTAAATAGGTGATCTATTGTAGTGGATTTCTCCCCTACAAACGCTGTTTGTCGCTGAGTAGCCGACCCCGCGAATTCCCCAGTGTATGCCTATTGGTCTAGGTCAACCAGCGCCACCCACGGAGCGGAGGTCAACTATCTACCCACGCCTACCTCCGCTATAAAAGACCTGACCTCGTGGTGACCTGTCTCTTCTAGCTACAGCCGCAGCAAGCTACACCACCTTCACCGCTGCCTGGCGGCCCTCGCTCCCGCCGGCGAGCATGGCGACGCACAAGCTCTCCTCTGAGCACCCTCACCAACCAGCTCTCTCTACATCACGCTTGTAACCATGCTGCCACTTCCCAGCACCAAGCTGCATTGTACATCCAATACAACATGTATACAGAGAGCACATTGTGAGTTTCCTTTCTCCATCCCATCCTGAGTGTGAACAAAACCACCCATACCCCACAAATGGTGACCCCTGGAGATTCGCACTCACTCAGGATGGATGAGAAACAGATCACGCTCCCAGTCTTCAAGCAACATGGAAGACTGGCTTACCCACGCAGAGGCAGCTCTCATCGGCTCTACAGCTACTGTCTCTACACCGCAGGTTAGACACCCTAGAGCAGCACTGCTTTTCTAAGCAGACACCAGCTCCTCTTCCTGCCCCAAGCACCATGTCCTAACGACCCCAGCACACCTGTCCTGCCTCAGACGTCGCCCCCGGCCCAGCAGTACCCCCTGCCACCCCTCCTCACGCAGCCCCTGCTCCCGACGCGGCCCATGCGCTTGAGTGCGGACCCACACACCCCTCTTTTCTCCCTCAGGTACCTCCCTGCTACTGTCCTGCACCCTGCTGCTGTCGTGGACCCAGCTGCTGTCACGAGCCCTCATCCGCTTCTGCTGACGCAGCCCCTGCTCCTGACCCAGGCCCACACACACCCCAGCAGGCGCATCTGACGACTCTGTACCTGCCGTGAGGGAAGCACAACATTCATCGCCTCCACACACCCTTTTTCTCCCTCTCTACTCCCACAGATATTGTGTATCTAGACAGTTGTCTTCTCTAGCGGCTGGCTCATCCACGCCATCGCCGTTATGGCTCACATGTGGCATGCACCGCCCGTTCTGCCTCACATGTGCCATGCACCCCTGCAGACAACAAGTCTCCTACACTGCCTGGAGGGAAGGAGGGAGTATTGTTGTGGATTACTCCCCTACAAACGCTGTTTGTCTCTGAGTAGCCGACCCCGCGAATTCTCCAGTGTATGCCTCATGGTCTGGGTCAACTACTAAGCCACGCATACCCCCGCTATTTAAGACCTGACCTCGTGGTGACCTCTCTTCTTCTAGCTACAGCCGCAGCAAGCTACATCTCTTCCTCCGCCGCTGCCTGGCGGCCCTTGCTCCCGCTGGCGAGCATGGCGACCCACAAGGTGTCCTCTGAGCATCCTCACCAACCAGCTCTCTCTTTCTACCTACACCAACCAGCAAGCAACACCTCCTCCGCCGCTGCCTGGCGGCCCTCGTTCCCGCCGGCGAGCATGGCGACCCACAAGGTGTCCTCCTCTGAGCATCCTCATCAACCAGCTCTCTCTACATCACGCTTGTAACCATGCTGCCTTCCCAGCACCAAGCTGCATTGTACATCCGCCTCCTCCTGGCTGGTAGGCGGAGCTGTTGCCACCTCCCGGGTGGGGGGTAGAGCGGGTGGAGGGCATGCTGCTGCCCCCTGGCTCTGTGTCGGCACAATTGCTTCCACTACCCTCCTCCTGAATATAACCCATGTACACCATTCCTGTTCCTCCTCGACTCTTCCGCCCTCTGCTTCAAGCCCTGCAGGAGCTTCTTGTGCTGTACCCTCTGCATTACCATGCGATCTGGGTGAGTGAATGCACTCCGAGATGCCTCACTCCTTACTAAGTTTTTTGCCTGCCGAATAACCTCCCATTTCTCCTCCTCACTCACTAGTGTGATCCTGAAGGGGTGAAGTTTATCCCCCTGCTTTTGTCCCAGCCTCCTCACATATCCTTAAACTGCATCTTATCGTGTTTATCCTACTCTCAGTTCCCTCTGCCTGGCTCTCAGGGACTCCAAAAAATATTACATTGTTCCTGTGCTGGAAACGTTCCCGTTGTTCCTCCTCTCCCTTAACAGTAGGTCAGTTAATTTTCATTTCTTCGACACACTTTTCCAGAGTCCCTAGCTCTGATCCTGCATTACTCTCTGCCACCTCCTGTGACCCTGCTAAGGCCTCAGCATAACTCCTCTTAGCAACCACCTCCATTCTATTGGCTACTTCCTTAGTCTTAGCAAGGATCTCTTTCCCAACTTGTTCTAGTTTGGCAACCAGGAAGGATCCAGCTTCATCTATTTTCGTCCTTAGGGAACTCGTTCCCCTATGGCTAGCAATTGCCTCTCACCTTGACTATGCAGTCAGGGCAATACCAGCAACAGCCTTCATGCTTTACGGCAACTTGCATCATCCTAAACACTGCATTGGTCAGACCTGTACCATCTACTGTATATCCATCGCCCCCCTGCAGTAATCACATATCATACTCTTCGTGGTTGTTGTTGGGGGGGCAGTGCAGACTGTGTATAGTGTGAGGTACGTTATGTTTGGGTTCACACTCAGGATGGTTGGAGAAAGGAAACTCACAATGTGCTCTCTGTATACATATTGTATTGGATGTACAATGCAGCGTGGTTACAAGCGTTATGTAGAGAGAGCTGGTTGGTGAGGAAGCTCAGAGGAGGACAGCTTGTGGGTCGCCATGCTCGCCGGCGGGAGCGAGGGCCGCTAGGCAGCGGTGGTGGAGGTGGTGTAGCTTGCTGCGGCTGTAGCTAGAAGAGGAGAGAGCGGTCACCACGAGGTCAGGTCTTTTATAGCTGGGGTAGGCGTGGGTAGATAGTTGACCCCCGCTCCGTGGGCGGCGCTGGTTGACCTAGACCACGAGGCATACACTGGGGAATTCGCGGGGTCGGCTACTCAGCGACAAACAGCGTTTGTAGGGGAGAAATCCACTACACAATCTACCAGAAAGTGTTGTGACGGCACCGAGTGTGAGCTCTTTCAAGACTAGACTTGACCAACACTGGAGCAGGTTCAGGTACATTCAGGAGCCGGTGCATGCCCAGTACTTGCCAACACTGCGTAACAGAGACGTGACCGATCGCCCAAGCGGCTAACGAGCCGATCAGTGGTGAAGAGGATAAAAGTAAAATTAAAATTAGATTCTGTTACAGGTCTCCTGGCCCTGTCTGAAAGTTTGAGAGCACAGGGTGAAGCAAAAAATTTAAGCCAAGGCAGGATGTGTTAAATATTGTATCTGCATAACATGCTTATATATATATATATATATATATATATATATATATATATATATATATATATATATATATATATATATATATATATATATATATATATATGCTGATAACCACAAGGAAAAAGAAAACACGAAGTTCCCAAGTGCTTTCGTGTAATTCACATCTTCAGGGGTGAGTGTAGCCTATATATAACAGTTTCAACAGTTTCTCACTTACTTTTATCCACTTAAGATATAAACATTAATCATTTTATCTTAAACTATAAAAAAAATGCTAAAGTAAATTGTATTTTTTCATTAGTTTTCTTAGTATGGTATCACGTTTTCTGTATTGCCAACGAAAAAATGGTTTTGTGACGTCAAAGGTAACCAATCACAGCGCGGGAAGGTAACCAATCAGCACATACTGAAAAGCAAGGTACGGATAAACGGTAGTCCTGCCCTGACCCAGACAACAGTCAACAAGTGATCAACATGGTGGTCACGAGTCTGTCTCGGCTTCTTGTTTGTGTGTTGGCTCTAGTGCGGATCAACCTCGGGTGAGTCGTCATATCATCCATGTACTGGCTACCAAGACTTGTACTGTCATTTATTATTTAATTTAATTCGTGTTATTCTTATTTGATAATTAATCCACCGAAAGGGATCAGGTGCTGTCCCCTAACATTACTTAAAGTGATTCTAGGAGAGGCGATCAGATTTGTGGATCTAGCTCTGATTTGTTTTTCTTAAAATAAGAAGTGACCGTTTCTTTGTCAGTGTATTAATGCTATTGGGTCAATGTATAGTAAAAGGCATTATTCGATTTTTGTCTAGTAAGTTAGGACAAAAAAAGACAATTTTCATCTGACACTTTTTTGCGCTCTTTACCCATAAGAGATATCGGGAGTTGGATATCCGAAAACTACTAGAACAGTTTTTACAGTATTATTGTATTTGTTGCCACCAACCGATCCAAAGGATTTTTCCTTTGCAAACAATATATAGTTTGAACAATTCTAAGACACTTTTCTTTTATGACGTTTCCCCCACAAACTACCTAGAACCCACCGATTAGGATGTTAGGTAGTTTTGGCTGGTAATATCAACCACGTATTATCTTGGTTATGGGTAAAATACTAGAATAGCGTCCTTGAAATAATTGCATTGTTTTTGTTTGAACATATTAAATAGAAAACGCCATTTCTCGCCACTGCTTAGAATTTTTCTATAACAGTAATTTTCTGATTTTCAACATCTCGATATTTCGGTTATGGAAAATATGCAGCATAGGTGCCATAGATGAAAATGGTCTTGTTTTTGTCTGAACTTCGACACAAACAAACAAAAAACCTATCGAATTATGTTCGCTACTATAAATTGACCATACTGCCATGATTAGTTAAAAAATAAATGACCTGAATTTGGATTACCGGACCTAAATATATGCTACAGGAAACCCTGGCAAAGAGCTAACTGGTCTGGCATTTGGGCAGCCGCAGGGAACCAACACCGTGCTGAAAGTCATGATCAGCCATATCTCTGATGAAACTGGCCGTTGTACATGATATCTTACTGTATACATAATTAGGCGAGAGGGTATCATCTGTTGTGGTTGGAAAGTAGCCAGATCAGTGAGATCACTCTGATGCCCTGAATTATCGGCACATCGCTTGGACTTCATGCTTGTGTAAACTAAAGATGGTCAACATGTTGTGTGGAGGGTTCATTTCCCCGTTCCAGTATGGTTTCCGGAGGATGCACTCCACCAACTATGCTTTGATATGGCAGGCCTTTGCTGCCAAGTTGGACTATGTAACTGTTGTTTTCGATATTGCGGTGGTATGGGATCCTCAAGAATTTCCATGAGTTTGGGTTTAAGAGGGAAAATAGCTAATTTAGGTCTTTTCTTGCTGAGAGCAATTTTCATGTTCTGTTAGGGAACTCTTTCTCTGCTCTGAAGTGTACTATCCCATAAGTAATGTGCTCGGCATTACCTTTGTTTGCGATCGCCATCAGTGGTATTGTGGACGTTCTGCCTTTTAATGTTTCAAGCACCCTTTATGACTGCGTAGATAACCTGGTGTATTATCTTTATCTGCATCAAGGATGTCGATGGTGGCGCGCCACCTCAGTTGTAAAGTTATAAAATAAGTATGGGTAAAATTTGTTTCGGCCATCCCTCTTTAAAAACAGGTATATCCAAACTGTTTTTCCGACGGTTCTTCACGTGCTTTGAATAATTTTGACCTTCATTTCTATTGGAAATCACTAGTTTTGAGATGCCCCCTGTTATCCAACGGTAATGGTGGACATCCAGTGGGAACCCGGGATTTTGGGTGGGGGGAATATCACAAACTAGTGGTTTCTGACATGACGGTCCAAATCGTTCAAAACGCATCAAAAACTATCCCATCGGAAAAACCTAATTTGGATATCTAACCTAACCTAGCCACAGAACCCAGGAACTATGTCTTACCTCACCGGGGGGGGGGGCTTTGCCTCCCCTAGACACCCCCCCCCCCTTTTCTGGTCCAATAGTTAAATTCCCAAGATTCCCCGGACGACCGAAACTAAAATAATACCCAAGTATATTATACTGGTATTAAGTAGAAAAACTCCTGGTGAATACGGGTTCACTTGATGTGTTAATCCATCAGGTGTATTGTTTACGAATCAATTAATCAATCCACCACCGGATTAATATTCTAAGCATTGAGCCAAACATAATGAAGAGCTCGTCCCAAAATAATGGAATATGATCATGGAGCTAATCTGAATCTTTACCCTTAGTTAACTCCTTTCCTTCCTCAGCATATTTGGAAAATGTGCCATAAATCGTTTTAAATATATAAGTTGGCGTCCGTCTCCTTAACCTGCCCTGGCGGAAATCACTTAACACTGTGATGATCCTGCAGGGGTTACGTGGTGACGACGCCTCAGCGGTGGACATTGGGAGGACGCAGTCATGTGTGTGTGGTGGTGACGGAGCCTCACCACTCCCCCGGTCACCTCACCCTTACCCTCAATGATACCAAGAATGTGGACCTCACACCCCTCGCCACCCTCCACCTCCCTCCAGGTCAGTTAAGTAAAGCCTTCACTTTCCTCCAGGTCAGTTAAGTAAAGCCTTCAGGTTCCTCTGGGTCCCGCTAGACGCTAGTAACGATATAAGGGGATACTTTAGTTCAAAGGTCCCACAATACTGTTTTACAGCCCGTGTGTGTGTAGGGGGGTCTTAGTACTGACATGCCACTTAAATGTTTGGCCTAAAGACTCTTGGCTCTAAGGCTTTAAACTATAGTGCCATCTGTGAACCCACGAAGTGTGATCTTATTAATCGGTCTGAGTTTGAAATTTAAACCTTTTTACGGAATTGTTTAGATTATTCTTAACCTCTTCTCTGATACTGTAAAGGGTTCAAGGGCGTCTAAACAGGTGTAGAGCACAGATGGAGACGACTTGGTGAAGGTTACGTATCTCCTTACACTGCCCGAGTTGATACGTCCTGGCCACACCTGACACGACACGGCACGGCACGGCACGGCCTGGCCTGGCCTGGCTTAACCTAACATGACATGACCTAGCTTAACCCGAACAAACGAAATTTAACTTCGCCTAAAATCAACTCGCAACCCAACCAAATCTAATCTAATCGCAATTAACCTCGCCTAAATTTACCAAATTAACCTAACCAGTAACCACACTTGCCGAACCAAACCTTACATAACTTGCACCAAGCCAACTCGACCTCGACATAAATTTCTTGACGTAGAAGTATAGTTGTCGCTGGTACTATATTATATCCATGACTTAGTTTTATATTATGTGACCATTAATTAACCAGAAGAGCGGAGTTTTAAAATGGTTTGTTATGGTGTGTGTGTGTGTGTGTTTATGTAGGGAGATGGTCGACGTGTGAAGAGGTGGAGGTGGGTGAAGGAGAGCAGTACCATGGTAAGCTGAGAGTTGAGGGGCTGCTCGGCGGGGAAAAGGTAGACCACACTGCTACTCTCAGCCTCGTCACTTCCCGCAGTGTCACCTTCATACAGACGGACAAGTACTACTACCAGCCCGGCCACACAGTCCACTTTAGGATACTGACTCTGCACGGTGCTTTCCTCAACGTCTCCACAAACACAGTAAGAGGCGGTTACCAGTCATAAACACGGCATGAGAGGACGATGACTGATTAAATGGTCCCCCACATCCCTAATAAGCTACAGTCCTAGTTAACGTAAACTTACTAGTACTGACTGGGTTTGTTTGATCTGTGTCGAGGAAGTGGGAGGCGATGTGTCTGAAAACTTTTAATGTGCATTGATAATAACGGTATATAGTAATTTTATTGTTCCATTGACAAAAAAATTGTTGTGCATGTTTTTACTCAATTTTTTGTTGTTATATATTTACATTAGTCAGAGACAGTTGTAAATGCAGCCTCAAAAATCCCTTAGAGGTAATTTTCAGGGATGATTATTTACAAAGTCTCACATTTCTATCCAAATTACTGTTCACAGTACTGAAGTTTACACTCGTCTTCCTCGGTGTCGCCAGCTGCCGAGATACAAGGCGTTAACTAAATTTGCTTCATCGTGCATAGACGAAAATATAATAAATATTAACAGATAGTGTTAAGGCTCCCTAAAAGCGTATTTTTATCAGTCTGGCCCAGCGAGTGTTGCATTGCAAATGGGTTGGTAACTTAATATTTTTGATTTATGGCAAACCTTTTCGAACTGATTTCCTTATTAATTTTTCATATTTAATTAAGGAAAGGCTTAAGAGGTGGCAAAAAAAAATAATGGGAAAGTTACAATACTCTTCTTGGCCTTAACCTTGTGTACTATTACTGATTTTTTACCCAAACTAAATAATTGTGTTGTGCAGTACCCGGAGGTGTGGGTGGAGACGCCTTCCAGGACTCGTGTGGCACAGTGGAGGGACGTGGACAACGCCCCCGGCCTCGTGCACCTGGCCATGGCACTCGCTGATGAACCACAGCAGGTGAGTGGGCAAGTGAGGAGTCGAGAGGAAGAGGTGTGAGGGGGTCAACAGGTGATCCTGCAGTAGACTCCTGTAGAAGGTACCATCAAGGGAAAGACCTTCCAGAAAGAGGGTGGCCATGCTAAATTGTTTTCCTTATTTAGTGTGTGAACTATTCTCGAGAGACCTAAAATAAGACTTGAACATTGTTAGCCATAGTGATGACGGTTACGATGCTTAGGTATTTCCTAGATTAATGTTTAGTCTTTTCATGCAAGTCAGTGTACTGTACCCTCCTGACCACTGATGTTGTCGCCTGCAGGGTGTATATACGATATTCGTCAGGACTGAGGAGGACAAGTCCCATAGTACCACCTTCATGGTCGAACAGTACGTCTTGCCGCGCTTCCAGGTGACCATCGTCCCACCTGAGTACCTACTGCTCACCCACACCTCCTTCTTCTTTACCGTGTGCGCCAGGTGAGGCACTAGATAGATGTGGTTGAAACTGGTGCAGCTATTAATGTAACTTGGGTGATCCAGTATGTTGACTCCTGTAGGTGATGATCCCAGAATATAATCTAGGTGACTTCAGGATCTCTGAAGTGTCTGTTGAAAATTAACGTCCGCAGATTAGTTTGGTTGGTAGGTAGGTTTGAATTGGTAAGTCAGGTTAGGTTAAGTTGGCAGGGGTGCAAATTCCTATATGCCCGCTCGCCCAAGGCGACGAAAATAACGTGAGGGCAACAAGATCTCTCTAATTGGCTATTTAGTTATCGGTATGCAAGTTGGTCCACAGTAAAGGATTAAAATAACGAAGTTTAACGTCAACTAAATATTTTGCTATCGAATGTAATATTTATTGATGCGTTGGTTATCTCACAAGAAGCCAAACTTATGGTGTGCTGGAGGTTCTTGTGGGAGAGATGACACAATGAGGATCCCTTGGGTCAGTCATGATAGATCCGACGAAACAACAGTCCTGACGTCAACAATGAGTTGGAGGATCAACAAGTAAAGTCAAGACTTTTAACATTTTATGAATGGTCGTGACATAGAAATAATTGAAACGAATTGATTTTGTTAGATGTGCTCCTACTCCATTATTATAATGGGCTTATGGGTTTACGTTGTTTAGGGTACTAAATATTATATAACATTAACAGTGAATATCAAATAAGCAGAGAGCTCTACACACCCGGTAAAGGCTAAAGGTGAGTTTTTTCTTACTTGATTAAGGAAAGTCATTTTTGAAAATTCTTCTAGCCCTGCTGGCGACTTAAAAAAAAAAGGTAAATTTACATCCCTGAGTTATGTTAGTTGGAATAAATTAGTTTAGGCGTGGTTAAAATGGTTGTTTTCGTCAATCAACTAGTCATTTGCTTTTATATTAATTTTATTCTGATTAAATCATCCGTTTGCTTCATTAGTTAGATATATAGTTATATTACAAAATAATGGAACACGAAATATTAAGACACAGAAATGGGAAATATTACGAGACCGTATTTCATGTTTGGTTAACGTAACGCATCAAAGTCCTACTTCCCCAATGGCTTACAGGTACACGTTCGGCCAGTCGGTGCGGGGTGAGGTGCGCCTGGAAGTGAGCAACGGGCTTCATCGGAATTGTCGGGTCTTGGTAATTAAGGAAGCTCTGGTAAGTATCACCACCACCCATGGCTGTAAAAATCTTACCTACTGAGAGAGTACTACGTTAAGATTGTTTAGAGGGTTTTGCCTCCTTCACAATTATAGACAATGCTTTAGTGGTACTTGACGGTGTATTCATACGTCACATGGTTAATGATAGTAGATTGTACTTATTCAGTCACGGTTGATATCATCCAGGGCTACAGTTAGATAAGATATAGGTTGACTGGTCATCAGACATCCATATGTATTGAGATTTTCCTCCTCGCTGTAGATATTAGGTTGTCAAAACGTAGGGGTGGAGGCGAGGGAGGTGCTGCTGGAGGAGTGTGGTGTGTACCGAGTGACGGTACAGGCGACGGTAACAGAGGACGGTACAGGAGTACAACAAGCAGGACGCGGGCACGTCACTGTCTCCAGCCAACCTGTCGTCTTCACCACCGTTTACAGCGACCAATTTATGAAGCCTAATCTACCATTTACTATTAAGGTTAGATTTTATTAAGATCTGATTATTAATTACTGTTGAATGTGGATGATTGTTTACCAAGACAAGGGCGGCTACTAGAGACTAGAAGAGTATACACAAACACTTTAGAAACTTTGGTTAAACATTCAATTAACTACTGCATTATAATACGTCAGTACATGTATACTGTACATAGAAATTAGTGGTAAGAAAATCACAGAAATTGTAATAATGTGAAGTTTTATGTTTGCTCGTGTTATCCGTGTACACTTTTGATTCTCACAAGGAGAGATTGTCTGTTTCTGTTAATGGGTTTGAATTTCATGTAAAGTATATTTTCAATTATTGGTGGTTAGCGATAATTATAGGAACTCTTAATTTTATTCTATTGGCTAATTGAAGTTCAGATTTAGTGAGTACAGTTTAGCGCGGTAGATGTGACCGAGTAGGCGTATCTTCCTCGTCACAGGTGAGGGGAGAGCTGCCTGACGGGACCCCAGCTCCTGGAGTGGCCTTGGAGATGTGTGCTGCCGGCGTCTGCACTAACACTACCACCTCTCAAGACGGCTCTGTAACCGCAGTCCTTCCCTCATACACCACCAACAGATTTTTCGTGAGTATTTTAGATAAAACTAATAAAAATGAGGCGTTATCGTCAACGTTGGGGGCTCTATGGTCTCTTGTAGTCTCGTTTGTCAGGTTCTTAATTCATCAGTGTCTTACAATCGCTCATTCTGGCTCTTCTCTCCTCCACAATTAGTCTCGTGCACCTCTTTGACCCACTTGGTCTCCTATATTCTTTCCACATGCCTAAACCATCACACACAACCTGCCTCTACACAGGACTTCCCCAATACCCAACTGTCTTCTTAGCTTAGCAGTGCTTCCTGTCTGTCTCCACATCACCATTCATTCTCATTTCAGCTCGCTCATGCCTGCGTATGTCATCCTCTTTTAACTGCCCATGTTTCACTGTCATACAACATTACGCTTCTCACGTTAGTCGGATACATTCTTCCTTACACGCGGAGAGAAGGTCCACTTGCCGTCAATAAATGCAGCAGGTCCCTAAACTCCCTCCAGCTATTCTTGATGAGCGTCAGACGTTCCTTTACCTGCCAACTGAAGCGAATTATTGACCTCCCAGATAACTCTCGACTAAATTCCTGAAGGAATAAATTGCGATCAAAGCGAAGGACACATTTTAAGTGTTCACATTCTGAGGCTTTACTGTGGGACTACTATAGCATCGTGCCGTGGATTAGATGTTCATCTTTTCTCATGAACCCATGATAAGGCTGATGCGTGTAGTGTACTAACTAACCACACTTCTTGTCAAACAGGATTTGAATGACCGATAACTTTGTTTAGTATTATTGCAGCTGATTTCTTATATTTTGCGAAATTGCAACGGGGCTTCCGTAATCTTTCGCAGAATAGTTCGACACGGTAAGGTTTGTGTGTTAGGTGAAGGACGTGTATATGCCCTGGCAAATATGACAAGTTGTCACTTGTAGGTGCTCTTGAAATGATGCTTAGAAACCTTGATATTCTTCTTTCCTTTAAATACCAATAAGAAAATCATAAGTAATTACTAACATTGAAATAATTCTTAGGCAGCATTGAAGTAATTTTCTGTCATTCGATGCTGTATCTGCGTTATATTGGCCCTTATGGAAACGACAAAATTTCACTAAAATTAAGTTATCAAAATAGACTTGCCAATGGAAGTTTACATGTCGGTTAATTCATCTGGCTCTTTGTCTTCGTTTTTCTACTGGGAGCAGCTGAAGACCTTAGGGTGCAGTGCTCGAGTACAGTCCTCTCTATACAATCTGCAAGTCAATCACTACGTCTCCCCCTCCAACTCCTCCCTGATGATCTACGCCCCTGACACCAGGCTGAAGTGTGACCCCGGTGCTGCCCTCCGACACTACCTGCCTGTCATGTTCTCTGCTACCAACACCACCCGTGTCTCCCTCAACGTCCAGGTAACTTATTATATGCTGTACCTTCAGTACATTCTCTTTGAAATTTTCAGGAGTCGTACAATAGGGCAGCAGTGTTCAGGCGTCTCATTATACTAAAGATGTGTTTAAACTCTGTTTGCTTGTATAAATGTATCATTAAGTGAAAGCACATTTTCCTCCCATAATATTGGTACCTTTGATGCTGTCTGTATCTTTGTCCGCAAGAATGACAATTTTACCAACTGCAGGTTGTGTCGCGGGGACTGGTGCAATATTGGAAGACGGAGGAGTACCAGATGAACCCCGGGGTTCTCCCCATTAGTGTGGAGCACCTGGTGGGTGCCCTATCCCCTCCTCCTCCACACACCGTCAGGGGGGTCCTTCATGTGCCCCTCACCCTTCCCCATACGGCTTCTCCCACAGTCAAGGTAACTGCCCCCATGAATGTCACTGCTGACACTGGCGTAGCTTCACAAGCTTGTGCTTGCTGGGTGGAGAAGAACGCCAAGCACTGTTCATTCCTCCTAAAGTCTTAACTATTAAGGCAATACAATGTCATGTTTACAGTCAATAATCACATAGCTAGTCATGTGCATGGCAGTTGGAATTTATAGCGTTCATATTTGGTTAACAGATACATAGTGCACCTGACGGCCTAAATATGGCTCAGAGTAGGGAATGGTGTTTGGTGGGAGATGGGCTTTAACGTTAATAAAATCAGGCGGCCCACAAAATATTTTCAGAACTCCAAACAGTACAGGTGCAGAGAATATTGGTACTACATGTGCAGCTGTACTTCAACATGCAAACATATTGTAATCATCATGTAACACTGAAATAGGAATTTTTTATTCATTGTAAATAATTGTTGCTTTATCGTATTATACTGAACATAAAGCAGTGTGTTTGTTTGTTTGTTTGGCTGATTGTCTGTTTGTGCATGCATTTGATTGTGTTGTTTGCCTTTGTTTGTTTGTATTGTAATATATTTTTCTTTGCTTATATATAATTTATTTTAACATTTAATAGTGAGTAGGGGGATGAAAGGGGTGGTGAGTGAGGTAGTTAAAGGCGAGTGCCAAGGAAGAGGGGAGAAAGAGAGAATATGGATAATTTGGAATAGGCGAAATGTGTGATAATTGGGTTACTAAAACAGTGTACTCGTGACTCACAGCATAACACAAATGCACTCAAGGTTCTGTTCAGTTTAGGGTGTGTTGTGGTGTTTAGGATGTGTTGTAGGGTATTGAGAGTGTGGTGTTGCAGGTGTTGATGTGGTACACTCGGGAGGATGGGGAGGTGGTGTCGGACGCGCGAGATCTGGAGGTCGAGCGCTGCCTGGGGAGTGAGGTGCGGCTGGAGTGGAGGGAAGATTCGACACAGCCCGGTGCCCTCACTGCTCTGTCCCTCTCCTCACGACCACACTCTCTCTGTAGCCTCGGTTAGTCTCTTTAGTGATGGTAATACTATCAGCATTGTACACGTGTTCCCGTTTACACCTTCTAGCCAATGACGAGGCGTGTTCCTGACCAGGAGGTACTGTGTCCAGGGTGTGTATAGGACTAAACCTTCCTACGACTTATGAATTATTATATTTATATCACAAGGTTTTAACAAAGAAAGCGTTATATGTATTTTTACAGGAGTTCATTAACACAGCATTATGAATTTATAACTATACAAGAGCACATATTAACCATAAAAATTTACATTATGAAAGGATCATTATACCGTATCTAGTCATGGTAAGCAAACAAATGAAATTCAATATTCTAGAGCTCATTAAGTGTTACTCTTCATTTTACTTCTACCTGGTGCTGTGATCTACGCCCTTCAGAGCTCCTCCAGGGTCCTCCTCTCATTCACATAGTTCAGACATAGATTCTTCAGACGCTGTTAATGCTCCTCTGTGGCACCCCTCTCGTTTTCTTGGGACCTCACATCGAGAATCCTTAACTGGGACTGATGATCCAAGAGCCTGATCCGTTCTAATACTTTCAATGGCCTTCCAGGTGATAGTGGTCATGTCTCACAAACTCATGGAAAGCAAACTCCAACTCTCGCATAGGTTGTTGGTGCGATTCTCTCCGTCAGTGGTCACCTGGTGTACATTACATAGCAGGGGCAGAATCCTTCTCTTGTGTACTGAGGGAAGCACTGATGGCTGGATGTGACGACAGCGGCCTTGTACTTAGATGGCATTGTCCACTTAAGTTTTTCACATCGTTAGGTTATTCATGTGATGTGACATGACCTTCTTTTTTTTTTACGGGAATTAGCTCACCCGGGCACAGGTCAAACGACCCACAACAGGGCCTGCGGGGCGAAAAAAAAAGAACAAAGAAATTAAAAATAGATAACAAAGAGGTTATATTGTGTAAATCTATACCAAGGAGATGCCGGAAAACCAGCTTTTTAAAGTGAGACTGATTGTATAAGGATGGAAACACAAAAGAAGGCAGAGCATTCCACAGTTTGGCTGTGTGAGGAAAGGAGGTACTATAACGGGTTATTCTCGTGTGACCGACATCCACAGAGAAATGGTGGGCACCACGGGCAAGACGCGTGTTACGAGCCCACGGCTTTGCCGGCGGTACACTGGATGCCAGGTTGTACAGGTGTTTGGGGATTCAGATAGTTGGCAAAAACCAGTCACGTCACTTAAATCAGGTAATTCATGTAAACGGTCTTGTGTTACGTTTGTACCATTACGTATGCAAAAGAGAGTTGTTACAACTCGGAATATAAAAATATAAAATATTTAAAACCACTCGCTAAAGTATGTTCCCATAAGAAAATATTACCTTAGTAAATTTTCACAGCACGTGTCTACTGACCTTGAGAAACATCAATATTTATATTTTTTCCTACTTTGCACTTTGATGGGTTTGTTCCTTTGTTTTTCCATGGGGGGTGCACCTGGGCCGAGGAGGAGGGGGGGGGGTATTAACAGGTGTGCTAGAGGTGTGTTATTTACCAACAGGTGTGGTTGACAGAAGTACAGAGCTGCTGTCAACGCGTGAAGACCCCATTACCCTGGAGAAAATCTTTGACTTTGTAAATACGTACGAGATCTACCCATGGGGCTTCAGGCCGGGTCCGTGCGAGAACCAAGAAACTGCATTTTCAGGTTAGTTGAAGGTTGTTTTTGACAAGTTATCATTAATATCTTGTTTAGCAGCGATTTATTAGTTAGATAGTACATTACATAGCTACATCATAGTAGTATTAGAATGAATCTGGGTTGTTTGCCTATTGAACGTTTCAATGTTCTTCAATTGTTTTATATTAAATTCATAACTGATAAATCTGTTTAGTGACCACGTAACAGTGAGGGGAATGTCATTTGCTCGTGTAATATTAAATATATGACCAAAAGGTCTTGGTGGTTACTTCTCGTTATTTAGTGGATATGAACCAACAACGTTAATCCACTTCGATAATTAAATTTGCTTAATGAAACCAAGATTTTATAAGAAAGCTATTTGTGGTAGGAATAAAAGGCTTCACTGGTTAATGGGAACTCATGTTTACAGAGGTAAACTGGCCGGGAATTAAACATAGACTAGATCGTGTAACGATGTTGCTCTGCTTCCAAGTCTCTTATCACCAATTTAAACAACTAATAAGCATTAAGAAATGCAGAGAAAGTGCAAGGTCTTTCACCCAGTGAAGTCCATAATGTTGCTCCGTGTTACGTTCAGGACAATGGCAGGTAAAGAATTTGGAGGCTTTTTATCTGACCAAAATGACAAACACAACAATAAATTTCTATAAAGGTCGAGTAGGTACAGTGCTCGCCTCATGTCCTAAGGGTCACTGTTTCATATCCAAGTCACTCTAAAGGTCAACCAGCTGTGAATGGGTACCTGACTTCACTGTCGGGGAAGTTAAGGCAGTCGAGTGCAGTGCCCATCACGCTGTCTCCTTGTGTACCGAATGCTTAATGTACTGTAGTGTCCTGTATCAGCACTGCCCAGGACAGGCTGTTAGTTTTAGACTCGTAGGGAGCCACTTTCATTTTTAAGGCCTTTCTCACTTTTTATTGTCATTTGCCCGACTACTTTATTTTAAAATCGTACTATGCGCATATTTTATTACTAAAAGAAAATCTTCAAGGAATTATCTATATTTACGTAACTGTTGTAGGCGATGCATCGCTCCGAGTGCAGCCGCTGCTGGGGTTCCCTCCATATCCGGTGTTCAGCGAGTACGTGGACGCAGCCTTCATGTTCCATGTGAGTTGTGGTGTGGCGGTAGTTGTTGACCAGCTGTGTTGTTGTGCATAAGTAGTGTGACGGTGGTTGTACCTGAACTTCAGGGACTGAAGTTATTGTAATAACATTCCTCTAAATCACGATGTCCGTCATCTCAACAGAAGTCGGCGGTAGAACCTCTTTCACTAGAATGTTGTTTAAGATTTATCTGATAATAATGTATTATTACATGATGATGGTAATTTGGCATAAAAATGAATTATTACAGTATTTTCTGCAGAAGCTGTTAACTATGGTGACTATATTCCTGTATTCTCGTTTTATTAGCCATCATCTTTTTTATATTTCATTAACGATGTGATGCGTTGATCATACTTGGCAAATTTGAGGTAAAACGTGGAATTTTGAAACCTTTTATTTTACCACGATAGGATCCTAATAGTCTATAATCGCATACTGAAACTCGAATTTCCTTATGTGCTTAAGTCAGGCTTAGAGGTGGAGGAAAAGGCAGCGAGGGCCACTTAGACTTACTGTATGCCCATGTACCATGGAGTTGAGAGACTTTGCATTGGCTACTTTAGGCTTATACAGGCCTCCTGATGAACCTAGAGCCCCAGCCAATATGCGATGACTGTCTTGGTCCCATTGATGGTTACTACTGCTTATCTTAAGTTCCTGGAGATTTCATTACATCCTGTGTCCAAGTGAAAAGTTAGACCATCTGGATATTAAAAAATTTTGTACAAATTTGTTGCCAGAAAGGCTTGGAAATAAGATATATGCCTTTTTATTCAGTTATAGAACAAAAAAAATGTAATAATTTTTCTCTGGTGGCTTTGATGCAGACTGCGGGGCTACTGGTGTTCTCTGACCTAAGGCTGGTGGCCGCGCCCTGCGACTCTCCCGGTAACTTTTGTTTCTTCATCTCTAGCTTCATGTTCTTATGTATGAGCCTAAAGTTTACACACATTTATCAAGCTGTTCTATCTAGTAAATTCCCTTTCCGAAATTATTCTACCTTAAGATCCTATTGTTGTTGGTTTTATATTTTGAAAGTTCTCGTGATAGATCCCTTGTATTGATATTGTTGTATGTTCTCTGTTTTTACCGACAGAATTGTTTGGAAATATTAAAGATGTAAATAATCCTGTGCTTGAGAGGTCGTCTTCGGGTGGCGGCGACGAGGGTATAGTTGACGCCAGGACCAGCTTCCCCGAGACGTGGCTCTTTGATCTGTTGCTGCTCCCGTAAGACGCCTGTTGTGTTATTTACTTGGAGCTTTAGTTTCTACACAGACTACACTTGCCTACTTAGGGGTTTGCAATAAGGTTCGGTGTCGACTCAAATTTGGAAGATTATTATTTTAGTGTCTTGACTTAAAACTGATGATTAATGAACCAAAATACGGCACGAACTACACAAGAATATATAATTATACATTTGGCCAAGAAAGTCAAACAAATAATATTGACACTGACTCAAAGGGTAAGGGTAAAGTGCAACAAACTGTGCGAGGGAGAAAACACTGGAGACGTGCACTGAAAGAACGGTGGGTAACAAGTGCAACTCTAGATTCTATAATGTCCTCTATTATTATTAGATCTCTGAGGTATCCCAGGTGTTAACGATATTTATGTTCTTTTAATTCCCGGTTAGGTCGTCCGGGGTCACGAGACAGGAGGTGCGAGCCCCCGACACCATCACACAGTGGGTGGGGAAGGCAGTGTGTGTCAGCCCGGACCATCATGTAGGGGTGTCTCTCAGAGCCAACCTCACCACCTTCACTCCCTTCTTCCTCGACCTCACTCTCCCGCCCTCTGTCAAGCGTGGCGAGATACTCCCCGTCAAGATCTCCATATTCAACTACCTCGACAGACCACTGCCAGTACGTGACAACTGGTGTACTGTACATATAAACGCTACCTTAAGATTTTCGTGGAGATAACGTGAATACGGATCACCTGAAGAATTGTCACCACAGAGCTTGACTGGGTGACGATTCTTCAGGTGGGGTAAAGTCAGTTAGGCAAAAAGTGCTTCAGATTGAGGTTAGGGGAGGTTAGTTCAGATGGGTAAAAGGGTGTAGATAATCTTAAGGTTAGGTTTGCTTATATTCATTATTGGGTGAGGTGGTGATTCTTCAGGTGATCCGTGAATACTTTAATTACCTTACTAAAATTGTTCTACAGTACTGTATATATAATGAGCCATCTATTCCTTGCTTTAATGATATTAGTATGGAAAGTAAAGTTTCCTTTAAACTACACGAAGTTAGTGCTAGAAACTGTAGAAAAGATTCTCCAGCGCCACCATAGTGTACTACGTATAGTGTATTGTGCATTCTTGGAGATAAAAAGAATGTTTAGATAACTTAAATTTATTAAATAAGCAGATAAACTATAAATTATCTGCTAAGGCTAGTAAAGAAAGAAATGATTTTTACTTACAAAATTTAAACAGGATTAATGTTTAAAGTGCTTTAACTTTCTACATAACATTTTCTTGGGCTTCCCATTAGGGCATTCATGATTACCGCCATTGATAAATGAGAAACGAAGAGTCATGACCATTGCAGGTGAGAGTGAGGATGGAGGAGAGAAGCGAGTTCAAGTTGGTTGGGGAGGAAGGCCAGGAGGTGGCCGGGGAGCGCAGTGTGTGTTTGGCCGCTCAGGACAAGAAAGTCGTCACCGTTAAACTTGATATGCTCGCTCTTGGTGACATCAAAATCGGAGTGTCGGCCTTTGTTGACCAACAGATTCCTCTCTTGTGTGGCTCCAGGGATGACTCTATCAAGAGGAGGTCAGTGTTAATACTCGTATGCAACAGATATTTCTAAATGTTTGTACTGAACTCCCGATCGACCTAATGATGATAATTGGTGTTACAGGGATGCACTCGTGAAGCCGATTAAGGTGGAACCTGAGGGCTTTCCGAGGGAGAGGACTTGGACCTCCTACCTGTGCTCACAAGGTTAGGAACATTATAATTATTTTCCTGAATTTGTAGTGAAATCACTAAACTCACTGTCAAGGGAAAGGTAATTATGTTAAGTGTTATTACATATTTATGCACCCAGACTATAATTTTGTGCAAGTTTATTGCTAAAATTTTTAGACTTTCCAAACTCTTGTATTCATAATGTAAGCCCCCTCCCCCCCCCCGTCCCCTCCCCCCCAAAAAAAGACGGGTGAGCTTGGTGCACTCGTGTTCTCACCCACTTCTTCTTGGACTCCCCTTCCCCCTTTTGACATTCCTGGATCCGCCTCTGACCTGAAGGTAAACTGTTTAGCTGTCCATGCTAATACAGTATTGACCTTACTTTTGGATTAAGTAGGATATCAATTTTGGTGGGTTGGCCCTCGGAAAAATACCAAAATCTTAATGCGGCCCATGACTAAGGAAAGGCTGCCTATACTTGGTTTATACGTTGTGTGTGTGCAGGGCCGGTGCAAGATGATTTGGCGCCCTAGGCAAGCCTTTAGATGTGCGCCCCCTTGAAAGTTTTGATAAGCTAATGTGTGTACAGTAACCCATTACTACATTGTTTCTAACTCTCGAAACACCACCCGGGCATTAGGAACCTTGAGTATAGAGACAGGTTAAAGCATCTTAATTTGCACTCCATTGAGAGACGTAGAGCGAGAGGCGACCTGATAGAGGTGTATAAGTGGAAGGCAGGGCTAAACAAAGGGGACATTACAAAGGTACTCAAACTATCCAACCAGGAGCGAACTCGTAACAATGGTTTTAAATTAGACAAATTTAGATTTAGGCGTGAAATAGGTAAACACTGGTTTGGAAACGGAGTAGTGGATGAATGGAACAAGTTACCAAATATCATCATTAACTCGAATACGCTGAATTGCTTCAAACGTAGGTTGGATGCTCATATGAGCAATAGGGGTTGGGTGTAAACGGGACTGCCCAGTATGGGCCAATAGGCCCACTGCAGTTTCCTCCATTCTTATGTTCTTATGTTCTTATAACATAATTTTCATCTTGTGGCTTTATTACTTCATCCATGCAAATAACCCATTATTGTTAGTACATTAAGTCAATAAACCCTTGACGTAAATGTCAATGAAACAATTTTTAGTGATTTTTTTTTATTTTAGGGTAATCTTTAAAAAATAATAACATATCATAAGCATTTAGCTCGCTCCAGCCTCCTGCGAGTTATAACCTACTATTATTACATCATTATTATATACATGTAGTGCAAAATAAGATAGTTGTGAGTTGTGACCAGTCATTGGTCGGACAATATATTAAATTGACATCTTAAGTATAAATAGAAAAAGCTTAATGGAGAGCTGTAACAGTTATGAATAAAAATAATTGCAACTCTGACCAAGCCACATTAAAAAATTATTTACATTAAAAACTTAATACAATCACCTGGCCAGTCTCAGTGGGATTATGTTATGCGAGGTCAAACTTCAGAGGTCAGGTAACCTTGCCTCATCCCGACAAAGGCAGGGAAGGGACGGCTCAGCCGACCTGGCAGTAAGGGAAGGGAGGGTATGGTGGGGTTGGGAGAAGGGTTCCTCAGATGTCAGCCTTCAGGTCACTGCTCGACAGTTCTCCAGGCCGCGAAAGATAAGGACCCGGGTTAGTCCCTCCGGGGGGTTAACGAATAATATTAAAAAAGAAAACACAGTCGGCTACCGTCTAACTACCCTCGCCTCCCTCCGACCCCCCCACCCCCTTCTAACATCCTGCTCCGACCCCCCCCCTTCTAACATCCTGCTCCGACCCTCCACGGCTCCACCAGTGTCCACCACAGTTTTCCCTTCATTTTTAATTTTATCCAAGTTTGCCCTGAATTTGTGGCGCCCCCAGATGTTGGCGCCCTAGGCGATTGCCTAGTTCGCCTAGTGGGTAGCGCCGGCCCTGTGTGTGTGTAGTGAGGTACATATTCCCCAGGACAAGAGCGTGTTAGTGGCGGGGAAGTGGTGTGGGAGGTGGAGGTCCCTGGCACTATGGTGGAGCGGTCAGCCCGGGCCTGGGTCACCGTTGTCGCTGATCTCCTTGGTCTCTCACTGCAGGTCAGTCAAGTTTCCACGGTTACTCGGATCATTGTCCACCCCAGGCTTCGGTGTTTAGTCTCTTGATATTTTCTGCATGCGTTTCCCTAAATTAACGTGTTTAATGCCCGAGGTAATGTTTTAGAAGTAGAGTAATAACAATCCTGCTGGGCTGTAACCGTTATATTGGCCACTCTAAGTCAGTGACATAGCAACTGGGCAGACTGCCTCCCTGGAAAAAATAGGGAAATAATTTGTTTCATATTGGAAGTTGTGAGAGAGAGAGAGATCGCTGATGGTCTGGCAGCTTCAGCCACCAGATGTAACTTGTACAGGTTTGTTGACATATTTTCATCATACGTTGTCACTTGTCAAGTTATCAGAGGCAACACTATATTAGGTCTTGAGCTGCCATGTGTGTGTAAGATCTATAGAATTATTCTATTTGTCTAAATAATTTCGAATGATTTTTTCAGTCCGTTTTATCTTCAGTGACCATTGATGAGTAAACTGTAGTAAGTATTAGGTAATGTTGACAAGGATTATAATGGTAAGTGACCTTTTAGACACTTATTATTACTTAATGTTATTTGCAGTAATTCTAATGATCAATAAATACTATTTACAATTCTATTGAACAACAAAGTATTTTTAATGACACTCCCTACTAATAGATATTACTATGGGTCATACACCTTCTTAGTAAGTTATGATGTACCGTAGCTAAAACAACTATCTGTGCATACTTTGTGGGAAACAATGAGACCATGGACAATAAATTTTGGTATATGAGGGCTGTCACTAGTCACACGTAAAATTTCGGAGCATATCGACCCCCAGCTGCACAGATAGTTGTTTTTGCTACTGTATAACTATTTTATTAACCAATGAATAACACTGAACATGACTGCTGCAGCACCTGGGGTCGTTGATCAGTATGCCGTCTGGGTGTGGGGAACAAAACTTGATCACCTTCGCCCCCAACATCTTCATCCTGCAGTACCTGAGAGCCACCGGGCAGGACACTCCAGAACTTACTGACAAACTGATAAGATTTATGAACACAGGTAAGATAGGAGACTACTGGGGTGTGGATCACTGTGTTATGGGAGGGAGGGAGGGGGGGGGTTGTGTGGGTCAGGGATGAGACTTAATAAATTGTTGTTAAACGGGGTTGCTTTATCGCTCGCCAGAAGTACAAAATCTAAGTTACCTTCAGGTTACCAGCGTCAGCTACTGTACCTGAGGGACGACGGCTCCTTTAGTGTCTTTGGGAGAGCTGATGCCTCTGGCTCCACCTGGCTCACGGCTTTTGTCCTGAAGTCCTTCGCCCAGGCCCAGACCTTCATCTTGGTGAGTCCTCTCCATCATGACTACTCCTGCATCCTCCATGGAGATGCCTAATGAGAGAGAAGTGAGGGTGATAGTGACTAGTGGGAGCGGTAGTGATTAGTTTTTAACTGGATAAGGGAGGCTTTTGTAGTGATCACCGAAGGCGGTGATGTGAGTGATGAGCGTAGTACGAAAAGAAGGAATTTACAATATCAATACAGGTGCTTAAGATCCAGAGTGAACCTGACGGACTAGATATAAGTTCATTTATAAATACAATTTCTGTACATTTTGATATTTGGGAAGGGTAAAACTAGAGAGGCAGTATAGGGGTGGTGGCAGTACACAGTGGGCTGGATAATGTGGTGTCAATATTGTGTGCAGGGACTAAGGGGTGTAGCAGTGCATCCCCCCTTGTTGTATTGAAATGACTATCATTGTGGTGGTTTATTGTTGTGGATCAGTTTATTATTGTCTGAGATTATGTAAACACTTAAGTTGGACTTCGTACTGTGTTTGCTGTGACATGCTGAGATTTAGTGGCAGGGACACGATACGGCAGTTCATAGTATGGATATGAGCAAGTTTAGAGAGAGATACGGCCAACTCTGAAGACTTGTAATGTCCACCAACAGTGAAATATTACAAGAAGCATACGTTTATGGTTTAGTTAATGAACTGTGATGCAGGTGGACGAATCGGTCCTACGCAAGTCTCGCTCGTGGTTGGGGAAGAAACAGGGCAAGGACGGCTGCTTCTTAGCTCTGGGGAAGGTCCTACACAAGCACATGAAGGTGAGCGTGTCATCTGGATTTTCTCGCACAAATTTTCCTATCTTTAATAAATATCAGTAAATGAAGGCTTGATAAACCCCTTTGAACACCAGGTGTAAGTCTAGTTTCCCGCCTTGTAGGGTGGTATTGTTGGGAAAGATTCTCCAGTCCCTCTGACGGCGTATGTGATGATATCACTGATGGAAGCTGGGGAGGAGCTTCACAGTCCAGTTGTGTTATCGGCTGCCGGGTGCCTGGCAGTTGACTCTTCTCACCACCCCTACACCCTAGCACTGAAGGCCTACGCTCTGGCCTTAGCCCGACTCCCTACGGCACAGGTGGCACTGCAACTGCTCTTAGACCAAGCAGTGGTCACCCCTGACTTTATGTATTGGGAACTGCCAAGCAGATACGGTATGTAACGTTGGTCTTCAGTGATATCCATTTAGCTGTCAAGAAGTTTAATAAATATATTAGTTTTGGTTTCGTTCAAATTTTTATTTTCCTCCAGGGAGAAGCAGAGCAGCTGAAGTAGAGACTGCAAGCTACGTCATCTTGAGTATGATAACACTGAATGCAGAGTGCTTCTTTCAACAAGCTACCAAGATTGTCCAATGGATCACGGCGCAGAGAAATAGCAGAGGAGGATTTTCTTCCACCCAAGTGAGTATTCCAGAAGTATATTTTTCTTGGTACTTTATCGTACCACAATACAACCGCATACTTAACACAGTAGTAGGAGTTACGTCTGTATGTGTTTGTAGGACACGGTGGTGGCGCTGCAGGCTCTGGCCACCTATGAGACACACTTCTACCAAGGCCCAGTCAGTGTGGAGGCCAGGGTGACGGCTGCCTTCCTGTCTCACACCTTCACTGTCAATGAATCCAACAAACTTCTAGAGCAGCGGGTGACACTGCCGGTCATCCCTACCACTGTCCGCATTGTCGTGGGAGGTCAGGGATGTGCTGTTCTTCAGGTAATGAAAAGGGATTTTTTTTGCATTTCAGTTCTGTAAGAAAGATACATTTAATGTTGAAGTAAATTTACTTTAATAATTATTAAATTAATTGCATAACTATAAAGTTGTAGCTCGACTTTCTTCTCCAGGCTGTTCTGAGATACAATGTGCCTCACCCTGAGCCGAGTGATGCTTTCAGCCTGACAGTCACAACCAAGGTGGACCGCGACCCAGGTTGCGTCACTCAAAGCATTTCTGCATGTGCCGCCTACCACCTCGCCGATGCTATCTCCAACATGGCTGTCATTGAAGTCAACCTGGTGTCCGGTTACGTTCCTATTAACCCCGAGACACCACATCTTACCAACGATACTGCTAGGAGGTACGAGGTGGAGGGCAGTAAGATCTTCATATACCTGGAGGAGCTGACGGAGAGAGAAACGTGCGTGGTGGTGCGAGTGAGGCGAGAGATCGTGGTGGAGAACGTCAAGCCCTCTGCTGTGGTCGTTTATGATTACTATGAGCCACAGTTTTCAGTCAGTCAGGTCAGTTGTTCAAAAACTCTTTACCTTTAATACCACTCGAAGCATTTAATTATGGCCACAAAGTTAACTTGGTTACATGTGACGAGTTGGTGGCTTTATCTTGTAGGAAAGATAACATCATTGTGCATATTATATTTTGACCAGAAGTCCTCGTCACAGCTGATCGTACTGTACATATAGCCTCTGCATCAATGAAGTCACAATCATTATTACTCTCTACAATCCGCAGTGATAATATTTCTGAAACATATTGACATCGACTTGTCGATTTTTTTATTACTCGCATTAATCGACAGATTTGTATTAAATTTATGGTTTTGTTGGCAAGTTTGATACATCCATTAAAGTAGACATGAAAAATATAAGGATATTTTAGTGCTTTGATATTTGATTTCCAGCATTTTTAGTTTGTTTTTTACTTGGTAACTATGCCGTTATAAATGATGCCGAGACTGGAATTAGCATTTATGGTCCTTAATATATGGTACTTACAGATTTAAATATTTTTAGGACTACCGCCTAGTTGCTCCTGAGGACTGTGTGTAAACGACCGGGTCCACTTCCTGCCATTATTGTTGACACCTGAACTACGTGTCGTGGCAGAGCCCAGGTGGTGCAGCAGCGTTTGGTGCTGGTGTGAGGCGCACCACACCGCTTTACACCTATTCTACCTGGTGATACCCCAGGTGCAGGCGCCTGTATAAGCGAGAGAAAATGTAATATGATATTTACATTCGTTGATTTGATTGTTGAAGGAAGACCACAAACACTCCTCCGTGTAAATCTTAGTGTGGTTGACTTAATGGAGTACAGTAGGACCTACAGTGCACAAAAGTTTCTCTCATAAAAAAGTAGATGGGTGATGCACTTGTTATTTGCACACATTGTTACACAAAAGTTTTAATAAATATAATACACCAGCACTTGTTTGACTAGTTCTCGTGGTTGTTCGGGATAAAGGAAATGACAGTATTGCAGTCGATGTAAAGAGTTTTGGGGTCAATAAGACGTATGATTTTAAGTGAAGCAATACTGTATTGTGAAATGTCTCCTTGAATACTTATTTTCACTAATACTTATTTTCACGCACAATAATTTGACCGTTTTGTAAAAAAGACTTTCTATGTTGACATTACTGGTCAAAAAATATCTTCCCAGGTGTTAATACCTGTGTTGGGTGTATAACAGGTGGTAACTCGACTAGTACCAACAGTGAAATTTAAGGGGTGGGAGGACTGCTGCTCCGCGTCCCCAGAAAGTCGGAAGTAAAGGTAATTTCGGAATATTGCCGTATTACATTCGTAAATTTAATGATGCAAAACACCAGGATAGAATTAGAAATAGAAAAATCTAAATAGATAAATGAACAAGATGAAGTTGAAACACCAAGTTTAAAGTAACAAGTTTCTAACATTACACATGGGAAAACTATTTTTAACGTTTTTATTATTAATATTAAAGATTCGAATATTTTGATAATTTCCTTTCTTTCCATGTATAAATCTGATACCAATGCATAATGCAATTGGATTAATACCAAGTTGGCTATAGCTTGTATAAAAAGACCACAGTTTACACCCCCCCCCCAAAAAAAATAAAAATAAAATAAAATAAAATATAAAATAAATATAATAATAAGTCATAAAAAAGAACTGTACAGATATCACGCAAGACGATCACATTAACGGGGTTCAACCGTCCACCTACCTAATGAGCCCGCAGTATATGTACCGCCCTTCGGTAACGAATTAATTGGTTAACCACTAAGGTCCGTGTGTGTGTGTGTGGTGTGGATATATAATTTCTTTTGCCCTTTCTCGCTCATTAAAAGACCTGCCTTAATTCGTTGATAAAAAATAATCTTTTATTGCGAAGATAGCTACTGAGAGGATAAAAGACTAAATACGGGGAAAATACACTGGAAGACATTATCTGGTTCAGTTCTGCTCCTCTTCACCCACACCCACTGCAGCAGTCGGGGCCTGATGTAGCCGCTGGTCGACGGTTGTGGGGAACACCGGTCTACCTACCTGAAAAATACTATCCGACTTCGGAAACTTGGTCTATCTCCCGTATAGGTAACTGAGCTCGGCTGATGCCGAGGCGCAGGCTGACCATTGTCTACAATAAATCTGGAGGCCATATTTCCGTGTTCCATTATGCATCTTTGACAAATTATTCCTGTACTTCTCTACTGATAAGAAACCAGTAGTATTCCACGGTTTACCAGCTCATTTAGTTAGGCTGTGCGCCTTGGTTAGGTCACGTATTCTGTACTATATAATTTTACATTCTACAGAATCTTCGGTTAGGTTTAGGGCGGTTTGCGCTAAGGTTTGAGCGAGTTAAGTTTCGGTTAGGGTTATTTATAATAAGTTAAGAGTTGGTCAATATTACGACCGTTGGAAGTGTTGTTGGCAGGTGTGTCGTATGTGCTGTTCAAGGTCTGCCGTATACTTGGCACTGCTCTGCTCCACCGTTACGTGCGTGTCCTCCACATGCCACTAAGTTACACGCTATGTCAATTAACCATAAATCAAATCTTCATATACCATGACTAGGAGTTATAGGAAATAAAAATACTATTGGTTAATGTTGCTAATATCTAAAAAAAATGTTCTTTTGTACGTCGGAATCCGTTTTCAGTAATTATATCAGTATTTTTTTCACCATTTATCTTAGCTTTCCAGCTATTGTTTCTTTCGTAATTTTTTGATAATTTGATATTTCATTATTGATACCGATATGAGTTCTGGACATTACAGGAACAGGTGCTATTCTACGAGTATATAAGCATGTGGAAGTATCAGAAACGTAAATATCACACTTCAGTTGTTAGTTTAAAAGTTATTGTATAAATTTTGGTTAATAACGAAGAAGGAAGTAGAAAATGTCTAATATTAAAAGTTACAGCAAATATATATAGAGAAAACAAAACACGTGTTGCTAGGCCTTGTTGGCTACGTTGACAGCCACGTGTTAGGGTATCTTGTGTTGGTGTTCTGCGGCCAGTTATTGTTTCTTTCTGTTACAGTCGGGCAGTAACTATCACCTCTCAATCATCAAAATTAAACTATTGATCTTAACCTTGGTGGAACAATAGGCCACGTCAACAGCCTGGCCTTCACAGTTTACAGAACACAGTAACAGTTGGGTATAAAAGTCGCTGATAACTGTCGAACAGATACAAATCAGTACCTTGTCCCACTTACTCATTGCAACGTCAGTCATAATAACATTCACCGAAGGCTACAGTGGTAGAGTGAATACAGTGCTGTGCCGGCCACGCTGAATCCTTGCATACATGAGAAGGCTTTACACGGTCCCGAACGGGCATTCATGCCTACAATAATAATATTATAATAATAATAATTAATAAAATTTTTAATATTTATTCAGTAAAGTTGTCGTACATATTTACAATTGAATAAACATGTTTATAACTACTCAGTTATGCAGTGCAGCATACATATTAGACAATGTAGGCGTATAGTGCACGTAGGCCTAGAAGTATACCGTTTCCTGTGTCCTAAGGCAGTACAGGTAAACAGTAAGGCAACTTGTTCAAGGAAAGCCGACGAAGTGCTTATTTCCAGGAGTGTCCTTTGCTGAAACGTTAATTTAAGAACACAATAGTAAGAATGGAGGAAACTGCAGCGGGCCTGTTGGTCCATGGGTAATGGGTATGTCCTGTTTACATCCAACCCCTATCGCCCAAATATCCATCCAACCTAATGTATGTTTGAAGCTATCCAGGGTAATCGAGTTCATGATGGTGTTTGGTAAGTTGTTCCTCTCATCCACTATATTTCTAAACCAATGTTTACCTATCTCGCGCCTAAATCTAAATTTGTCTAATTTAAAACCATTGCTACGAGTTCGCTCCTGGTTGGATAGTTTGAGTACCTTTGTTATATCACTTTGTTTAGCCCTGATTTCCATTTGTACACCTCGATCATATCGCCCCTCTGTCTCTCGAGGGAGTGCAAACGAAGATATTTTAACCTGTCTGCACTCAAGGTTCCTAATCCCTTGGGCTGTCTTGTCATTCTCCTCTGAATTCTTTCTAGTAATTCTATATCCATTCTGTAGTTGGTAACCAGAACTGAACTGCGTAATCCAAGCGGTCTCACAAGCGCAAGATATAGTTTTAGGATAACCTCGCTAGTCTTGGAACTAACATTCCTTTGTATGAACCCAAGTACTTCGTTAGACATGTTTCGAGCAAATCCATATCGACTTGGTTTAAAATTCCTAATTATCATTACTTCTAAATCGTTCTCACAGTCGGGTTTCTCTATAACAATGGAGTTCATTTGATGTCCGGTTTCTCTGTTTACATCTCCTAAGACTAAGTACTTTACATTTGTCCACATTAAATTTTATCTGCCATTTTTCAGACACATGCAATTTTTTTTTTTAGAACTTCCTGTAGTTTTGCGGAGTCCTCATCAGATATAATTACACGCCCTATTTTAGCGTCCAAATTTACTTACGTTGCTGTCTACGCCTATATTTATGTCGTTAATGTGTATAATAAATAGTAATGGTCCAAGTACTGAGCCTTGGGGTACTCCACTAGTGACGTTACCCCAATCGGAGTGCCGATAATGCTTACTCGCAGTTTCATGTCCTGTAACCACGCCCTATCCCATTTAAGAATATCCTCTCCAATTCCATGAGCCTCCATTTTCGTGTTAGTCATTCGTGGGGGACTTTGTCAAAGCTCAAGATTCTAGAAATACCATTTCAACACTTCGCCACAAGTGTCCTGTATATCCCCAAACACCTGTTCCCCCACAAGTGTATCCTGTGTACAGCTGTGAGCAGAAGGGGTTTATCACGCGAGGACAGAGTACTGAGGGGAGCAGTGTAGCTCTGAACCTACTGTTGTGACGAAAACCTACCGACGACAGCACTCTTCGCATCACTGTTCAAACTTTCTACCAGCGAATCTTAAACAATTGATCACTTGCTTGCGTTTACATGCTGGCACCACTTCAGTAGCAAGTGATTCCAACATTCAAACTTGGATGACGAGTTGATGGTGCAGCCCCCACAGTTCATCGCCAGTCATAAGCCGCCGGTGTCCATAGCCACACAATATTTGACTCGATAGTCATTGAGTCTACCATGATGCTTTTTCTACTGACCAGGGAGCTTGAGGGTAAGGTTTATTAAGTAGTGCGTTGTTCTGGCGAACCTCAACTCTACCATATTTTCTAAAATCAATTATATAATTTTTTTTTTATCTTGAGTTTTTGTTGGTACCAAAGGGAAGCTGAGATTCTCGCGCATTTTTTATCGATATAATTAATTTAAGAAAATGGTTTTAAATAATAAAAACGTAGGTTGATTGAAAATTCAATGATAAATTTCAAATTCTACACGCCGAGACATGCATTTGTTTTTTGTTTTTTAATTTTTTTTATTTGCTCTATAGATTTCTTACAATATTTTGAATATAGGGATATTATTGAAATACCACTCGTGTGTGTGCACAGTTGGAAAAATTACTGGTGAAAAAAATTGACGAGCTATATGTATTTCCACGCTGAACTAAATGTGTTCACAATTGGTAAGCAGACCTGTTATTATCTAAAAATAATGTTAATTATCTGAACTATCAAAATGCAAAAGATTTCAAGGCATTAGCACTTCTGAGAGGATGTTAGAAGTTTTTAAATATTTACCAAAAATGGTATATATAAATACGCGCTAGTACATTCGCAGTCCAGCGGGGGAGGAGGTAAACATGCTCAGGGGAACCAATCCATTATTTGAAGCTATAGACGAGGCTTATGGGCCAGGTTAACGTGGAAAGGTTAAAGGACTCCAGGCGAGCATGGTCAGTTGGTAATATACAGTATATACAGTGCTTGTTTTACGTTTTTCTTCAGGTGTTCTGGTAAGAGTTCCTGCGATAACCAAAATATTAGCTAATAAAGAGGTATTACAGGTATGTGTCGAGATGTCCATCTTTGTCCCAGCCTTGGTGTTACTATTGATTACACACACACACACATATATATATATATATATATATATATATATATATATATATATATATATATATATATATATATATAATCAAAGATTAAAATATTACAGGGTTGAGTGAGCAGGTAATGACGCCTGGGCTGCTTCGTGCATATTTCTTGATTGTGCTGCTGCTGTTGCTGAACCGTCTGACCTCCTTCTGGACCTCCACCAAACCTCTGAGTCGTAAAGGTACCTTCCCCCTCCCTCCCTCTGTCTATTGGTGCTAACTCTAACTTCATATATACTGGCACAATACTGTAGTTTATTTGACAGGGCCCATGAACTGACAGGCAATGTCTCCCTGTAGAGTCGACTTGGCCAATGAAAATGCGGGAACAGATGCTTCTGCCCGTGATGATCTTAGCGGTAGTGTACTCCCTCCTCTGGCTTCCTGTCCTGGTGGTCAGAACCGTCGAATTGGACCACGACTTGAGCAGCTCCATGCTAAGTATGTTATCACTACCTCCTTGTTTTCTCTGTTACACCTTGTAGAGTGACCAGGGCATAGTTAACAGGTCAGTGTGAACGGTATGAAGTGAGCAAGGGGAAATAAAACAAGTGTACAGTACCTCGCTCGGTCCGCTACTATTTATTGTACACATACAGTGATATAGACGTAGACAGCAACACAATTACATTTGTTGATAATTCCAAAATACGGCTCGTAAAGTGAGAAGAGTCGAAAGGATTGCATGAAACCTTTAATACGGTCAGAAGTATGGTAAATGCAGTTTAGTACAGTATATGTACTCCAAATATAATATTCTAAGAAAAAGGGTAACTAGATATGACCTTAACGTAGATATAAAAAATTATAAACACGAGGAATATTAATGGCTATTGATTCGAAGTCCTAAAACTACAGCAACTGTGTATTTATGTATACCTCTCGGCTGAATTACGCTACCCAGTCGGGCATACTAACTGTTCGTTATGTAGTCGAGGTAAGTCCTTGATAATGTTTCGCCAGCTTTAAAGCCTCGGACAAAACTGGGAAGATAGTTTTGTCGCTCACTGAACATAATAAGGGAAAAAGAATACTTGGCTTTATATCCAGGCGTGTTAGTAACAGGAGTACCTAGGCAATAGGCCTGTTCCATTGACATCTCCATCGTCAACAAGTAACCCGACAATCGGAAACTAGTGAACAAATTTACCTGAAACTCGTTTATAAGGTGTTCGTCTTTATAGAGATCGTGCGCTACCATCCTCGGATTAACTTCTTCGTACACATTACATCTTGCAGATTTTCTCTTAAGAAATTGGGATATGAACATTTTCCCTGGCAGTAATCGCATCCATGTTTCTATTTCTTATCAAGTCTCTTGTATTATCCGTTTAGTGTATTAGTGTTGGTTATATCAGTGATCACAAACGATAATGGGTCGTAAGTGAGGACCGCTCTTTCAGATCACCTATGGAAGAAAAAAAGATTTTGTTTGAGTTTAACGAAGTTTGGCAGCGAAAGGTAACCTAGCTCAGTAAAACACAACTGGTTCGGTGTCATTTTTCTCACGCCTATTAGTTATCAAGATCTGTAGAAGAGGAGGTCTTTCCGCTCACAGGTGGGTGGAGCTTTGCCGACTCCTCGCTCGTTTCCGTGAAATTTGCTCACAAGACAAATCCTCAATATTAATGGAAAGGAAGATAAATGCTTACAACTTTTTTGTTTAATTATTTGCAAATCACGGTTTATAAAAATCAATATACAAACCTAACCTAACCTAGCAGCAATAGGACACTGCATCCGATTGGAGTAGTTATAATTGGACTATATTGTGACATTTTTATACATTATGATTTGCCAATAAAGATTATAAAACATATAGTAACAATTTTACCACAATTTGTTTTGCAAAGGCATGAAAAATGCATATATTCATATTTATCAGTTAAAATATTTTTACAAAAAGTTTCAGATTGTATCAGTCTCTGGCAGCGCCGTTCACTGCCCACCTTAAGTAGGTAGTTCTATAATCTCTGGGGGAACAGATGCATTATATACTGTGGTGCTAAGCAGGTCACCTCACCTCTGCCAGTGATACTTTCTACTGTTACTTACCAGTTACTTTAAAGGTAATCCCCACTCGTTTTTCTGGGGAATTCAAATTAAGTTTTTATCTATTCATTATTCATATGGGAGTTTCTAAGACCCAGAATTATTTCTTTATTTCAGTATCGATTTTAGGGATTCGTATCCATTTTAAATAAGAAAAATAAAACTGAACAGCATTACCAAGGTAGAGTCTAACAAGAGCAAGATATTGTTGTAATATAACCTGTGCACTTTTGTTACACTTGTAGAGAAAAAAAACACAGGTTTTATTATATCGTACTCATAATAATACAACACAAACACTTTACAACAAAATGTTCACTATTGCTAGTTGTAAATACCAAAAATCAAGATTTGATAGACACATCTTTGATTTTTACTTGTGATTTTGGTACTGGTAGCCCAAGTAAATTATACTTGAAGTTTCTCTCATAGGCAGTTGGTTCAAAATGAAGACTGCATGCACATCCGAGCATTAGCGGTACTACTGATGTATTTTCTCTTGCAGAGGTTAATCCACGTGTACCTTTTTTCATCTTTAGGAAATGTATGTAAGTGTATATTTCCCTCTCGTTTGACCACAAAGAATCGGATCCAAACACTGCACAATTTGCGGGCATTATGTAACAAAGGACACCAGTTTCCCCCCAGTAGTGGCTGCAGCCGACTGAGGGGGCGGCCTCCCCACCTGTCCATTCTGTGACGATGATGCACGAGCTGGGTCGCATTTTGGGCCAGGTATGGGCAAACCTCCTCTTCAATAGACCTTGGATGTTATAATGCCCAATTCTAAAGCGTAATCACTTTTTAATTTTTAATTTCAATCTAATATATATATGTACTGTATATATATATATATATATATATATATATATATATATATATATATATATATATATATATATATATATATATATATATATATATATATATATATATATATAGAGTATTATACGGAAAACTTCAAGCAATGAATACTTATTATAATGTTCATTCGAAACTGATTTCTAGTGTTAATATTATTATTATAGACAATGTGTTTTCTGACCGAATAAACTGTTTCAATATCGATACTTCTATCACTGGTTTTCTTCTCGTAAGCAGGATATTAACACATCTTCATCAGCAGTAACGTTGGCCGATATTCTTATTAATATCCTCCTCATCTCTGAGTCTTCGTTCGAATCAAACTGTTCAGTTGTCAGTTCCACTGTGTGGTGGGAGGTTCGACGTAGTGATCTGCCGTCCAGAAAGGGTGCAACGGGCCATTCGCCCTACACCGCGGGTGTTGAACGAACTTCTGAACGGAACTGTACATGTGTGTTGTTGGGTGGGTGTTAATATAAGCTGCCTTGGGTGGGTAGATTGGCCCACTATAATTTTGTTAGTCTTAGTTTCTGACGTTCATGCATCATGAAGGTTTCCAATGAACACACTCCTATCACAAGATAAAATTTGTAGAAGTATCATGACTGAGGCTCTAAGTATATACTGATATGAAGTGTTATCGACAGCTATTCTTTGGGGTTTCCACTGCTACACCCAGGAGCGTTGTACTAGCTATTTCCTCACGGCGCTCGTCACCTCCACCTTCATCTACTTCTGCAGTAAGAAGAGCGTGAGTTTTTCCCCTCTTGCTTTTACTCCTCTTTCTTATTCCCCTTTATTTTAGTAAACATTAGTGTTTTAATTCGTAGAATAGAATAGGTGTGTCAGTACACACACATTAAAGTTCGATGGAGGCAAAAATTGTATTACTGTCTCTCCGTCCGTCCGTGCGTCTTGCCATTTGTGAACGCAATGACTTTAGACTATTTATTCTTTAACTTCCATATATGCTTCCGTATGCTTTCTCATCTTATCACCTTCTCATCCAGACGCCCGGTAGACTATAGTAATGTTAAGGTCTGGAGCCTCTTGACATGTATCCTTTCCATGTAATTTCACCTTGGCAGAGGTCTTCAGCTGTTCTTGACTTTATCCTGTTAATTCTATCAACCCATCTTCTACTGGGTCTACCAACAGGTCTTCTACCTCATGGTTACCAATCATGTATGTGCTTGAAGTCTCTTCAGGGCGGCGTACGCTGAAGGTGACATTACTAGTTGTTAGGTTCTAATCATAAGCTATGAATGAATGAGTTGCTAATTAAACTTGTAGGTCCCTTTAAACAATTAAATGGAGTAAGTGTTTGGTGCAGGGTGTGTGCAGCAGATGGTGGGCGTTGTCGTGGACGTGTGGGTTATACATACCGATGTTGGTGAACGAGGTACTCTGGCACACACTCTCCCCAAAGGACTGGGGGATAATGACCATCGCTGTCTACTACAACCACACCTTCTCCTACGAGATACGTAAGTCACCAAATATGCTTTGATTTACATTCAGCGACGTATAGTGAACCATGAGCACAGCCATCCTTTTTTATGGGTAATTTGTGATTAACGTAAGTTTTGTCTCATTCATAAAATTTCAGTTTTTCTGTTGCTCATAGGTAACCACATTTAAATATTAACTTATTTTAAAACTATGACCAAACTTTTATTTTGACTCAATTTTTATTAAAGAGGCAAGCTTGTTTATGACGAGTGGGCTACGTAAATAGTCTAATTGTTTTGTGGACGGTGGAGCATAATATAAATAATTAAGTGTTGAAATTACTAGCCGTGCAACTGTGACCATGACATTGTTATATAAAAAATAATCATTCGCCCCCTACTTCATCTCTGTATTATTTGTTAATTTTTCATTCTCCTTTCTTGGTATATACAATTATACATGACACGTCGTCACATCTTTCGAAAAGGCAACATAAACTAATTTCTTAAGTGTTTTTTTTTGCTACTTGAACAAATCTGAAAAAAAAAAACAATTAATGACGAGCGTCACACACACCAGTAAACATTTTTAGACACGTTTAGAACATTACTAGGCTGGGGTGTTCCTGCGTTCCTGTGACAAGTTTCTCAAATACGTGCCCAATTCCTTTCTCCAAAACGCCCCTTACTAAATTTACGTCCAGGAGAGAAATTCGTTTCTTGTTTTTCAGCTCTACTAGGGTCGAAAACCCTTGTTCAGACATGTACGTAGTTGCCACCATCACTATTACTTGAAGGGCTTCCATGGTAATTGATTCGTATTCAGAAATTTCACGCAATCTATCCCAATAGTCTCCATTGTAGGATTAAGTTTCAAAAGATGATTTTGGGTGAATTCATGGTGAAGATCCTTTGTGGTCTCCCGACATCCGCTTAGTTGATGTGGCTGGTGATGAAAGGATTGACCATCGACGTCTGATTCAACATGGCCTGCGCATCCTTCTGGGGGAAATATGCCACAAAATTGCTCGAGACACCGCAGACGGTAGGAAATGACGCCCTTCAGTAATTTATCCAGGTCGGGTTGATTTTCTTTCCATTCACTAACTCTGAGGAAATTGTCCAGATGAGAGAAATTGGGAAAACAAAATTTAATTTGGGGATGTTTGTATGCCTCATGGAATCATTATTTTCATGAATTTTTGTTTTCCCAAGAGTATCCCCTTTGTCTTGTTCATATTATCACAAATACACTTAAGGATCTTAGAGACATTTCGGGTGTGACGTTTACACTGGGACCTCCCTCCAACTCCACTTTTCTCCCTTGGCTGCCTTTATATTAGACCTATATAAAGAAAAATTCTTCGTTGTGTAATCTCGTGTTGAAACACAGCATCGGTGGTGTGCAGGAGGCGAATGGATGAAGAGTGGGTGAGGCTGGTGATGGGGGAGTGGGCGGTGACTGTTGTGGTAGCTGTGGTGATGACGTGCTGCGTCTCCCAAGCTACCTCGGCTGCACCCCGCCACGACCCAGAGAACAAGAGTAGCTTCCCAACAAGTAAGTTGCTGACAACTATTTTTCAGTTAAAGATGCGACATTTTCCTGTGTCTTATGTTCTCATAATCGTCTCCCAGACATGAGAATATTTAAGAAAGAACGATTATGTTGCAGCGTCATTTTAGTGTTATAATGCACAGTGCAAACATGTTCATTAAAAAAAAAATACATACGGTAAACAGTAAATTAAACTTCATCCCAGTGGATACAAACCCTGCCCAGAAAATGTTAACATGGCAGGGTAAGTATTTATGTAAATTTGTTGTTACTGCAGGGAACCCAACTTATCGTTTTCTTGGATCTTTTCGGATTCATGTACCGCACTCAAAAAAAATGGAAATATTTTTTTCTAATGTAGTGTTTTATGCGGATTCCAAAAATGTGATGTCTTTGAGAAATGAATAGCAAAAAATTATAGCCCATTAAACTTTAAATTTTTTTGCATTGAAATGCTACAATATGAGGTAAAATACCAAAAATAACATCAAACTTTTGAAAATCTTATCCAACCTTTCCTAACCTATAAAAAGGTTAAAAATAGCTTTTGAGTACATAGATCTCATCTGAACACCGAAAACACGAATAAGGTAAGTATATAATAGTTTTAGGATTTTTATAGGCTAGGTAAAGTTTTCAAAGGTTTGTTTGGTGTTCTTTGCTTCATCACCCATATTGAGCTGCAACGAAACACACAGACTAAAGCAAATAGGTTTAAAATGATAACATTTCAATGTAGAACACTGAAAGTTTAATGGGTTATAATTTTTTTGCTATTCATTTCACAAAAAAAAAAATCACTTCTGGAATCGGCATAAAAATCTACATTAGAAAAAATCAACTAATTTGAGTGCGGTACAGGAAACCGAAACGATCAGTTTTCTTTAACGCCCGAAAAATCCTTTGTGCTACCATTGCGAGTATCGCTTTCATGGCAACACTTAGTTAATTTTGGCATGATTTACACCACGAAACAAATCGAGTTTGGTGCAAATCCTTAACCCAGTTCTCGAGTTTTTTGGAGATAGACGTACTGGCAGACATAGATTGTAGCCTAGTCCCAGGTTGCTCATCTGACTTTCTGCCTCATTTACATACAATTTTCTGACAACACAGGGTAGTAGGTAGTAGCCAGCTATCAAACAGGGAGGTACTACCGCCTGGGAAGATATTGGAAGCATAATGTGTTGTCTAATGGTAGACCCTGCTGCTATATCGCATCACGAATATTGTGACCAAGTTCCAGGTGCTGATCTGTCTTTCTGCCTCATTTACAACAATTGCAGGGTCTCAATTGTTTCTCTTACTTGATAACGCAACATACACGTAGCGTTTCTCACTATTGATTTTTTTCATTTTTGTATTTCTTTATTATTATTACTACAGTGTTATTATTATTATTATCATTATTATTTTATTGTACTTTTTTATTATAAATTTTATTTACTATGAATTACTGTACTGTATTATTGACATCCCCCCCCAGGCCCCGATGTGGGTTAGTGACCTGTGCCCGGGTGGGCTAATGCCCGTAGAAAAAAATAACATTCAGTATATTGTTTCTCAATCTTGACTTTTTCATTTTTGTATTTATTTGCGGTTCTTTATAAATATTATTATTTATTGATTTTTTTATTTGGTTTTATAATTTTAATTAATTTTTATTAATTATTATTATTTATTATTATTTTAACTATTATTATAACATTATTATTATAACTATTATTATTATTATAAATTATTATTATTATTATAAATTATTATTATTATTATAAATTATTATTATAAATTATTATTATTATTATAAATTATTATTATAAATTATCATTATTATAATATTACGCCCCCGGTCCCGATGTAGGTCAGTAACCTGTGTTCGGGTAGGCCAATCCCCGTAAAAAAAAAACGGCCGAAAATAGCATTCTACCTAGCAGTTGTGGGCAGGGTAATCATTGTCATAAGTAGCGTTATAAAATTACAATCATATAGTTATTGTTTATCATATTTCTGTATTTATACAATGTACAGTACTCTCTTATTGCTAACCTTTACATTATAATCAGCAGCCAACTGTAAGACATTGCAATCATTGAGTCGCAATAAAACTATGAATGATCTCAATTGTTCTGCAAGAAATTAAATGGACCTATACATATATTGTCCTTACCTGTGTTGTAGTCACGGCAGTGAGTGGAGTGTATACGGTTATACCTTGTCTTTAACGTTTTCAGTAACCATGAGATAAGTAGATATCTTCATTAAGGCAATATGGTGAGGTCATTTAAAATAAATGTTTCCCCAGGAGTGAAGTGTGTGACTGAGACATGCAGTAGGGTGTTTGAGATGGTGTGTGCAAGCGCCGTGCTGTGGGCCATCCTCCTGCGACCAGCTTGCGCCCTTTACCTTTACTTCACCCACTGGAAGGTAAGTACTCTTCAGTAACGCCACCCACTGGTTTGCATTGCACAACACCTCTTGTCTTTTAAATCTAATTATCAGATTATAAGCCTATTCTCAAGTGAATCCATCACCCGGGAACATTCTTGGATATTTTCACAATTGATCTTAATGAGGGTTTCCTTCCCTCACTGTGTTTTAATATTTTAGTTTTGATTGTTATGGATGATAAGCTGTGTATGTAGTCACAAACATAACCCCACTTCCCTTACACTCACCACCACCAGTTGTTCCATACATCCTTCTCTCTTCTCCGTCACTGTCAGGTCTGGTCTTGCTTACTGGATGTTCCCACACACTGCTTCCTCATCGTCATCGTTATCATCGTCCCTCGGGAGATAGAAAGATATACAGACGAAGAGGACCGTGAGTATCAAGCCGTAGGGGACTGCAGTGACGATGATGACGTAAGACCCATATGGCAGACAAACCACAATTTTAATGAAAAAGGTGTTTACAACGATGATGTTGACCCTTGGTGGGAGACGAAAGAAACCTCGGGTCAGCTACCAGCAGGAACTGCGACAAATTTTACGCATCCTGTCATGACAAGTGAGGATGTGAAACTTGTAGCTGAATATAATGAAAGGTGTCTACTAGTTACAGTGGAAGCACCTACCAGGACGCTGTGGGAGAGAGAGGAAGACGGTAACTAACATCTAGAGAGCTTTTTGATGGGGGTTTGAGATGAGTTTTCTGACGGGCATATATCATACAATGTTAGTGTACAAGTACTTTCAAAAATATGGATTCAGGGACAGTCATCGTCTCTGAAACCCGAGGTCGATGGCTTTGTTGACAAATAAGTATTTGACCAAGTCAAATGTTTTGGTTTGGTGAAGCCACAGAAGTCGTATGTTTTTATAGATTGTGGTATATGTAATAGAGAAACCTGAGAAGACACTGGATGGTGGAGGAAGTTTTCATGTTGCTCAATTGCTGAGGATCTATGGCGCCTGCCATATCAGCACAAGCCCAGTCAAAAACGAAGCTTTCACATATTAGGCTGAGTAATGGGGTAATGGAAATGGGTTTGTAACTCGTTTAAGGATTGTGGTCTCGTTGACTTGGGCACTGGTGACACATGTGAAGTCTTCCAGTCAGCTGGGCATCCTGCTTGACTGAAAGAAGTATTAATAATGGAATGCTGTATTGTGGCTTGGCTAGTTCCGTAGAGAACTCCTTGTTGAACTTCATTGGTAAATCTATGGGAGTGGTGGAGCGCTTGATCCCGAGTTTGTTCAATCATCTAGCGACTTCAAATTCTTGCGCTAAAGGCAGTGGGGTTGAGAGGGCTGGTAGGTCAGCTGGGAGACAGGTTGTGTTAAGCTGGGAGAGCGTCTGACATATAGTTGCAGAACACTACCAAATTGACTCCATCTTTGGGAGACGATCACTACTTTTGCAGGAGCATCACCGGTGTAAGGTCTGAAAATCTACCACGATTTCCAGAATATATCTAGGTAGATTATCAGGCCCCAGAATCACTTCTGGGTAATTTCTGAGTTTCTGGATTATAACTCCTGGTAGATTCATGAAGTTTCCAGAACCTACCGTCCACCTAGACTCCTCCCCCCCCCCCAGTACTGTACCTAAAGGTATGGTCATACATGATTTTTTATGTTCTTTAAATAAAATGTTAAACATTATTCTAGTGATCTTTGAATGATATACGTCCTCCGCCGTTTACCACAGCTCATAATGAACTTTCTCTCATCGTTTTCAGATTCGTCCATCGTAGACGAGGAATATTTCTGTCCAAAAGTGGGAGTCGAATAGTAATCTAGAGTTTGAAAAATTAATTTCCCTTGCTGAAAAATCTGAGAGGATGTAACGAACCCAACGAAGTTCCTCATCATTACAACTTACTGACCTTTAGTATACAGTATATTGTAGAGGGGAGATAAGAGGCAATTGGCTTAATTTTCTTGGAAAATACCACTTGTGTAATTTATTAGCATCAAACAATTGTTTTCTTACTTGGTCATACGTTACTTCTATAATTTCTCAGTAATTTACTAATCTTATTTGAACATCTCTTATCATCTTAGTCATACTCCCCACATACATACACTCTATAATTAGTCCTGGTCTTTTTTTTAAGTTCCCTGTGAACTTTCAGTACATGTGACCTCTAACTCAAATTTTTATATATCCAGTTGCTATCTGAACTTTTCATCAAGGTTACTAAAAGTAGTTTTATTTGGCATATTTGTATGGCTGAACATAACTCACCGCTGTAGTGTATAATGAACAAATATCAAACCAGGTTGGTCAGTTACTGTATTTCTATTTAAGACACATTTTAAATTGTAGTTTAGAAACCTTTGGAAATAACTCCTTCAAGCATTTTGAACGTATATATAATTGATTTTTTTTCCATTTGTCAATCATCCTCATTATCTGGTTCCTATCACCTAATGCAACGTCACTTAGTGCATAACAGACAAGTTTTTAGGTTACTAACTAATTACATAATCACTGTATCAACGAGTTTCTTATTAGTTTGAACAAAATATTGACATAAATGAAATCCATTTTGTTTTAAATTTTTTTTAATATGATCATCAAACATAAAGGTTTTCTTGTAACACTTTTGTTACACTCATGAGCCACCGGCAAGTTCCGAGGAGCTTTGTTCAATATACATGGCCATATTGACATGTTTACAATTGAATGTCTTGGTGAACCTTCATCACATAAACTTGTCATTATTAAACTAGATTTATCTTGAATTTCTTTTGTTGGTAGAGACCTCCTCTCTTAATGATTATATTCAGTATGCTCTAAAGGTATCAACGTTCATGAGTCTTTAAAACAAAAGCAAAAAAACATTTGCATTAATCAACAAGCCTATAACAGTCATGTGCTTGGTAAATTTCTCCATATTAATTGAATAATTCTTAAATACTATAACATCAAATACCACAATAGGGGTTTTATTCTTAGGTAAACAAATATAACGAAGACTTTGTGTTCGGTTGTTCATGTCATGTCTACATCTGCTTCTTGACCCACAGTAATGGGGCTTCTAAAGATTTCCTCACATGTTCTCACTCACTTATTGTGGACCTGGTCTCACCCTCCTCTGTATATATACACCTTGGTTTGTATTTCTCTTTAGTCTGAACTCACCCCTGAAGATGTGAATTACACGAAAGCGCTTGGGAACTTCGTGTTTTCTTCTTTCCTTGTGGTTATCAGCATATACCTAGATCACGTGCACCTACAGTGATTTACTTGTATATATATATATATATATATATATATATATATATATATATATATATATATATATATATATATATATATATATAACCAACTTCTTCATTTTCCCCCTTCCATGTATGTGAATGAATGTGGTGCAGATAATTACAACTAATGATGATCTCTTTTACTCTTTTTTAGACTAGTTAGTCAGGAATGACGTGACGCTGATTATATCCTTTCATCAGGGTGACGGTGGTGGGGTCGAGACCACTTACCAGGCGTAGATACAGTGGTCGGGCGAGGGAAGCCTGAAGTTCTGAGAAAAAAAAATCCCATTAGTTGTAACATACACAAGACCATCAGCAATCGTATACGCTAATAAAACTCATTATGCTGAAAAAGTAAAATTTTAGAAAATACTTTACCTCGCTAATAGAAAATTCTGGCTGGTAGTAGTCATACAACACAACGGTCCCAGGCTTGACGTTCTCTATGTCTACTTCACGCACAGTACGGAAACTCACACACATTTTTTCTGCTGTCAACTCGTCGATATAAAAGGAAACTTTGCTGCCGTCCACTTCATACTTCTTTATAACCTTGCCATTAGCTTTTGTAATTTGTTTCAGGTCAGTTTTCTCAGGTGTATACCCAGACACAAGGTTCACCTCCATGATCGCCATGTTGGACTTGCCATCTGAGAGTCGATAGCTGGCACAAGCATTAATGCGCTTAGTAACGCAGGTCTTGTCAGGCTCGGTCTTGCTAGTCACTGTGAGACTGAAGGCGTCACTTGCTTCTGGTTCAGGAATATTGTACCGTAGAACAGACTGTAAAAAATAAGTATTTTTTCATTGAATTAGTTGCACCAACCGGTGCAAGACTCCTGCAGAATGATGACCAAAAGTTTATTTTTAGAATGTTTATAAAGATATGCATTAATAATATTCTTATTACAAAGTTATATTCACAGCCTACATTGTTTATATGCAGTACAGTGCAGTACCGGTCATGTAAGGTCATCAACCAACCTGAAAAATGGTACAGCCCTGACCCACGATACTGAGGCTGACAGAGGTTGGAAGGTTGGGTAGTGGCACCAGTTGTGTCAGGAACTTATTGTGCTCAGCCACAGCGAAGGAATGCTCCAAACCACCTGCTTTTACTGTAGCCACCATGTTTAAGTCACCTTCGTAGAAACGGGACTCGTAAAGAGCCATAGCTTGCAGGGCTACAACTGTATCCTGAACAGGAATCATTTTTGGAGGTCAGTTGACAAACTAACTTTTTTGTTAAGTCATCGTACAAAGGTACACATCATTGGTTATAATGGCCAGATATAAATAACCCGACGATGACTCACCTGTGTTGAGACAAAGCCTCCTCTGCCATTTCTCTGTGAAGAGATCCACTTGACTATTCTTCTTGCCTGATACTCATACCTCCTGCTGTTTTCTGTCATCATCGCTAGGATAGCGTACCCAGCTGTCTCAACCATCAATGAACTACTTTTGCCTTAAAATAAAATAAAAATGAGATTTTATTCTCCTGTTAAGAAAATCGGAAGCCATTGTTAATCAAACAGTCTCAATAATATGAAAAAAATTCGGGACATAGTTGCGACCAGTTTACTTACTTTGACCACTCCATATATCCCAATGCATAGAAGTCTTAGTAGTTACTGCTTGTTTAGTTAACTGTAGTATAGCTTGATCTGCCCCTGGCTGCCGGCCAAGTGCCAGAGCGTAAGCTTTCAGCGCCTGGGTGTAGGGATCTTGGGACGCATCAGCAGTCAAACACCTAACAGCTGCTGACACGGGATGACCAGAAGGTGTCAGTCCAGCTTCCAGCAGGGAAATCATCACATAGGCTGTGAGGGGCACCAGGGAGTCCTTGCCAGCAATACCTCCCTGCGGAAGATATGGTCTTCTGTTAATTTGACTGACTATATGGATGATTTTTCTGAGGCAATATATTATAGTGTACAGTCTCGCGCAAAAGTTCGTTAACTCTCCCAGCACTGCCTGCTTCAGATGTTTGAAACCGTCTCAGTACCAACCAGAACATGAAACCGATACGAATGAATCTAAAGGTTCGAAGTAATAGACTCCAGTTCATACATCTGAAGCAGGCAGTGCAGCAATAACTGACTGGGAGAGTTAACGAGCTTTTGGGTGAGAGTAGTGAGACTGTACATCATGACCGTATGTACAGTGCAGTTAATTGCTAAAGTTCTTTTGCCTCTCCTTTATAAATTTCAGTTACAACACCTGCAGTTAATATCTAATAATTGTAATAAATAATACTAATGGTTGCCCCTCGTGTAACGAGGATGGCCTGCCACCCAGGCGTAAATTTGTTTAAGGTGTAGAAGCTATCTCCAACATCATAACCACACCCAGTGTCAAGGAATAGTCCGAGAATATCGGACAACTCGCCAACTGCACTGGCTAACCATTCCCCCGGAATAGGAACCGCAAATCGATTAACATCCAGGTTTCCAATTATTGGTGGGTAGACAGAGGCAAATGACGTAAAGAAACGTGCCCATACTATCACCCTGCACGGGATCGAACCCGGGTCTGCTCCCTTGAGAAGAGAGCATGCTGTCCATTATACCACAGAAAGCCTAGAAGTTTTCCTTACCTTTAGGCCCTTGTTGAACACTTTTCCCACTGGGGAGAAACATCCAGTGGCATTTTGCGTTGATAATAACCATCTCTTAGTCCTTGCCAGTTCCTCCCTGTCAATCTGTAATATTAATGGCTGAATATTAAGTCTTATTGGGGCATAAAGTTTTGTACGAAAATTAATGAATACTATTGGTCATTCAAATCCGCTGGAAAGAGTGTACAAAATATAGTACTGTATTAATATATTTAGTGATCTTTGTGTGTGTGGCGGTTTCCGTCTGTACTAACACTGGATAATAAAGGTGATAAAACAAAGGTACTCAAACTATCCAACCAGGAGAGAACTCGTAGCAATGGTTTTAAATTAGACAAATTTAGATTTAGGCGCGAGATCGGTAACACTGGTTTGGAAATATAGTAGTGGATGAGTGGAACAAGTTACTAAACATCATCATTAACTCGAATACGCTGGATAGCTTCAAACATAGGTTGGATGGATATATGAGCGATAGGGGTTGGGTGTAAACAGGACTGCCCAGTATGGGACAGTAGGCCCGCTGCAGTTTCCTCCATTCTTAAGTTCTTCAGTTCTTAAATTTATATATATTATGTAAATCTACATACGGATAATCGCTGATATATTTTAAAGAAACAAATGAAGTTTTTACCCAATATGGATAACTTTTTTATAGCTGCAATCTGATGGAAATCATTTCTTGAAGAATCGAATTGGAGTAAAATTAAATTGATGGGGAGAGACACTTGCTGCTGGATGCATTTACATGTCACTAAATTGAACCATGTGAATTCAATTTTCAATTTCAATTGTTTATTCCTTGATAGAGGAAGCGGGATCCTAGTGCTGTCACTAGGTACCCCTGTACAATGACGCCAGAAGCATCTGGCAAGTGTGACAGGTATATACAGTATAAATATTATAAAGGGGCTTACTAAAGCCTAAGGAAGGAAGGATATTCCTTTAACACATAATCAATATTATTTACAAAATATCTGGCCAGTATGGGGAGGATCATCGCGTCTCTGTCAGGGGGTCGTGGAGTGGTGGTCCAGCAGGCGTCACGGAAGCGTTGTGTGTGGGGACATGTTAGGAGGTAGTGGATAAGGGTGCTGCTGTCGGGTCTTCTGCATAATGCACAAGAGCGTTGCTCAGGGGATGTGGGGATACCAATCTCCCAAGCAAAGTCATACCCAATGATGATACGACCATGTGAATTTAAGATCTTTGTCAACCCAGCAACGATACACATAGTAGCCACCTCCTGGTAATGGGGGATTTTTAGTGTTGTTGATATGGCAAGGAAATATTAAAATACACCAGACGACTATTGCAGAAATTCTTAAGGACAGTATCCCATAGCAACATGTTAAAGACCCAAATTGCTATAGATATGAGTAAGCTCTACACTACAGCTACTGGACTATTTAGTATTTACTGATGCTAGCCATCACGATTTAATGGAAGTTTATAAACGCCTCAAAGAACCGCATTCAGTCATATGCGCGTACAGTATCTGGAGTTAGATGATGGCCGCCCCACTCGAGGTCACAGCCTGAAGTTCAAGAAGCTATCAGCACATTACAAGTAGAGTTAACTTCTTTGGAATAAGAGTTCTGAACTCTTGGAATAACCTGCGAGAAATTGTGACAATTTTATTCCCCTCAAAGGAAACCTCCAGGAACCAAAGGGATTTATCTCCATTAAGACCAGATTTGAAGAACACTGGAACATATTCAGGTACGTACATTTAAGAGCCCGTGCTTGCCTAGTACCTACCAGCAGTGAGTAACAGACCAACAGACTGGCCGGTTAGTGAGCTGACAAATAGCGAGGAGGATAAATAAAGAAATAAAAATAAATTAGTCTTAACACCATTTGCAATAAATGTTTTATCATTTACCGAGATTATTTGATAGTAAAGTGATGTTTGACTTACATATATATATGGTTCTGCCTGAGCAAAGGATTTCAGGACAAAAGCAGTGAGCCAAGTTGAGCCAGAGTCATCGGCATTCCCAAAGCCACTGAAGGATCCATCATCACGGCGGTACAGAAGTTGACGCTGATATCCTGATGAATATGTGAGAAAATCCAGGTTAGTGGAGAGAGATTAACTTGTATTCTGTTGGTAATGCAACAAATGGTCTTCCGGAAATTGGGATGATCAACACCTGTAAGTACTGTACCATTTTAAGTAATAAGGGGATGTTTCTTTGAAATTCACATAATTTTGGAATTACCATGACTATTTCCAGCATAAATCTGCCATATTGTAGATACTGTATTTAGCTCGCATAAAACCTAACGAACACTTGTAACTATTAACACACGCATACGCCCCCACTGTCCATAGTTTTCACTTATTATGCCCACCTGTCCTCATGTAGTCGACAAGTTTCTTGGCGGTATGTCTATTGTCCTGACCAGTGGCGTTTAGGTACTGCAGGATAAAAATGTTGGGGGCGAAGTTCAGGAGGTTCTGTTCCCCGCACCCAGATGGCATACGAATCAAGTTGCCCAGATTCTGAAAAAAAGAAGCCATCAGAGTACTGTCGTAACTTATGAGGGTAGGCGACGACAGTCCTCCATTATAAACGTTTAGGGCAGTTTTTTACCAATCCTCTGAGGTTTTGTATCTCTGAGGACCCAGTTTTTAATATCATTTACCCACCCCAGTCTCTGCCATCCCCTGGCCCTCCTTCCCTCAACCTTGCTCATTAATACTTCTGTTGTTATCCCTTTATCCCTAATTGTATAACCAAAGTATCTAATTTTCCTTATTGTATATGTTTTAAGTATATCTCTTTGAATTTTTTTTGCCAGTCAGGTGATGGGCTGGTCCTTCACCAGAGTGAGGTATGAGCGACCACCAACCACTCCCCATAGCTCATTCCCAATTTTTCTACTCCCTATTAATTAGTCTTCTGATGAGGAAAGGTTTGGGGCATCCATTCTCCTTCATTTCATCTCTTGCCCATTAACAATCCTATATAAATGTAATAAACGATTAAATAGGGAAGGCCAACTTAATACACTATTATATACCTGAATGTCAGGAATCCGTGGTAGGTCCAGGATATTTATAACAGGAGGGCGAGGGAAAGAAGGGGGGTAACCGAGTTTCCGAACAGATATTAACGAGTATCCTGAATAGGAAAATATAGGCAGCAATTAACCCCTTTACCCCATTAAACGAAGGTACTGTATTTGTTAAGTGGTTACAATGTTTGAAAACTTAAACAATATCAGAAGAGGAGTAGGCCCAAATTGTCCCCCCCCCCCACACCCGTTTAAATAAGGGACTAGATCCACCCCTAGAAACAACAAACTTTAATGACCTCCAGTGTGAGAGACAGGAGATCACCAACAGCCGTCACCCAAGCTCGGTCTGATCCTTCTACAATGGCTGGGGGTGCTCCTACCGTCCACGTCCCATGAGCATCTATCCCATTCTTGATATCTGAAGTCAGGAGCAATGTATATTTACTTCAGTATAATTTATGGAACAAATTTCACTATAAAGCGTTTAAAAATTAATGTAGATGTGTGTTTGGGTATTTATACATACAGATTAGATACATATATCAAGAAAACACACACACACACACACACACGCACGCACACACCCACACCAATTATAAATCAATACATTTTTCTACTCGAGGCCGAGCAAGTTTGTTCTTCTGTGAAATTGATAAGTAAGTTTAAAGTCTCACCTCTTGAACAAATATAAGCTGACGAGGTTTTCTCTCTTGGGAAACCCTCAGCTTCAACAGTGATGGGCTTAATCAAGGTGTCACTGTAAATGAGACCATATCGTAGGAAAAATAAAATGTTTTGTATAAGTGGGTAGTATGGGTTCCGGCTACATGAGGAAGTAGAAGATTAGAAGCAACAGAAACGTGGAAATGAAATAATTGCCTGGCAGGGAAATGACCAGAGTTTTCTAACATGGAATTCTGAGAAGCATTAGGTGAGGAATCATGATAAGAACTAGAGGTGGATGATGTAGATGGAAGGATGATGTGAAGGGAGTACAGTATTAGAAATAGTGTAATGGGAATAGACAGCCAGGAAAGCATGACGATGGATGGTTAAACGAAGATATCATGGGGTTAGTGTTTGTAAATCTGGGAAAACAATTAAAGTTATATACTGATCAGTTATAAAAATCTGAAACTGTTTTTAAAATAACAAAACATGGTAAATCCACTTAAAATTTCAAACAGTATCAAGGAAACTTAATTCTTCATTGTTTTGCAAGACATATTTTCAGCCTATCCCTCTTCTGACCTTTTAGTGACAGTGGTATCCCTGACTCCACACGCCCCTGAATACTGATGATCCACAAAGGCTGTCACTGTGATGTTTACGTCTCCGATCACCGAGGGTTTGATCTTCACTGTGTGCACCATCTTTTTCTGGGAGTTCACGCACATCTCATTTTGGCCTAGAGGTCCAGGGCCAGATGGTATGATCTCGTACTCAACACTCTCCAGTAAAGCCACTGAAACCTGGTAAGGAAGCAAACGTGCATGTATAAAAAGTTTAATGTCTGAAGTATGCATTTTAAATGTACACTCGGTACATCGTTGATATTTCGATGCTGATATAGTTTTTCTAGAGTTTGCTAGAGTACCTGAATGACTATCATAATATGACACTGATTAAATGTATAGTACTATGACAGGTTTGTTTTAAATTGTAGAGAGAAAGTAGCCAAAAATTAGGTAAGATGAAATACTTACAGGTAGCGAGATGTCGAGGTAGTTAAAGACTGAAATTTTGACTGGCAGGATTTCTCCTCGCTTGACGGAGGGTGGGAGGGTGAGGTCCACAAAAAATGGTGTGAAAGTAGTTATATTGACTTGCTGGGACACCCCAAGACCTTCCTGTGGGTGAACACACACGGCTTTGCCTATCCACTGTGTGATTGTGTCTGGCAGGGTCACTTCTTGGTTGCTGATACCAGAGACCCTGTAAATTTACATAAAATTTATTTCATTATTTACAAGGAAACTTTATAAACAGATTAGCAGTGTTATTTTCCTTACAATGGACATTTTTTATATATCAAACAAGTGTGAGGTGTCCTGAGAGCTCTTCTTCCTTTAAGTTCATTATCTGTTATTCTCCCGTCTAGACTCTAGATAGTCCAACAACTGTCGCAAAAAAATCATATTAAAAGGCAAAAAATTATTGACGTAAGTTTGAACTGTTTTCTAAGTTGAGTAATTGTCATGTGTGTATATAATTCAAGGACGAAGAATACTTAGAAATGTTAAGGAACAAGTCAAAGTCATCAAAGCTGTCTACATGGAGATGAAAGTAGAGAACGAGAAATAGCACAGAGACAAAAGTACCCATGACAACCTATCACACCTTTATTAATGACCGTGGAAGCGTTAATGCAATAAACACTTCTGGGTTCCAATCGTTATCTTTACTAGAGACCATAATAATTCTTGTCATACTGGACCTTCGTAGACTCATCCCATGGCTCGTGAATCAGATTTGTGCGCCAGGTAGTATGCAGCTACCAAACAGGGAGGTACTACCGCCTGGGAAGATATTAGAAGCATAATGTGGTAGACCCTGCTGCCATATGGAATCACGAAAATTGTGACCAAGTCCCAGGTTGCTGATCTGACTTTCTGCCTCATTTACACACAATTGCAGGATCTCAATTGTTTCTCTTACTATTGACAACACAACATACACACATTGTTTCTCACTTTTGATTTTTTTTCATTTTGTATTTCTTTATGGTTCTTTGTAATTATTATTATTATTATTATTATTATTATTATTATTATTATTATTATGATTATGGTTATTGTTATTGTTATTGTTATTGTTATTATTATTGTTATTATTATTATTATTATTATTATTATTATTATTATTATTATTATCATTATCATTATTTATTATTTATTATTATTATTATTATTATTATTATTATTACATTTTCGCCCCCAGGCCCCGATGTGGGTCAGTGAAAAAAATAAGTAGTAAAGGAATTACTTGGTGATGTAGCATTTTTAACAGCAGCTCCATTTTTTTTTACGGGGACTAGCCCACCTGGGCACAGGTCATCGGCCCATAACGGGGCCTAAAGGTTCGAAAAAATAAGAGTAAACAGAAATTAAATTTAGAAGAGAGAAAGACCAAATTAATCTACACCACGAAGATGCCGGAAAACCAGCTTTTTGAAGTGAGACAGATTGTATGTGTATGGAAAAACAGAAGAAGGCAGAGCATTCCACAGAAACGGTGGGCACCACTGGCAAGACGAGTGCTACGAGCCCACAGCCTTGCCGACGGTACACAGGATGCCAAATCCACCAAACATTGCCCGTTAAAGTACCTGTAAAGGAGAGTGAAGCAACATTGTGGCGAAGAGAAAGGGAAGAGAGATTATCAACTAAAGAAAGAGAGTTCATAAGACGTATTTACCAGATGGACAGAAGAAGAGCCACCCCAGATATGAGAGCAGTACTCCAAGTTAGGACAAATGAATCCCTTATAAACTTGAAGCAACTGCTCAGGAGTGAAGTAGCTACGGCATCTGTACAGCATTCCCAGCTTTCGGAAGGCGGCTTTAACTTTGTTGTGGATGTGTGGCTTCCATGACATATTAAAGGAAATGGTGAGGCCAAGCATATATATTTTAGAATTTGGCAGAATGATTGCGTCCTGAAAATAGTTGGCGAGAGATCTATTTTGGAAAGTGTAATTGGTAAATACTGTGTTTTAGTACTATTGAGTTAAACCAAGTTTCTACCTCCCCATTCGGAGATGCTGCACAGATCCGCATTGATAGATGAAACGATATCAGCTCTAGAAACAGATCTAGTTTTAGAATTAAGGGGACGGGAAAATGTGAAGAGTGAAGAGCAGAATCATCAACGTAAGAATGGATAGAATTCGTAGTGTGAAGTAAATCATTGATGAAAAGAAGGAAGAGAGTAGGTGAAAAAACAGAACCCTGTGGGACACCATTATTGATAGAGAAAGAGCGAGAGGTCGATCCCTCGACTACAACTGCCATGGACCGGTTCTGAAGGAAGCTAGAAATTAGAGAAAGTGGGGGAGAGAAACCAGAAGAGGGAAGTTTAAAAAGCAAAGACTTGTCAAATGCTTTGGAGATATCGAGGGCCACGACGAAAGTTTCCCCATAATCCCCAAGAGAGGATGACCAAAGATGGGTGCAGTAGGAGAGCAGATCACCAGTAGATCTCACCTGGTGATCCAACAAAAGAATAAACGTTCAAGGTGACGGAGAAAATGGAGTTTAAGATAGTTTCGAAAATCTTGGAGAGGGATAAAGTTAGGGCAATGGGGCGATAGTTAAAGGGATTAGAATGGTCACCCTTCTTCGGGATGGACTGAACCAAGGCATGCTTCCAAGAAGAAGGAAAAGTTTGGGTTCTGAGGCAAAGGCGAAAGAGGAAAGCAAGCTCAGGAGCTAGAAATTCAGCATACTTCCTCATAACACGAGGGGGTATTCCGTTCGGTCCATGCGCCTTACTCACATCAAAACTGGATAACACACCAGCATCCCTACGAGTGGAGAAATAGGAAAGTGCATAGGTTCAGAAGGAGGAGTAGGAGGGATAGAGATGGAGTCGTCTAAGGTGGAGTTAGAGGAGAATAAGGTGCCAAAGAGATTGGCTTTATCAGGGGGAGAGTTGGCTATAGAGTTATCAGGTCGAAAGAGAGGGGGAAAAGAGGGAGTGCAGAAGTTATTACAGATGTTTTTGGTAAAGGTCCAGAACGGTTTACAAGAAGAAGAGTTAGTCAGGTCAGCGGTCATTCTTTTTATAAAATACCGCTTGGCCCTACGAAGAATAACCGTACAAAGATTCCTAGAAGAAATGAAAAGGGAGTGGACAACAGGAGGAGATAGTTTCATAATATACGCCCTATCTCTCTCTCTCTACATGCAGGAGAACTGGGGCGATCAAACCATGATTGTGAAGTGAAAGTTTTGGTAGAAGATGGGTTAAATGCACTCGTACCACCGAGTATAACCCCAGCAATGCTGTCAGCACATACCGAGGTGTCCCGAGTGGAAAAGCAACATTCATCCCAGGGAAAGTCGGAGATGAATTTTCGCAAGGATTGCCAGTTTGCCCTCCGATAGTGCCATAGGTGGTCGTGCCCAGTTTGATTTAATAGAAATAGATTGTGATAAGAAGACCCTAAGGGGGAAGAAATTGAGTTTGAATAGTGTGAGGGGTTAGAGGTAAAACAAAGATCAAGAATGTTAGTAAGTTGATCGTGTCGATCAGAAACGCGTGTAGGATGTTTAATTATTTGTTTCAGATCATTAAGTAAGGAAAAAAATAGAGTGCCTCAACTCCACCTGGGTCATCCCTTGTAGAGCCAAGCCACTCTTTGTGATGTACATTGTAATCCCCGAGGTAGAGGATCTCGGTGTTGGGGTGCGTGGATAGCAATAACTCATGGCAAGAGGTAAGATAGTCACAGAGTTCCAAATAGCTGGTAGAGTTAGGATAACAGTATAGGAAACAAATAAAAATAGTTATAATTGGTAGAGATATTTTGAGCCAGATGACATCATAAAGAGAAGATTCAAGATCCGTGGGTCGAGCTATAGGTGTACGTGTGTTGCAGTAGGCGCACACATAAGAACGTAAGAACAAAAGAATGGAGGAAACTGCAGCGAGCCTTTTAGCCCATACTGGGCAGTCCCATTTACACCCAACCCCTATTGCTCATATATCCATCCAACCTGTGTTTGAAGCTATCCAGCGTATTCGAGTTAATGATGATGTTTGGTAACCTGTTCCATTCATCCACTACTCTATTTCCAAACCAATGTTTACCTATTTTGCGCCTAAATCTAAATTTGTCTAATTTAAAGCCATGTTACGAGTTCGCTCCAGGTTGGATAGTTTGAGTACCTTTGTTATGTCCCCTTTGTTTAGCCTCCTTTAGAACGGAAAGGGGTATAAAGGGTTGTAGTTGGAGACTTGAAAAGGTTTGGGTGAAGCTGCTTTGGGCAGTTGAAGTTCAGAAAGTAGTAAGAGGTCGGGGGAAGAGGATGCTCCACAGAAGAAAAATTGGATCTCAGGCCGCGAATATTGGAAAAATGAAGTGTGAAAAAAGCCGATCCTCTAGCAACTTAGGTGACGTCAGTTGAGGTTCCAGTAGTGTGATGATGATCAAGTCGGCCCCTGGGGTCCACAACCTTCCCGACCAGTGGGACCCATCCCAGAAGGCCCCGCTATAATATAAATGTCAACTGATATCAGAAGAAATAAAAGAATAGAACAAATAAAACAGATCAAGAGTGAGTACGGTTATATATGTTGTGTTGTCGATAGTAAGAGAGACAACTGAGACCCTGCAATTGTAAGTCAGGCAGAAAGACAGATCAGTAACTTGGGACTTGGTCACAATTTTTGTGATGCCATATGGCAGCAGGGTCTACCATAAGACAAAAAAAACTGACATGACTTACGGCAGAACAGTGAGATCCCACAACCAAGTTTCAGGAAAATATGTCCGGGGAGAATCCACCGATACCGTCTCGACGGAGTCTCTCTCAGGCGCAGCGCTAACAGAAGACTGGACTGCTGGTGTTTTGCCTCCATGGATACGAGTTCCAAAAATACCCAGAGAATCAAAAGTACTACGATCACCATTATTAGAATACGGCTGTTCTGTAAAGAACACAATACAAAATATAATATAGTATCTACTTTTTCTGAAACTTACATCAACTTTTTAATTTCACATACTCATAATTGGTAACAATGAATATTACTGTCATTCAGAATAATTACGTAATGATCCATTTAGCTTATATTGTCCAGGAGATTAAAAACATAAACGGTTTGAACAATTGAAAAGTACTCTTGCTACAGTCACGGTAAAAATACTTTTGCCTCTCCTACTGCTCCACGAACCCCAGGATTCAGTCTCGTGAACCCGAAGCAGTAGACACTAATGCATTATTCCGTCCACGGATTCACGAGTCTTAATCTTGGGGTTCGTGTAGCAGCAGGACTTTTACCCGTGACTGTGCCTTGATAATAATTACAGCATGACCTCTGTGAGATGGCAAACTAATACAACTCGTGATGAGATACACTACAACTCCTAAACAGTGACAGATATATACAGTACAGTAAATCGAACTTGAATCAGGGCTCATGAGTATAATAGTGAATTTTGAACTGACTTACTGACATAGATCTATCACATTTCGTCTTCCTTGGACACCATTACAACTCATAGTCGTATATTTTTATGAAGTATACCGAGACATAACACTATAGAAAGAATATAAAACAGATGTGATTAACAAGGTGGGTTGATGAAGGTGTTTCCTACTTACCTCCTTCTTTACATGGTCTTGTTTCCACTTTCAGGTTGGAGAAGACATATAGACCTGATTCCTGATATAAAAAACGAAAATTAAATATTATTTAAGTACCAATTCCTCATATTTACATACATCACAATAATATCCATACATATGTTTATGTCATAATATATTATAGTGTTATACTTTCCATATACAGTACAGTACTTATATCCATTTTGTAAACCATTTGTCTCATGATTATTATTATTTTTTTTGGGGGGGGGGGGATAAAAACGAATTTTTAGATCTTACGTCAAACATTTTAAGCGCATCCACATAAGGGCTGTAGTAGTTATAGAAATTCTTTTCTGGAACAGAAAATATAATATAGGGTTTATTTAAAGAAATTTCATATTAACGTGTGTGTGTTTGTGTTGCACTGGCCATGACTAATTGCGAACTCGTTAAAACTTCTATACATTTATTTTTTTCTAAAACTTTAAAATCATAAATTTTTGCCAAGTAGGAATATTTTTTATTTTTATTGCTAATTCAATGTAAATTAATTCGTATATGATAACATTTGAAATGTTTAATTTAATACGTCGAATACGACCAAAAAATAGGTTAGGTTAGGTATATATATATATATATATATATATATGCTGATAACCACAAGGAAAGAAGAAAACACGAAGTTCCCTCAGCATATACCTAGATCACGCGCACCTACAGTGATTTACTTGCATATATATATATATATATATATATATATATATATATATATATATATATATATATATATATATATATATATATATATATATATATATATATATATATATATATATATATATATATATATATAGAAAGTAATGATCTTAATGATCTACACGATCGTCTATGACCAGTCAGAAGCTTCGAAATTAAAGAAATAGAAGTTCTCACTATTAGGTAATTAAATATAAATCATTAAAGTAAAATTATTATTAGTATCACAGTTACGAAACGCGTGTGTGTATAACTGTGGGCATCATACCTCCTCCTTTCCCTAGTTGATTCCTACAGTACTTCTGATCATCAGACTGTGCGTTATTCCACTTGCTGATCTTGTAGTAGTTGATGCTGGAGAAGAGAGACTCGACGGAGAAATGATCCGTCTCGCCGCGCAGAAGTTGCACGCTCTTGTCCACTACACCTGCTCACGGCAAGAAAGAAGTTACTGTAGCACTCACTGATTCTGCTGAGCTGTAACTAAGATGTTCTTTTTCGTGTCTTTGAAATTTAAACAAGCTGTTAAAAGATGTTCTTGAATGTATTATTAAACTGTGGCCATCTCAACCACAACCTCAAGGATTTCAACAAAATGGTAAATATCAGTCATTTTTTACAATGTCAGAATATATGACTGAATTTAGTTATAGTCAATATCAAGACGAAAATACATAGTGATGCTTTTAACCCTTTGTAGGACAGGGGTTTCTCTCATCTGAATAAAACCGTCTGCGCTAGCCAGAATAAAATACCAAAGTGAGTAACTGCCCTACTAACGGATTAATACTGTATACAAACTCTTTATAATGTTACTAATTAATTATTCGGCTCTTACTGAAGCTACAAAGAGACCGTGGTGCTCCTGAGAGGCTTAAAGTGGTCAGTTCTCCTGGTTGTGCCTGCTCTTCCGACCAGCTGAGGTCAACTGTGTTCGGAAGGCACTTATCTACCTCCAGCTCCCGAGTGTCCGTCACCATCTCCCCGTCCGCCCGCGTGTACCATACTATTACCTGCAACACCACACCATCAGCTCTTGACTTGACAGTCTTACAATGCTTGCAGATGTTAAATATATACACTAAATGGGATTTAACCTCAAACAGATTTTGTAATTTTAGCAAATAGGAAGGATTTGTTTTGGATGCCAAAACTCAGGGAAGTTAGTTTTCAAAAGACAAAATTTGCTCTCAGCATAATCAAACTATGCTACGTTAGTTTCTTTTTATAAAACTAGATATATTTTCTCTGAAATTATGAACTCTTTCTCAAACCAACAAGAGTTAACGAGGGTATATAAGTTCATAGGCAATCTCAAGAGTTTATCACTATGAAACTATGACTTACCCTGGCATTTGGTGAGGCTGTGGCCGGCAGTGTAATGGAGACGTAGATGACGCCAGTGGTTGTGGTGGAGGAGAATGCTGACAGAGGCTCCTGTAGCTGCTGGGCATCACCTGGAAGCGGGCTGCCAATCAAGTCATACTCCTGAGTGTTCGAATACTGAATCTGCTTACGTGACACAACCTGGGAAGACAATGTTTTGTTTCTCAGAGGTTGTGTATATGGCACAATATCCTGGCCATTGGTACAGTACAATGTGACCATGGTATAGTAGGACTGACTGAGGCATATGGTCAGTTATGGTGTCAAATAATGATGTACATGGACAGTGATGGAGCATTATGATGTAAACCTGGACAGTGATGGAGCATTATGATGTAAACCTGGACTGATTGAGCATTATGATGTAAACCTGGACAGTGATGGAGCATTATGATGTAAACCTGGACAGTGATGGAGCATTATGATGTAAACCTGGACTGATTGAGCATTATGATGTAAACCTGGACAGTGATGGAGCATTATGATGTAAACCTGGACAGTGATGGAACATTATGATGTAAACCTGGACAGTGATGGAGCATTATGATGTAAACCTGGACAGTGATGGAGCATTATGATGTAAACCTGGACAGTGATGGAACATTATGATGTAAACCTGGACAGTGATTGAGCATTATGATGTAAACCTGGACAGTGATGGACCATTATGATGTAAACCTGGACAGTGATGGAGCATTATGATGTAAACCTGGACAGTGATGGAGCATTATGTAAACCTGGACGGTGATTGAGCATTATGATGTAAGCCTGGACCATTATGATGTAAACCTGGACAGTGATTGAGCATTGTGATGTAA